TCGCTAGCGAAGGTATGGGTACGGGCTATAAAATATGAAGGTAAGTAATTATTAAAGTAGGCAATTACTTAAACGGTATTTATTAAATAATTATGATAATAAACATTAAACAATAAATTTATAAACTACTTATTAAAATATATAGCCCGCCAAACCGATTATATATCGCCGAATCGTCTATAGATAATCGAGTAACCTAAATATCCCACCCCAAGTTAAACCTTATATATACACTAATTAAAGCCTCCTTTCCTTCTTCTTCTTCCGTTCGATATTTTCTATCGACATTTAGTTAAGGGTAACTTTAATATACTTTAGTATATTACCCCCCTCGGGAAATTAATACGTCCTTTCTACTTATTAATCTATTTTCTCGCCTCTGGCCCCCTCTTACGAAGAAGAAATTAATACTCCCCCTCTTACAAAGGAAATTAATACTCCCTTTCCACTCGTTAAGGAGGTCTAGCAATACGTAATTTATATTATTATTATTATTAATTAAAAGGGAAATTAAATATATATTGGGAGGGAACTCCCCCTTTTACAAGGAAGAAATTAATATACCCTTTCTACTTATACGTAATCTATATGATTATTATTATTATAATTAATTAAAGGGGAAATTAAATATACGTTGGGATAGAATTTGGCTTAGGGAAGCTCTAATTAAAGCGAGAAATAAAAGTTCTAAAGTAATATTTCCTATAGTAAATAAACGGTAAAAATAATTAACGGTATTTAAACTATACCCGTAGAGAAAATAGAAGCCGGTTAGTTATTATTATAAATAATTTTATCGACGATATACTTCCAATTGTAAGTGACATTCCTAGGTGTAAAGTATCCCGTAAATAAAGCCTCTATAGTATTATTATATACGTTAACCTTATAATACGCCCGCGTTTTTTATTTGAAGAAGTCCTTTATTATCGCCCGGTATTCGGCGGATTTATCCTTTATTTGAACTATATTCATAAATACTACTTCGCCGGGCGTAAGGTACCCTACGAATAAAGTCTCTATAGCGTTATTATTTATATTAGCTTTGTAATATACTTACGTCTTTTATTTAAGGAAATATTTATTTATTCTAAGGAGTATTCTTACGGCTATATTTTAACGATTATAGTCCGAATTGACTTAATAAATAAATTAATATATCATAACCCTTATTCTAAAACTTTTGGGGTAATATCTTCCGGCTCCCTTAGTTTAAGTATTATTTCCGGCGCTTTAAGGGTATTAAACTTTTTTAGGGGTTCGGTAATTATTAATTAGGTTCGGTAATAAGGCAATTATAATTATTTTATAATTTAGCGGACCGCGTAAATATTATATATATATAGCGGTAGTAAATACGTTCGAGAATTTTATTAAAGAAGAAGTAATAGAGGGTTTAGATAGTGCTTTTTTTATTATTAAAGGGGAATATATATAAGTAATATAGTTGGCCTTTTCATTAAACGAGCCGAATAGTAAATTGAATTTGGAGATATTGTTGGCCTTTTCGTTAAACGAGCCGAATAGTAAATTGAATTTGGAGATATTATTGCAAGTCGGTTAGTATATTGAAATTTAGAGCGTTGGTTATAATTTCTATTATAGGAAGAGATAGAAACGGTGAAGATAGTTAGCGATATCGGTAATAAATAGCCGAATTAGCGGTATTAATAATATAATTAAACGAAATAATACCATTAGTAATAAAAGCCGAAGAATTAGTATTATCGGTAGTAAGGTTAAATAAATTAATAGTATATTCGTTTATATTATTATTTAAATCCGCGTTCTAACTAGTTATAATTTCGATTTTATTAAATTAGTTGAACTAAATAAAAGTAATACTGGAAAAGGCTATTCCGAAGTTAATCCCGACGATAATAGTTCCTTAAGAACTAATTATAAAATTAGGCTCGGTAATAAAGCTATTATTATTATTCGCGGTCAAGTATATAAATTAATAAACCGACTATATAGATACAAACCGACTATCTCTACGTAAAGGTAGTAAATTGGCGCGCTCTTTATAATGTAAATTATATTTAGGCCGTCGGTTATCTTACCGCTGTTAGCGTAATTGGGCTAACACTTATTAAAGTCTAGCTTCGATAGGCCGTAATCGCCTTTTTTTCGGCGTTATTTTTAGGTTGCTCCGCTGGGTTCTTTTCTAATTGCTCTACTCTCGGCTCTTAATTTAGGCGTTTAATAATTAAGGTAACTTTCCGACGTTTAGGGCTCGGGGTTTTAAGCGGTATCAGTAGTAGTGATGGGGTTTCCGTTGTACCTTTGGCTACTCTAATAGGTTGAGCGCGTATTAGTATTAGGAGCGCTTAAAATTTGTTTGGGAATAGGATTTAATTTAAAAATTATAGTATATAGATTAGCTAATATAAAAGAATGAAAGGCCGTTATTTATAGTATATAAGTAAATAGGAAATAGAAATAGGCCGACGTCTATATAGGAATAAGTATTAGCTATATACGAGCGAAGTTGGTTAGATAGAACTGAAGTGCCTAAATCCGATAATAGAATTATATTGCCGCTGCCAGAGTAGGAGTAAGAGTAGGAGCAGGAGGCAATATCCGTTGAGGCCGCCTTCGAATAATATTAATATAGCGCTTAGATTGGGCCTTATTACTCTTCGTACGTATAGTGTTAATATTAAAAGGATAATCGAATATAATGCCCTATAACTTTTTTACCTTCGAAATAACTATATACGTTAAGCTAAGTATAAAGTCGTCCTTAAATATATTAAGGATAGCGATATTTATAATTGTACTTTACGATTTATATATTATAAAAATATAAGCAATGGTAATTAGGGATTGCTTTTTAGCATAAAAAGTAAATCCTTTTATATACTTTCGAACAGAGCAGAAAATAAGTACGATTTTAGTATTAAGACCCTTATATTTAAAATAGGCGGGGCTACTATAGCTAAGGAAATATATTAATAGTATATAAGGCGGGACTTCTTAAAGTTCAATACCCTACCATTATATAATATCGTAAATAGTATTAATAGTATTATTGATTAAGGCTTTTTCGATTTATACATTCTCTATAAGTATAATTTTAGTACTAATAATTAAGGGGAACTATTTATAAAGATTACTTACGCTATTAGATTCTACCTTATTGGTTCTATTATTAATATAGTTAATATATATTTGTATATACGGTACCCCGAATCTTTCTAAATAATTAAAATTATACTCCTTTACTTTATCGTTAGTTAGGTATATACGTAAAATATCCTCGAAATAGTTAAAATCCTATCCTTCTTCTAATAGCTTCGTCTTTACTTATATAAATAGGAGATTCTAATATTCCCTTATTGGCCGAATATATTGTAAACCCTTAAGTACGTTTTTGACTACCGCTTATTCATTACTACCCTATTAGATAATTTATTATAGTTCGATAGTACGATTGAAAGACCGGTATACTAACCTTCTAAATATCTTTTCCGGGATAAATTAATTGTCGGGCTTTGTATCAATAAGAGCCTTTTCTATAATAGGAGGTAATTAGTAGAAATTTCCGATTAGAAGAATATTTTGGCCGTTAAAGAATTTATTATTATAGTCCGGAAAACCCTATTAGAGGCGTTTATTTATATAGTATATTATTTCGAGCCTAATTATAGACTTCTCGTCGATAATAAAGTACTATAAATAACAAAGTTATAATTATAAAGATACGAGGTTATTAGAGGATAAATTTAGCAAGGCTATACCGTTTTTAATAATAAAAAATAAAGAAGCGAATATAATAAAAAATTATTAATATTATTAGCCGCTATATTAGTAGGAATAATATATATAATAATAGAAGGTTTATTGAAAGTAATAATTAGCTCGTTAAGCTAGGTAGAAAGTCGGCGAATAATATATGATTTGTTAATACTATTTTTATTATTAAAGTGTATTTTAAGAGGTTGGGGGTTATTATTATAAAAAACCGTTTAATAATAATTTATAAATATATTGTAGACGAACTATTATTTGGAGTTGAAATTATCTATAATAATATTCGTTATTTCCTCCGCTTCGAATATACTAGGATTATTAATTTTTATAAGCTTCTAGAAATCCTAAGTATTTATTATAGGACCGTTATATAATTTATAATAGGCTTTTTAATTGTATTCGAAATTAACAGTGCGACGGCTAAATATATTAATATTTTTATTAGTATTTATAGGCCGACCCGGGGCTTCAAGAGCTATACGTATTTAATTATCTTACTATATATCTTCTTTTGGTAGAGTAACTTTAATATTGTCTTTGGGCGCTGGTTTAAAGGCCTCGTTATAATAGTCGTTATTATAATTATATATTTCTCGATACCGGTTATATACTTTAAACTACGAAGTATATTCTACCCTATCGATTAATTTCAAGTTATTATTTATATTGTAGGAGTAATAGAAGGTTATTTTAATACGGTAAAAGTTTTAATAATTGTCTATAGTTATATCCCTCTTATATTGGGGTATATATTTAAGAATCCGGGGTTTCCTATAGAAACGTCATAATTTAATAGATTAGTTCGTATAAATATAGAATTGGAAGTACGTTAATTCGGCGAATTAGAGATTATATTACAAATATGTATTATATTAGGTAAAGTAGTTATAAATGTTATTATTAATACTTATACTAAAGCGGTTTTAATTTTCTTAGGGATAATAGTCTATAAATCATACTATACGTATACCTTCGTATAGAGGAAGATTAAAAAAATAATAATAGACCTCTTAGATAGATTAATTACGTTTAGTAATTAATTTATTTATTAATTTAGTAACGAAAAATATTAAGAATTTAGTATTAGAAATGCGAGGAAGAGTTTAAGCCGTTAATTATTAATAAGATAGTAATTTAATTTCGGCTTTAGAATAATATTTGGTAATATAATAAAGTACGGCTTAAATATTAATATAAGGCGATACGTCCGTATTAATTAACTAACCTAGCGAAATAGTAGGGTTCTAATTATTAATATTAGTATTATTATATATAGTATCGAATATATTGTAAAAGGGGTTGAGCCTACGGGTAATATATAGACGGTTATATATATTGCGCGGAAAGTTAAAGTAGTATATAGGTTCTTCGGTTATTAAACCGTTTGGAAGTTTATAGCGTTATAAATAATATATAGGATTATATTAATACTACTATATATAATTATTTATACGGGATAGTATAGCGAAGGTAGGTTACTTATATTCACCTATACGTACAGTAAATATATTACCTTCGGCTATACTAGCCGGGGGCTGTCTATAAAGTTTAGGATTTATAGCCGTAATATAGATTCTTTAAAAAATAATAAAAGCGTCCTTACTTTCTAGTATTTTAAATTAATATATAAATACGCCTTTATATTAATATAGGCTATAATTATAAGGGCAACTACGAGTTTACTATTTATACGGGTCCTAATAGTCGATAATACGGAATTTTAGGATAAGAACCTTATTACGGAATATTCTATATTTCTTTTAGAAATACTATATACCAATTATTGGATTATTTTAATAAAAGTTTTATATAATCCTCCTACGTTCGCGTTTGCTATTATTAAATTATTTATTATACTAGGGTATAAATGTAGCTAATAATTTCTAATATAAATTAATTGACATAAAGGTAAGGAAAAGAGATAATATACTGAATTTATAAATATATATTTCGAGAGTTTATTTTTTAATTCTTTAATTGGGCCTAATATTATATAGAGTGTTTATATATTTTACAATGGATTTTAGGATATACTCGGCCTAATTTATATTGCCTTCAAACGCGGCCTTAAATTCTTATAAGCGGATAGTACCTTGTTTTAGATTACGATGGATATAGAAAGAATTCTTTTAATTAATTTAGTTCCATATTAGGGTATTAAAAGCGATAAATTAAAATTAGGTATAGCGAGTAAAGTAGTTATCCTTCTATTTTATAATATATTTAATATATTCTATATATAATACTTAATATAATTATTAGGCTATAAAATTTATTTTTCTTTAGGAGTATAAGGTAGGGAATACTTATAAGAATAATAATTATAATTAGTTAAATTCGTTTAGGAGGGTAGGCCGGGTAAAGGGGGGGATTTTTATATAATTATAGTAGCCCTATTTATTACGGTCTAATTGTATTAGTTTGGGCTCGGGGGTTGTTAGGTTGGATAGGAGACCGGGATTAGAGGGTAGATCAGGACTAGAGGGTAGAAAATCCGGATTAAATGCTATGTCGGCGGGAGTTAGAAGAGGTGCGGGAGTTAGAGGATTAGCCGGAGTATTTAGAATAATATTTAAAATTGGGTTTGGATTATAGACGGGGCCGAAATTAATATATTAAAGAGGGGGTTATTTAGGTTGTTATATTCGCTTCTAATTATTTAACTAGTCTATAAATTGGTTAAATTAGGCCTAGTTGGTTATAAGGTTTAATATAGTGGTAACTTTCTTATTTTTAATATTATTAACATTATCGTCCTTATTAATATTAATATTTTCTTTAACCTTTTAAGTATTTAGTTGGTCGAAGATATTGCCGTTCTCCGGAAGTTAAGAAAGGCAGGTAGGGTTAATAATAATATCCTAATAACTAGGGTAATTCGCCTGCAAATAATTTAATTAAATTTATATATTACGTTTATTAATAAAATAGTTTCGACGAAATTACTATCGTAATTATTCTTAGTTACTTATATTCTAGGGGCGAAGTATAATAATATTTAATTCTTCGGGTAGAAGGGGTAGACGATTATGTATTATACTAATATTTCGAAGAAAGTTAATAATATAGCTATAATAATAATATTGAACTACCTATATTAAATAAATATTAATATAAATATAAACCCGGGCAGTTATTTATTCCTCGATATATATAAATATTAGGAAACCGGGATTCATATCGCCGAAATTTATAAAGTTTTTAATAGAATAATAAAAGATATCCCCGGGTCTGTCCTTTTTACGCTTATTAATATAATATTTATATATACTATATATAACCCGTAGATTTAGCTATCTTTTTTTATATAGATCGTAATCCTCGTATTCGATAGTAAATATTATATTATTAAATTTACTTATATAACTCTCGTTAACCGGTTTAATTACCTTTTATTAGAGGTTGGGGTTATAATTAATTATAAAGGGGGGACGTTATTCCCAAGGTTAGAAAGGGGAGTTAAAAAGAAGTATATACTCCTAATTAAGGAGATCTTCTAATTCGGGTTAAGGGATAACGAATTCCGATTAAGTTATATTAAAATTAAACATAACTATAACTCTAAGGGTAGGTGGTATTAGAGGCCGAGGGGGCTTAGGGGGCGCCGGTATACTTAAAGTAAGGCCCCGAAGACGTAATAGCGTTAATATTTAGAATAAAGAAAGGGAGAATAATAATAGGATATTTAATAGTAAGAGGTTACTACTAATACTAGTAAAATTGGTATTACTTTAATGGTTATCGTCTTCGTCGTCTTCGTATTTATATTAATCGTCCTAAAAGTATTTTAGATATTGAATTATTTTATTATTACAGCTATTAATCAATTCACTACATTGTTATTTATTTTTATATTAATAATAAAAGATTTATTTTATAGCGATTATTAATTTAAATATAAAATATTAGGGTAGTCGATTATATATAACCGAACCTGGGTTTAGGGAATTATCAACGGGATTAATATATTAGAGTTCTTATTTAGTTTAAAAGCCGGATTTACGTAATAAATATAAAAGTTTATAAAGGTTGGGCTTTAATATTGGACGTCCTTTAAATAGGCAATATTATAATTATAGTAATTAAAGTAAGCCGGACCTTGGTTATTATAATAGCTGTCTTTAATATTTACTTTAAAACTAACTATTTTAATATTAGCCAGGGTTAATATTAATATATTAAGGGATAATAGAAAACCTAGTAGGTTATATAATATCCGAAGAGAGGGTATAAAAAAACGTCCTTATTATTGAAATGGTAGCGTCGATAATCCCTACGGATTATTTTACAAGTTCGTCGGGCTTCTATAATAGAGGGCGAATTTTATAAATTTATACTTTGTCATAGAAAGGAAGGATTTAGTATATATAAAGTTAATATATATAAAGCTAATATACGTAGAATTAACGTACGTAGTTAATTATTAATAATAGTATTCTATATAAGCCGTTAAAGTAAAGTATTATTAGGGGCTAAAAATTATAGACGGTATATTATAAGCGCTATAAGAATTTCCTAAATAGGCTCTAGAACGGGTACCGGTATAATAAGTATACCCGGTACGTTGGAAGCCGCTTCTATAATAGTAAATCGGTTACGAATATAATTAATTATTAAGGATAAATTCCGTTAATATTAAATTTAAATATTATAATATTTACGATATTATTAAACTAATTTATTTTAGAACCGTTTAAAATAAATTTATATAATAAAAATTCTTTTCTATAATTCCTATATTATTATAATTAAAACTCTTCGTCATTATTTTAAAAATACTATCTAAACGGCGGAAGAGAGCTAAAGGGAGAGCTAGGGGGATTAATAATTAAAACTATATTTATTGTATAAATTATAAAGAAACTCTATCTGTACCGCTATATTTCTCTATCTGTACCATAACCCACTTTTTTTCCCTAACCCTCGTATTCTCCCTAATATTCAATATATTCTTTTATAAATTTCGCCCAAATTCCCCGCAAAATCTAGGCATTATAATATTTTATAATATAACTTCAGACTATAGTACCCCACCCAAATTTACACTACGATATATACCTATATTAGTCATTTTATAAAGTAGTCTTATAGCGTATTATAAGGCATTTAGTAGCCCGGTCGCATATTATACTCAAATCAATTAATCGTACTCAATTAATTAATCGCACTCAATCTATATTAATCTATACATTATTAATCTATCTAATTTTTATCATAAATCTGGATACTAGAGCTTCCTAGAGCCTCCTAGCGCATTTATTAGGCTTGCGTACCAACGATACGTACGCTGCGCCAGCTACTCTATATATTAGTTAGAATACTAGCTTGCGTACTTCCTTCTCTTATAGTACTAGTAGTACTTTCTCCTCTACCCCGTATTATATTACCTCCTCTCCCCCCTCTACCTCCTCCTCTTACGGTATTACCTCCTCTTTGTATAGTCTATATAAAGCTTCGCGGGCGACTTCGTTCTTTCTATAACGGAAGAGGCGGCTAGTAGTCTACTTTATCCTCTACCTTTAAATTAACGCCCTCCTATATAAATACGTTTCACTAGATTAATAGCGCTACTTATATCGAAACTATAGGGTTGCGGCTTACCTTAGGCTATCGGCCGCGGGTAGGCTAGAAGCGTAGCCGTCCCTATCCCCGGGGACCTTATAAAACCGCTATTTGGAATTGAATTAGCGCCGTAGAAGGTAGAGGAATTTGAGTATTAATTAGTACGGTCGGTCGGGGCAAGGGAATTTAAATATTAATTAGCGTTTTTAATTGAAGAGTGTAATGGTCGTATGTAAAAGGTCTTGTATTTCGAGGGCGGCTACGTAGATTCTCTATACGGTTAAAGTTATAATATTTAAGGTACTTATCTTCGTTAGTTAGACTCCTTTTAAGCTACTAGTAGGGGTAAAAGTCCTATTTCGTTAGTTTTAATAATTAAAGCCGGGTAAGAAGGCTAGGGAATAAGGAATACGAATATAGTAAACTAAATCGCTTAATAAATTTGCCCGTATATAGCTTTAGCTTATCAGGAACTGGCTTCTAGGCCGTAGGGATAATACCTAAAGTAATATATATATCTTGTCTTATTACGCTAAACTATACTATAGTTTTATCCAATGGGTATGCGGTACTACTTCCTTTCTTAATTTAGAGGAAAAACCGTATAACGGATAAAAACCCCTAACTACCCTATTTCTAACCCTAATCCTAGCTCCCACGCCTAATACGCCGCCTTACTACGTTACGCTCAGAGGAGATTTTGGTTACTTTATTATTTATTATCTTTTCTTATCGTTATTTTTCGTCCCAATAAACTTCATTACTTTTAATTAATTAATTCTAAAACCCCGCCCCTCCTACCCGGCGCTTCGATGCCGCGTTTTCGTCAGGTAATTCTTTATCCTATTTTTAAAATATAAGGGTAGAAGGGAAGGGTCTTATTCGTTAGAATTCTTCGCTGATTAAGCTCTATCGGTTGCTTATATATATACGCTTATATAGGCCGGGATTAGTAAGAGATAACGTAATTAACTAATTATCGTAGTCGCCGTACGGGTTTTGTATTTTAATACCGAATTAATACTATAGCTCCGGAATAGATTTTAGAAGTAGGGTTCCAATTCCAAAACCCTATTAATTAGAGCGGAAAGAGAAGCCATTTCTTCAAATAAGGATAAATTTTATATATACCCAATTACGTATTGCCACAGTTTTAGACTAGAGCGGGCCCTCTATATTTTTAACGTTTATTTAAGGAAGAAAGTAGGGAACAAATTTCATCCGAAAAATCGGATAAAAGAGAAGGGAGCGGGATTCGAACCTACGACCTTTCGGATAAAACCGAAGGTAAACCAAATTCAGATCTTCCCAACTGAGCTATCCCTCCCCTAAAGTAATATAGTATTGTTTAATAACTAATTTAAGCGCCCTCTAGTATACCTAGTTAAAAACCTCCCCTAATTACTATATATTAAAGTACTTATACTAGGTAAATCTTAACTCTTTATCTACGTATTTATCGATTCCGCGCTTTATTATACGAAGGAGGCTAAAATTCTATATAATAATTATAATAATTAAACCATTACCTATATATAGAAGGATAATTAATATACTATAAAATGTATGGGGGGAAATATAGCTTACTACTAATAATAAAGCTTTTCAAATTACGGTTAGCTAATTCAATTGGCGATGTAGTACGATGGCCAAAATTAAGCCTCTCGTTAATATAATAGGTAGCCCACTCCTCTTTAATATAGATGTACGTTTTATTTAAATACGTAATACTTGCCGTTTACTACGAGAAAAAGCTCTTAAGCCTCTCCTAAGCAGTATTGAAGTCCTTAATAGTATACGCATAGTACGTATATTTCTAGAAATTGTAAAGTCCAATCCTTAAATACTCTACGGTATTAGGCAATAGAGGTAATTAATTTATATTATCTATTAATTGATTTATACGAGTAATTACGTATTAATCTTCCTTATCGAATTCCTCTAGATTCGTTGTATTATTGGGTTAGGTTGGCTGGGCTGCCCGTTGTATTAATACTAATATTTCTTGCTAGAATTGTACCTTATTTCTAGTAGTATAAATATAGTTAACCTAGGCGGCGACCTTCTTATCCTATTTGCGCTTGATGTTTAATACTATATTTTTATTGATATAAAAGATATATAGTTGAGAACGCGCTTCTAGATAAATTCGTTTAATGGCTACCCTTACTGTTATGTTGTAGTTTATATTAGTTATTATCGGTTTGGAAGCGTTGATAGTTTCACGATAATTATTAATTCGGTCTATTAATTAATTAAATTCCTCCTATCTCTCGTTATTGATAAGGCTAAAACCGTAGTTAAAAGTATATTTAGTACCAATTATACTAATAATTTAAAAGAAAGCGAGGCCTTTATTATTCGTTTTATACGTATTATCGTATATTTAAATCTATAGATTTTAGCGCTAGAGTTCCTCATACTTTGGATTACTCTAGAAGAGGGTAAGCGGTTTAGTCCCTTCTTCAAACGTAGAGGTAGAGAAAGTTAAATCCTCTTAAACGGCGTTTACTTAATTAACTTTAAAGTAGACCCCCTTCTTTTTAAGGAGCTTTATTGTAAGTTGGAAAGGGTTAATTAAAAATAGTATAATACTTTGAAAACGAACTTTTAGGCTACTTATAATAAATAATTCCCTACTTTCTAAAATATATTACGTTTAGCCGAGGGAGAGTTTATACGTATTAGTACTAAGGGTAACTATAATATAGTAATAATATTAGCGAGAAAGCGGAGTGTAACGTTAACCTCGCTCGTTAATGACCTTCGCAAAAAATTATATACTTATTATAATAAGAAGTATTATAATAAGGAAGGATATTGGGAGTTTTACCCTAAATTAAAGAAAGAATATAATGCCCGCAAATAGAGAAAGAAGGAGAGAAATTTATTTTTAATATTAATTTCGGCGGTAATAAGTTTTAAAATTTTTTTTTTTAATAATTTCTACCCTTTCTTTACTAATTTATAATCAGATAGAAACCGATTGTTGTATTTATTTTTAACGATATATTTTACGATGGAATGAAAGACTTCCATTTGTTTTAAATATTATATTTCCTTAATTTAGGATATAATTAATATATAATAATTATTCGAAGTAATTTTATTATTTTCGAATTATATAATAGTTCTAACATCGGTATTGGTAGCGTAAAGGTCCTAATATTAGGTATTAGCGAAGTAGAAGAGAAATATGTTTTTAATAGTATAGTTACTATAATTCGATTTGAGAAAATCTTTTTTGCCCTAAAATTTAATATTAATTTATTTTCTATAATTTGATTTTTTAACTACAATTTAAATATAATTCTATTTAGAAACTACTAGCATATTATGAAAGCCGGTATAAGTATCCAAACTAACCCCTTCGGTATTTTCTTTATTTTATAAATTATTAATATTATTTAATAAATTTTAGTTTTTTGTTTAATTAATTTAAGAATGAAATTTTAGTACGACCGTATAGGGTAATTAAGCGAAGAAAATTTTGTTAAAATATAGGATATAGTTAGCGGGATGAAAGATATATAATAGTATTATATATATAAATTATACGTTTGTCACGGGTCTACTAGGTTATGCACGGTAGTAGGGGTGGAACAGAGCTTAAGATTGTTAACAAAGAGGAAAAGGTCTGCAGGCCTAAATAGGTCTGTAGAGACATAACTGTATATTAAAATAAATAGGTAGCCTAATTGGCAATAGCTAACTACGGAGCATACCTCGGCCCGAACAGGCTTAGCCAGGCCTACAACCGGGCACCATATCCCTAGGCGCTAGCCTTTTATATTACTCTCCTACTCCCTCTCCCCGCATGTATAAAAATAAAGATAATAAAAATTATTATATATAAAGAATCCCTGGAATCGATAAGCGGTTTATAACTGTACCATAATCCTCTACGTTAAATACTCCTAAACCAAATACTCTAAATAACACGATTACAAATAAATAAAACGACGTAGACAACTAGAATCTCACTACGGCCAACGCAAAGAGCCTACGCATATCGCACCCGTCCTGAAAGTAAGCCCCCGGGAACTGTTAACCTCAATACCTATATTATACACGTACGCGGCCGCTAGAGCGAGGGAATAAATCTTCCCCTATACGCATTTCCAAATCACTATATATAATCCAGCCCATCTATCCGTATAAACCTTCGTCTTAACTATCCTACCGATAAGGCGTTATAGCGAAACTACCTAATTAAGTAAAAGTCTTTTTATAACCCTCCTTCTTATAGGAACCGTAACGAGGCTTTAGTATGATTTTAATACAATTTCTACCGTTAATACCTATAAAGCAACACTATACAATTTCTTCTCACGGTAGTTACAACTATATATTTAACGTATTATAATCCTATATCGGTTATAAATAGAGGCTATTATTCAAAAATTCCGGGGAGCAACGGTTTTAACCCTTTCCTCTTAAATAAAGTCTTTCTAGGCCGATTCTCACTCCCCTAAGTAGTTTCCACTCGTTATTATAAATCTCGTTATTATTAAAGTCCCTAACCAATTCAACGTAGGTAGCCTATAATTATACGGCCTTGCCCTTACCCTTATTCGAAGGATACTCCTTTACTTAGTATACTTAGGAACTACAGCCTATATAGCGGTTCTCCTTCTTCTACCTTTATCGTTATTTAAGTATAATAATCCTAGTACCGTTGCCTCTTAATAGACTACTACGTTTCCTTACTCTTATTGTTCTCGTGGCGCCAATCTATATAGGATTACCAGCGTTTATAGCCCTAGAAAGATAATTGTTACTATTAAGATGGCGAAAGGATTTTAGTAGTTTTAGCTAAGTATCTAGGGCTTTTAGGCGCTCCTTAAAGCGATCCTTCCATTCTTAGTTAATATTATTCTTTAGAATGGCAATTTTGGCGTCGTTTGGCTACGTAGAAGCGCCGGCTTTGTAGAGAACGTTCTCGAAGCGAAGGAGGAATTTCGTTATCAGCTCCTTTATATTAGCTTAGAAAGTATCGAAAAATTCCTAACTTGCACGCTTATCTACGTTCGGGTCGCCGTACGCAAAATAGATCTTCTGGAGAAGGCGGTCAGAGGAACGGTTAGAGGGCTATTTAGCGAACGGGAATAGCTCGATCTTAATAGACGGTGAAAGGCTAGAGTAGAGGTAATGAAATTAGCCCTCTAGATTACTAATAGCGTAGCCGTTTGTATACAACTTCGTTTCGGCGTTGTAAATCTAAGCGTCGACCTTTGGGGTAGTCCCTATAAATTTGTTAAGATGTGGGAGGATTAGCTTCGGGGCTACAGATTTAACAGTAGCGAATTCGGCGACGAGGGCGGAGATTGAAACAGTGAATTGCTATTGGCGTTTAGCGGCGTTTTAGGCCTAAGGGATAGAAGCTATAGCGATAAGAAAAGAGGAGTTACAAAGAAGAAAAAGGCTGTATAGACAATCAAGGGCTCTTAAGGCAGACGAAAGCAAAGCATTTAGAAGGATTTAAAAAGAGGGTTAATAATATATTACGGGTTTACTAGGTTGTATACGGTAGTAAGGGTGGAATAGAGTTTGAGATTGTTAATAAGGAGGAAAAGGTCTGTAGGCCTAAATAGGTCTGCAGAGACATAGTTATATACTAGAATAAATAGGTGGCTTAGCTGGCACTGGCTAACCAGGGAGCATACTTCAGCCCGAACAAGCTTGGCCGGGCCTGCAGCCGGGCACTATATCCCTGGACGCTAGCCTATCACAACGTTAAAGGCCGGATAAAAAGAAATTTATATTATAGTAAATTTAGATAGGCCGAATATATATTAAATATAATCTATATAAATATCTACGGGTGTTTTAATATTATTAGGTATTGTAAAGAATACTATTAGAGTATACTAGTTAATAAATATAGTAAATTGAATAGTTTATTAACTATGAAAGATAAGGTAAGAATTTAGTAATTTATTTAATAGTTTGTATATATATTAGCAATAAGGGAACTTTAAAAAAAGAAATACTACGTTATTTATTTCGATAGGGCTTAAAAATTTAATGGTAACGAATTTATCAAATAGGCCGTTAAGCAAAGGACGTAAATCGAAAAGTAAATAATTAAATAATATTAATTAAACGATATAGTAAAAAGTTTAAACTTCTATTTATAAGAATAACGTTTGCTTACTATAATTAAAAGGAATATTCCAAAGAGATTTTAATTAGAAATCCCTAAAACAATTAACTATGTTAAAAATAGAAGCCCTTATTTAACCTTTAATAAAACGCATTTTAAACTAATCTATAAATAAAGATTAGACGTTAATAATATTAAAGGTATTAGTACTATAATTTAATATTTAATTCCGTAAGTAAATAGGAAGAAGATAGATAAAAAAGCGGTTAAATACGTACTTATTAGATTCGAAGGATATACGGTCTATATGTTCTTAATATTAAACGGTTAAGTGATTAAATTAAATAACGTTTATTTTAAAATAGAAAAGACCCTTATTAAATGTAGAATAATAAACGTAATTATATAAATCATTCCAAACCTAGACCGGATCCGACCCGACGTTATAGCGGCGGATAAAAGTAATTAAACTAACGCTACAGTTCCGAATAAGGGTAGGCAAATAGGTTTTAAAAGTAAGTAAACGGATTATTCTAGTGGTAAATATATAGATCTATAAGATAATTAACCCCGGACCCTGGACTAGGGTAAATAATTAATGAATCAGGGTAAACTAGGGGGTAATAAAAGTAAATAGGGATTCTCCAATTTACTATTTATAATTTTATTAATAATACGGTCTCTACCTTATAACCGTTAATAATAAAGGTCTATTATTAAACGAATTATACTAGTAAGATAACGGTAAATATTAAATGACCTTTCTTTAGGTACTTTAATAGTAAATAATGAGTTTGGAACCTAAACCGGCGCTTTATTAGGCTGTAATGTAGTATAAACGTAAATAACGCCTTTGCTACTAGCTTTTACCATTGAAGGATATTTGGAATTCTAATATCTATTAAGAAATAAAATTTTTAAATACCTTTATCCGATTTAATATTATATATTATATATTAGAGGGACGGATTTAGAGGAAGGAATTGAATTATTATAATTGAAGGAAATAAAAGAGAGCTTCTTTTAAGATAAGTAGTTAGGAATTATAATTAATAAATATAAATCTTTAATTAAAAATAATATATAGGAATTAGTAAATATGATACCGGGAATATACGTTTTATACGATAAGTAGGTTTATAAATTTCAAACGCGGGCTGAATAATAAAGTTAGAGAAAGTCTTTTCGCACCGCCATCATTGTCTTCAGACACCGCTATCCAAAATGTTTTTCAAAGTAACTCTACCGAAATAAGACCTTATGATTTATAAAGAGGCTTGTAATTTTTGTCTTCTTTTACTCTACCAAGCGATACTCATATTGTAATTATACACCATCTATAGCCTTAGTAATGTAAAAAAAAATTAAAGATAAGCCTAATTAACTTTTAATATTAAACTTTTGCTCCTACCGCGGGGGTAAAAAGGGGTATGAGGGAGATGTTGCCTTAGTAATATGAAACAAAAATCAACAAATTTTCTGACCCTACTATTGTATTCGTAGATTCAAATTTGGCTAAGTTATACTTAGTTCAATTTTGGATAGCGGTGTCTGAAGACAATTATAGCGGTGCGAAAAGACCTTCTCTAAAGTTATTAGACGAAAGGTTTAACAATTAGTCTACAATTTTAAATAAATTGAACGCGTAGACTATTTTGAAACTTTTGTTTTTGTTATTAAATTAATAAGTTATTAAATCCTATTTGCTATTATTATAATTCTAGATTTCAAAATTGAATAAATAGATATTAAAACCGCTTTCTTATATAGGAATATAGAAGAGACGATTTATATAGAATAATTATTGGAATTTAACGAAGGATTAAGAGTATATAAATTTAATAAAGCATTCTACGGATTTAAATAAATACTTAGGATTTAATTTAATATATTAACGTTAGCGCTAAAAGACTTTAGCTATACTCCTATTATTATTAATTGTAGAATATTTTTTAATGATGACATTTTCGTAGCTATTTATATAGATAATTTACTAATCGTAAGTAAAAATAAGGCTGAGATTTAGAATTTGAAGGATATATTAAACGAAAGGTTTTAAATACTAGATTTGGGTCCTTATTACTACTATTTTAATATTCGTATTACCTAGAACCGCCGGGAACGGATTATCTATTTTGACTAATAGGGGTATATCCATAAGATTTTTACTTAATTTAATATAATTTTATATAATTAAGCGGATATTCTAATAATAACCGACCGTTTTAAAAAAGTAGAGGAGAATTAGACTGCTAAGAAAATTAAAACTATTATATTTTAATCCGCCGTCAGGTCCTTAATATACGTTATATTTATTATTAGGCTAGATATTACGTACGCTATATTAATAATTAACCGTTATATTATAAACTCCGCCAAAATATATTTCTAGGCGCTTAAGAGGATTGTTAAGTATTTTAAGGGTACGAAAAGTTTAATATTAATATTTTTACGGGAACTAAACCCTCTAGAAGGGTATTTAGATTTAAATTAGGTTAGTAATTACAATATTAGAAATTCTATATTTAATTTTGTATTTAACGTTAGTAGTAGATCGATTGATTGGAATTTAAAATGATAATAAACGGTAGTTTTATTATTAATAGACGAAGAATATATAGGATAGATATTAGCGTTTAAGGAAATAATTTAATTAAATAAATTATATATAAAATTTAATATTAATTTTCGAAGGGGAAGTAAGGCCAATAAAGTAACTATTATCTATTATAATAATTAGGGCGCTATAGTACTTACAAAGAACCCAATATAATATTAAAAAATAAAGTATATTAATATTCAATAGTATTTCGTACGTAATAAGGTTGAAGATAGAACTATTAATTTTATTTATATACCGATAGAGGAGTGGATAGTTAATAGATTAATTAAATTATTTAAGATTTATTTTTACGTTTTAGAGATAGTATTGGCCTTATCGATAGGAGTAGGGTACTTAGAAGCTTCGAGGAGGATATAAGTATTATTAATTTATTTACTAGCAAGGAGATAAATTCCTGTAATAGCGAGGACGAATATTAATAAGCCTCGTTGACAGATATAAAGTAAGGAGAAGTCTTAATACTATTTATATTTAGTAAAGGGGAGTACTAAATATTATAGATCTTTATAGTATTAAGCCTCATTAGCTTTGTGAGTAGAGCCTTATATATGTCGATATATAGGTAGATAAGGGTATTTAAGGGTAGATAAGGCAAGCGAGTATAAAAGGCGGTAGTTACATCGCATAGATCTAGCTTACTCTTATTGAATGATATGGCTTTTCTCCCATTCTCTTACATACATTTTGACACCAGACCCTTTTTTGACCCACTTTTCCTGCTTGTACTATCATGTGTTTGACCGTCATCAACTTCGAGTCGTTCACTCAAAGATCTGGGACCAACAACAATCCAACACGGTGCGGGATCTATATTCGATCATGCCGTTCCCTCTTTTCCTCTTCGGGAAGACAGATGTTATTCTGTGTGCCAAAATGTCAACTTCGCAGCTGTTTACCCATTTCTCTCTATCTCTTCTGCCCAAGGGTGTTGCAGCCCTCACAGTCAGCTGGGCAATAAGTGCCTGAATCGGGTTGGTTTGGGGTATAAATAGGAAATTTCTTGAGGAAGGGGCTTTGCTTCTGCATCCTTTATTATAATGCGTGAGCGGGAATGATCCAAGGGAACCGCTTTCAATAAATTCAGACGGAGTTCGGACCCGTATCACTTGCTGGTCTCTCAGAACGACCCGGAATGGCCTCTTCGGCATGACCAGTTACAAATACAACAAGCACCGGACTTTTCTGCAAGGAAATCATTTGGGTCACCTCCCATTTGCCAAGGGCAGTGTTAGGTCAAGCAGAAGATGGTATTACCATTGTTGGTTAAATCGCGACAAGGAATTTGCCCGCCAAAGTCATTGTTCGGTTTCCATTCAGACGATTGCAGAGAGCGTGCACGCAGTACGCAGATTGAAATATAGCTTCCTGGATGTATGCGACGGACTGGAACATGCATGGCAGTGCAGTGTCCCTCGGCATCTCCCCGCAATAACATGAATTGAAGCAGGACAGCGGGCTGGAAGAGTAAGAAACGGTGCAAAGGAGTAAGAAGATGTGACATAGTACCTCTAGTAGGTACAGAATGAAAAGGAAGGAGTGAAGAAGGTCGTGAGTGAGTGTTCAGACTCAGTGCATAACAAAAACAAAAAGATTGAAGAGAAAAAGAAGAGATTGCGCAGTCCAGGATTCGAACCTGGGTCGCTCGCATGATGACATAGTCGTTCGATCACCTCTTGGAGTCCCGGCACTTGCGTTTGGGGAGCGAGAGTATTAACCACTATACTAACCGCGCTTTTTGTTTGTTGAACGAGCCTCCGGGGGACCAGCTTATGAAGGGCCAGTGACGGTGGGCCTGGAAGGTGCGGTACGGCAGGTACGTAGGCGGATAGGGTACGTGTTACCCACCCCTGCTACCTCGTCCGAGTCCCGTGTCGGATACGCCTAGGTGGCGTAGGCTTCCCGTCGCGGAGAAAGAAGGAAGGAAGGCAGGAGAGAAGGAACGTCAGGCGGGCACGGTTCTTGGCAGTTAGCAACTGGCAACTCTGGCAAGAGACAATAATCTTAATGTGAAGGAAAATAGTGGCACTTTTGAACATTACATGGGAAGCCGAAGAGCATGCAGTCGCAGCTCTAGGGATGGGGGTTCACGTACACTACAAACAGATCATCACCGGCAAAGGGAGAACATGCGTCACACATCATGAAGGCTGGTATCGAGTGGATTAGATATTGATGTGTCCAAACGCAGGACGTTGGATATACACCTGTACTGCACCTACCGAATAGGTAATCTCGGGAACTCAGAATGGCTCAGACGCAGGGTTGAATCAATACTCCTTCCAAGTTCCAAGCAACTTCCCTGTGATGGGGCCGGCGTCGCTGCATGCTGCTCTTGATGGTGGTTGCTGAATAAAAATGGGGCTCCTGTGGCGACTCAAAGGCGTAAGCGGTAATCGTGGAGTCTGGGTGGGATGCGCGCTCATTTGAGCAATTTTGGACTTTTGTCTTTTTTCTTTCTTTTTTGTCTTTTTCCCTTTTAAAGTGGGTCTATGAGCTTCGCTGGCCAATGTAAATGCGTGTTGGCTGCACAGTGCAAGCAGACTGCCCCTGCCCTTGCACCCACACGATCGACAAGCCACTTGAAACTTTATTGCGACTTCATTCAACACTCACCCTGTTCTCGTTCTTCATCAGTGAGCTATCAGTGACCCCTCTTCCGCTCCGTTGTAGCGCCATCGAAGTTCTCAAGACAACACACAACCTTCTTGCCCTCATCACACTAGTCTCACCACAGCATCCACAGGACTGCAAATCACCGACACGCCAAACACGTCATCCGCTAGATCCAAAACGCGTTCATTCAAGATGTTTATGATCGTTGCTATCATCCGGAACTGGAGGGTTGACTGGCGTCGCGTCAGAGACGAAGCTATTCGGATGTTAAGGATATTGACCGGAGCGTTGTGAGCAGCCCGTCTCCTATCCCATCAGCACGCCAACCTTCTGAGCAAGGTTTAATACATTGTCGACTACTGTAAAAACATAATCTGATCAGGTCATCTTCCCTTGTAGAGGTAATGTCTTCTCATTCGATTCCACCTTCCTACATGGTAGTGTAGAAGTTTCCCGATGGTGTCAATCACCTGACGATGCCCTTTCAACCATCTCGACGTTTCTTGGAACGACGCAAACCGCACCTTCGCCCTCCATTAATATACGCCTCATCACCAGCCAATCGGCGAACTTGCCCGCAATTTTCTCACGCGAGCCCGGAAGATAGATCGTGGAGACGGGTGACGACTGCCGTGTGCTCGGAGCCATACTGCCGAACAGGCTATCATACCCGATATTGGGTTGTATCTATCCCGGCAAAGTGGTTGGCCACAAGAATCGACGACACTCCATCACATATCGTGATATATGGCAAGGTTGAAACCACCACGCAACATAGTCGACTCGTCCCGTCTTGGCATGCCCTGGATCTTGTTTTGTTTCCGGAGTCGGTCATATAGAAGGGGATCGCATGCCCACCGTGTTTCCCAGATTCTTCTGCTACCTCTCCTCCGGTTTCAAGGTCTCTCTATGTCATTTACCTATAGTTGCGGCAACCCGAGGACTCGACATAATGCGTCTGTTGAACATCTTCGCTATGACAGCGCCCCTTCTGGGTGCCGGTATGTTGATTTCCCTTCCTGTTTCCACCATGACAAGTAACTAATTCAAGTTCACAGATGTCCATGCTGAAATCGCAAAGCTCCCGCTCCCCAAGAGCTGCAGCGGCGTCCCCAAAATGCGCTACCAATACACCGTCAACGCCGCCTGGACTGTCATGAAGATCGCCGGCAGCTTGAAGCAAGTACGAACCATCATCTGGGACACCGAAGGCAACATGCTCGTCCAGCAAAACACCAGGGGCATTTCTGTGCACACCTTTGGCGCCGATGGTTGCATCAACAGCACCAACATGCTCATCTCCGGCGGCGGTCTCAACCACGGCTTGGACTTGACCCCCGATGGCAAGACTCTCTACGCTTCCTCGGAGACGACGCTCTACAGCTGGGCGTACGATCCTCTCACTCGCAAGGTCAGCAACCAGAAGACGATTGTCAAGGGCATGTCGACGGGTGTACACTCGTCTCGTGCCGTCAAGGTTGTACCAGGTCAGCCGAACCTGGTCCTACTGCAAGTGGGCAGCAACTCCAACTTCGACATGGCTGCACAAGAGCCGTCAACTGGTCGTGCTTGCATCAAGGTCTTTGATACGAACAATGTTCCCTCGGGTGGCTACAACTATAACACGCAGGGAGAGATGTTTGGGTACGGCTTGAGGAACGAGATCGGCTTTGTCCCTGATCCCAACGGTGTCTTTTGGGGCGTTGAGAACAGCGGTGATGTGAGTGATTCTCCCGTTTCCTTTTCTACCTACCTTCCTCCGGCCTCTTCTGACATCGTAATAGGACTTCATCCGCACCGAAAACGGCCAACGCAAAGACATTCACACCAACAACCCAGCCGAGAAGCTCAACAACCGTAAGCTCCTTTCCTTCCCACTCTTTCCTCACCCCCTTATTCCCAATAACGACTAACCCCCTCCCCTCCAGTCGGCGACCCCCGCACCGTCCGCAGCGCCTGGTACGGATACCCAACCTGCTTCTCAGTCTGGGACCCCTCCCCCTTCACCAACGGTCTCAAAACCGGCCAACACTTCGTCACAGCTCCCAACTCCTCCTACAACGACGCCACCTGCAACGGCAAAGCCATTGCCCCCCGGCTCACCTTCCAAGCCCACTCCGCTCCCATCTGGAACACCTTCGACGACGAGGCCAAGAACATGTACATCACCTTCCACGGGTCGTGGAACCGGCAGCCGTCTACGGGATTTAAAGTCGTGCAGGTGCCCTTCACGAGGTTGGCGGATGGGAGTTATGATCCTGTTGCTCCCGCAGATAGTAGGACGGGGTATACGGATATCTTTTCAGCGCCAAATCCGGGGAGTTGCACGGCGAATGGATTGACGCAGAGTAACTGCTTTAGGTTGACGGCTGCTAGTTGGGATCCAGCGGGACGGGGACTGTTTGTGGGGAGCGATAATAGTGCTGAGGGGGAGATTTATATCTTGAGTCCGAAGTCGTGAGTGGGTTGTGCGGAAGGGGAAGACTGTTGGATGTAGATTTAATATGCGAATATCTGTCATTCTCGTTGATGGTTGTGGTAGAAAATTGATGTGACCTTTGGTGTGAGCCTCCGAGCCTTGTTTGGTCCACGTCAGTGACGCTGAGGCGTGCATCAATGCTACACGTCCATCCTCTCGGAGATATGGAGACGGTGCACAAGTCTGTAGCATCTGTATCCCATTGTGCATGTCCTTCGCTACCTCTATGTTGCAGTTCCCTATTTAGGGGTGTTTGTGTTGTACTCTGTTCAACATCCCGTCACACATATTGCCGTCTGGTCCCACAGAAAAGGGGTACCATGAGGAAGAGCCGCAGCTCACGCCTGTAGCGCTGTAGGAGAAGCCAAAAGGCTGAGCAGTGAGCACCGATATTCTCCCCCATTTAAACCCTAACTCGATTGGTGCACGTATAAGAAATGGTTGTACACGCGGAGTAAATACCTCTGAATGATTCATGGCAAGATATCGAAGCCCGTTTATTCCCACTGCTTTCCAGTCCTGACTAAAACCGCGAAGAAGAATCCAACGCTCATATTCATCCAGTTCCCAGCTTCAAAAGACCTTCCTCGATACATGTACCTGTAGGTACCTCTACCTCACTTCTCCTCACGGTCAGCCTCCTCTCTCGGTTCAGCCTCCAGAACTTTCTTCGACTTTTTACCCGGTGTCATCCTCAATAGCGCACTACCGACGCTCCCGACGCTCTTTGCTACATCACTGATGATTTTCTTCGGCGTAGTCCTTGGGCCCTTACGAGACATCCGAGTCGGGGTAGTCGGCGGCGTCTCTGGAGGTGGACCTGACACGGTGTTCTTCCGCGGTATATCTGGAACAATCATAGCCCGAGGCAGCGAGACCAGAGACGTGGATGGTGTATCCTTAAACGGCAGAGAAGCGCAACTGTTGTTGGTCGTGATATACCCCGACTTCTCTTGTTTTGGGTTGAAACGCTTGGAGCCGAAGGCGCCAGCCCTGCCTCTTTTTGGGCCATTTCCTTCTGAAACCCGCAAGAGCAAGACCCGATCAAGAACCTTCCAGTATGAGTCGTTGCGGAGGAAATATTTCTTGTTGAAAATGTAGTCGTAAGGGTTCTCAAAGTGGTAGGGGAGGAGGATGTCCTCCCTGCATCTGTATGACACATTGGTCTCAACATAGGATCGTTTTCTCAAGTAATCATGATCGGATCGCCAGTTTTCGGGCTGCGGGGAGAGGTGAAGAATAGCTCCAGCATCCTTGTCAGACTCTCCATTGTATATCTGCATGTATGATGCTCTTTTGTCGGCGTCCCTGGGGTCGGGGAATTGCTCAATAAGTTTGTTGCCGCCGAACGAGGTCATCTCCACCGAAGGACTCCATGTTAGAAGTGATTTGGTTGGAAAAGGAGATGAAGGGCGGGAGAACTGACCTTTTGCACGACGACATAACCCTCTTCATCTGGATCAGTGAGGACTAATACTGGATGATGGTACCCCTCTGGGTCCATGTAGTCTTGGTAGGATCCCCATGCTTGAAGGCCTTCCTCTGGTATCTCCTGTGGTAGAAACATAATTTGTGCGGCAAGGGAGTACGGATCACGCGAGCGAGGGGCTCTCCCCTTCGTGTCGTCGCCAACTCCATTGCTATAGGTGTTGTCTTTGCTCTTGTAGGTGTTGTTCTGACAGTCAATATGGAGGGTGTGACTGGCATTGCTCGGAGTTCGGTGGAGTCCATCAAGGTCGCCGTTAATGCCATTGGGGCGGCTTTCAATATTGGCCCAGGCGGAATGACTGCTGCCTCCAAAATCACCATAGCTGAAACGATGGTCACCCCAATCAAAAGGAATCTGCTCCTTACGTCGTGGTGCCATCCTAAATCAGAAAAGAAGGGATTGAAGTAGTGTCTGACAAGTGATAGCTCGCCAAATGCCGCCATCACAAACCCCCCATCAGAACATGAAGCAGACGAGCCATACATCTTATACCACTCCCACTTCCTCGACTTCAGCCGCCATCAAGACCACAAGATCGCATTTCATGGCTTCTTCATGTATCACAGGTGTTCATGTCCCACTTTCGTAGGTCCAAGTTTAACCCACGTCGTGATTCATGACATGAAGTCGTTGCGCGCGGCTGCTGTGCGGCTCTTGTGTTGCGGCTCCCTATGCCTCTTCCCGCCTGCGCCGCCCGGTCGCATTCCTGTGTGACGTACGATAAGGTACCAGACAGTCTAGCAACCTCAATGTAGCTGTCTTCTGTGCAGATCTCAAAAGCAGGAACGCCGGAAAAGGACTGAACATATGGGGAAGGCGTACGGGCCGAGCCGCTTGTGCTGCTGGATGCGTCAGCCTCGGATGTGGTCAACGTCGTCGCTAATCGCTCTTGGAGAACACTCAGTCAACGGCACACAGCAGCGTAATCCCTTGGAACAGCAATAGAAAGATCCTATTTCTTTCATTGTGCAGAGCTGATCCCTTTCCAACATTGAAGCCACAAACAATGCTCAAAGCAAGAGCTTCTCAGGTCTTCAATAATTCATATTCCAGCCCAACATATTCCACCTATTATTCTGAGTAAGACTGCGCAAAAAAACAAATATCATCCCTCGCTCAACACCCATTGATTCCATGTTCAACACTCAAAGGCTCCTTGGTCATCCAAAATCCCAAACCCACCATTCGCCCCCTTCCCTTCTCTTCCACATCCCCTATCAAGGATCGGCATCATCCACCTCGCCAAAAATAAAACAGCTTCTATAATCGGGCCATGGCAAGAAATGCGCAATCTCCTCGTAATACTCCCTCCATGCCTTATTCTCATACTCCTTCGCAAGATCAAACGTCCCCGCATCGCTGGCCTTGGAGGCTTGTTTCCCCTCCTCCTCCCTCTCTTTCACTGGCTCCGGCAGCGGCAAAGGCGTTTCTTCCCATCCTCTTCTCCACGACTTGCTATGGAGTTTATCATAGTCCCGTCCTTTGGTAAGCTCCGAAAAAGACTCCTCTTCGAGGACCCAGACGTCCTCTGTGTCTCCGGACTTGTACGGCTTGAGAATTTCGTAACGGATGGGGTATGATGCTTGGCTATTAACGTAGGAGTATTCTTTGTCCATGGGTTTCTCGTCTTTAAACTTGAGTAGGTTCCCGGTCTCCGGATGCTTGGGTGTCGGGGCGATGGGCCAGTAGGGCTCCCTGTTGCGGCGGTCGGTGGGCAGAGTTCCAGGGAATCTGGCTAGGATGTCTCGGTTCTTGAAGGATGTCATCTGCATGCATCAAAGCCAGCTCGATTAGCATCAAGAAGTTCCAAGCTCGCTGGGAGCAAAAGGGAGTGGGTGTAGAGGTAATCAAGGGAAACTTGCCAGTAAAACGCTAACTCTCCCTTTCTCGTCCATTCCCTTGGTGACAATGAGGACCGGGTGACCAAAGGCATCGCTGTCTAGACCAGACGGGACCTGCTCGGGTGACTCTTCGAGAATCTTCTCCCTTTTGGGAAGCCACCTGATCTGTGCAGCAAGATTGGTGAGGCTGCATCCGAGCATGCTAATTGGCTTTTCGGAGAAATGCTTGTCTTAACGGGGGAAATATGTGATATTTTGTCCTAGACTGCCTGCGGCCAGAGGCTCAGGGTTAACAACTAAAAGCCGATGGATTACTTGAGCGAAAAGAAGCGAGGAGGCAACTCCACGTCTTATAATCCTTATATGAGCCGCTCTGTAGTACCTATGGGGCTCTGATGATTCAACGCATTGCACAGACATGTTTGTCGTCACAGCGCGGAGGGTTTCGTTGTCCATGTTCCCTACCAGCTGGTAAAGAGCACACCACATGCATGTCGTGATCCCGCCTGCCGTGAAACATGGCGGCTGTTGAGCCTCGTCCTGCTCACACTCGGCATAGCCACTGTGTACGTGTGTAGGCTTACATGTGTGCCATAAGCATAGAGTGTTGCTCGACACCAGGCTGAACCGTGTGTGGTTCTAGGAACTCCGAAAATAGGAGTAGGTGATGAGGCCGTGGACTTGTGAAGAAATGATTTCGATTTTGACCAGCTGTGATGCTTGCAGATGGCTGTTTCTGTCTGGTAATGCTCGTATTCGCGAAGAGTACTTGTATGCTCTCTCTGTAGACTTTTTGTCGGAGATTTCTCAGACTCAGAGCTGATCAAAAAAATCTAGCATTATACCATCCAAAGTTCCCTTCTCACCCCTTTCCATTCTCCGTGTCCCCAGTGTCCTTCATTCTCCGCCGCCCTCCTTCTGCGTCCTTAATCATCTGCAGAATCTAGCATATTTCCTATCCAAATTATCCCTTCCAGTTCCCTTTCTATCCCACCAAACAAGATGCAGCGAATCTTCACCATTGTCCGAGGAAGATGGCCAGGGCGGTGGAGTAGTGAAGATAGAAGAGTCGGCCGATACTCTATCTTTTCGTGTGCGCAAGGTGGCTATCAGGCTCGTTTCAATGCTTCAGGATGAGGCGATAAAGAGTCGGAGCAGATAGCTGCTGCTTGATCGGAGGAGCACAATGCCCGAGAAGGTTCGAAGCGGAAGGAAGCGTCGGCGACTGGACAAGAGACCCGGCTAAATCCCGAGGAAAAAGTCGACGGTCCCCTCAATGCACTTATCTCCTCTCCTTCTGCTCTCTGGCTTTGGGCTGTGGGGGAAACAAACGCAAAGAAAAGGGAAAGGAGACCTAGCTGGCAGATGCAGAATCGACGCAAGCAACAAGGCTGCTTGGAAGTTGACTCCATGTTGTGATGCGCGCATCGCCCCAGATCTCCCCTCTTTGTGTCGTCCTCTTTCTTTGCAATCTCCTCCTCCTGTAATGATTTTGTTCAATGGCCGTAGATCTAAACATTGCTAGTCTGGTTGTGTACCAGACACAGTTCGTAGGACTGGGTCATTGACCTCTGCCTGCAATTTGATACGGGTGGGAGCGGCCGCATCGGTGATGATGTTGGGGATTGCGTGTGTGAGTTGATGGCAATCGTTGTTTCGAAGCCGCGTAGTGTGGTTGTCAGCACTGGGTGTCGGGTGAAGGCGATGGATCGGTCATCGGGTCGGTTCCCGGTGTAAGAGGGTGGATGATCGATCGGGAGTACTCGTGACTCGTCAGGGCTAAAAAGCACCGGACTCTATGCGCTGGTAAATCGGAGGGGCTACTTCGAGTCCATCTCTGGCTGATAAATCGTGACGTTCCGTGACTTGTTGTTGGGAAGAGGGCGTGAGGTTGAAACAAGGTTGGCCGTCGGAGGTTGTCGAAGGATGGAAGGACGGAGGTCAAAACAAAGTTGGCGCCAAGCCAGGGCGTCGCCGCCAAGATTTCAGGCTGTGGGCGACATGGAACCGTTCGGGGCGCTAGCGGGGGAATTGGGGCTAGCCGCTTACACGGCTGAGCACCTGGCCCTGGTCGGGTCTATCCATATACCGGCCAGAAAGGGGGAGCAACCTGTAACTGGCCTGAATAGGGATATGGCCAGTTATAGCTATATCCATACTCGTATGGATTCAGGTACCCGTACTGGTACCCACAAGGGTACCAGCAACCACCAATGAATACGCCGGTTGGAGGGGCGGCTAACGGGCTCCCGATGGGACTTTCTAAGCCGGGAGATGGAAGTGCAATGCCAGCCGGTTGGGCCTGCGTAGAAGTGGGAGACTTTGGTTCAGGTAACCCCGGCTTCGCCGCATAGGCATCGTCCAGCTCCTCGCAGAGTTGGAAACTAGTACAGTACTAATTAGTACTACTAGAGTACTAGACTTTAGTATTAGTATTAGTACTACCTCAGTACTAGACTAGACTAGTACTAGACTTTAATATATTAAAAATACTAATTTCTGAAAATTGATATTTTATGACTTTTTGAACTGTGTATAATTTAGATAAAAATAAGTAAGTATATAAATGGTATTATTATTAGGAAAAGATTTTTCCTTAATTATTTTTGGATTTATACACTTAAAAGGCTATAAAAACTATAATAAATAATTATAGAAAAATATTATTAGAATTCTGGTAGTAAATACGAAATACACGATTTTTATTATTATATATTAAAATTAGAAGTTATAATAAATAATAAGTTATAAAAAATACTAAAATACTAATTAGTATTAGAGTAGTACTAGAGTAGTACTAGAGTAGTACTTTTTAGTATTTTCGGTACTAAAAAGTACTAATTAGTATTAAAAATACTAGAGCAGTACTAGGAATACTAGAGTAATACTAGGAATACTAAAGTAGTACTAAGAATACTAAAGATTAAAAAAAATATAATTAAATAAGTTATTTATATATAAGTCTAATAAATAAATAATAATATATTATATATAGGGGTAAATAGAAGTATAAGAAGTAAAAAAGAGTAGAATATTAAAAGATTTGATTAGTATAATAGATATATAAGAATAAGAATAATAATAGAAATAAGAATAAGAATAATAATGATAATAGTAATAATAATAGTAATAATAATAATAATAATAATAATAATAATAATAATAATAAAAAGGGTTATAAACTTTTAAACCTTTTAAAGCTTCTAAGGCTTCCAAGGCTTCCAAATCCAACCTTTCAAAGTTTTTAGACCTTTTTCGTTATTTAATTTAAAAGGGTAGCGAAATCGTACGTTTTTGAAACTCAGCGCTTAAAATTCCGTCACTTGACCATTTAATATAACTTTATCTACCCTCCATTATTATAATCTAACGTTCCTTTTCTCATCAAGATTTTTATATCTTTTTAATAAATAAAGCGTTTAAAATAGAAAAAAAGGATAGTTTTTCGAGAAATTAATATAACGAGGTATTCTTTTAATGAGCAATCTAATCTATATATACTTTTATTATTTACTAACGTTTTATTAGGATAACCAAATATTCTAGGTTTATAATAATTCTCGTTATAATAAGCGGTTTTTAAATAAGTATACCTTGTAATATTATTGGCGCTAGTAGGAGAATTTAAAGAAGGAGGGCTAGTCTTATAAGGCTTGCTTTGAAGAAGTGTAAATATTATATATATAAATAATATTAAGAATATTTATAATATTTATTTATTATAATTATTCTTATTATTATATATATATATAATATAAATAGATTACTGTGGTTTTTATTTTCTTTTTTACTATACTTGTTAACGTGTGGCTAGTACTGTGCCTTGTAACTGCCTTGTACTACCTTGTAGTATAGAAGGCTAGTTGAACTATTCCTTCTACGGAATCAGTTGACTCAGTCCCCACAGAATGTACTAGAATACAAGAGGTTTTGCCACTGTATTCTAGAGTCTTATAACTTAGCTAGCATTTCTTCCAGACTGATTTGTCATCACAGGATTCAACAGAAGCTTCTAGATGCTTAGTGTCCATGTATATAGAGACCTCTCCTCTCCTTCAGTTCGTCACTCCTTAAGCAAGCAAGCAAGCACAAGTCAAGCAATACAATATAGTCTTTTCTCACAGTGCAGAGTCCACTGTAATCTTCTGTCTTGAGAGCAGAGTCCTCTCTAAGACCTCTTTTACAACATCCTTTTATTGTACTTGCAACTACGCTGCTTCCTTCAGCATTGCTGTCGTACTTCCTACCGCTTCCGCTCCGCTCTGCTACAAGTGCATAGTTCACTGTAGCAACCTTGTACTGGTGCTATCATTATAGGCCAGTCAGGGCACCGCAGCAAACAATACTTATATTAGTAATTAGTATATAGATTGGCCCTTTTGATTTATTATATAGAGAAATTAAAAAAAAACCGTTAAATGTAGCTTTTTCTTATATTGAATATATTATTTTATATATATATATATATAGAGTATTAATAATTTCTTAGCATATATATATATATATTATCTTAAGATAGCTAAATATATTAGTATTATATAAATTATATTTTAAACGTTCTTCATACTTTTAGTACTTTTAGTACTTTTAGTATTTTTTAGTATTTTGTATGTAACTTTTAGTATTTTTAGTAGTACTAATTAGTACTAATTGGTATTTATTTTTACTAATAACTTCACGGTTATTAAATATTTTTAAAAACCGTTAATAGTATTAAAACCAGCTCGTTTTCTAGTATATTTTATATACTAAAACTATTTTTGGAAAAATACTAAAAATACTCTAGTAGTACTAAATACTAGAGTACTAATTAGTACTAGTACTAGGTCTAGTAGTAATACTAGACCTCTAGTACTAGTACCGGTCAAATACTAGACTAGAGTAGTACTAATCCCAACCCTGGCTCCTCGATGCATTCCTTGGTTAACACTAGACCGCCTCCTTGACCGCAGCCAATAAACGGTCGCAAACCATCGCTGAGGCATTCGTATTCCTCCAAGAGCTTAACGTAAGACCCCTTGTCCATCTCCTTGTCCTCTTCAAACGACAAGACCTTTCCCGTTACCGGGTGTGGTGGTGCCGGGGAAAGCGCTACGTATTGAAGCATTAGACGTTCCCGGGCCTCACGGGAGCGCGGATGGTCGCTGGGGAATTTGTCAGACAACGACCTTCCCTGAAAAGACGAAATCTGGGTAAGCCAGGCGAGCGGTTAGCAACGTCTTTGTATGAACCTGGTGGAGACTGAAATTCAAAGAATAAAGAGTTGCAATATGGGGTACGTACCGGATGAAACTTGACATGAATTTTCTTAGGGTCGAGCTTATCGTGTCGGACTGAAGAAACAACCACTGGGTGGTCGAATGCCTTGGGGTTTTGGGAGACAAGCTCGAGGGTATTCAGGAGAGCTTGCATGTCTGATGAAAAGCAGTTGACTTGCAGCCTTTCGACGTAAACTTTCTGGGACGGAAGCCACGCAATCTCGCCCTTTTGGGGCTTCCATGTCTCGGGCCTACTGAGGGAAGTAAAGTGTCAGCAGATAGAATTCGATAGGTAACACATATCTGTTTCATAGCAGGACACACGGAAGTTATAATAAAGATGGCAGGGGCGTCGGGGGACTAACAAATCGCACTCCTGATGATGTTCCTCCCCCATCTTGTTCAAAATCGAGGTGGCCATGGTATCTCCTTCCTTGACTGGGAATATTGTTGGATAGTAGGGTCGGATGAAATTGTGGGTTTGGGTTCTTTGATGACTGAGTCGATAAGAGAACACGAGAGAAAATGACCGGGATTCGTGAAGTTGAGGATGAAAACACCAAAAGATCTCCAACGGAATGTTGACAGCCAGTTCTATAGTCCCCCACGAGTGACTATTTAAGACAAGGAGGGAGGACCATGGAACCGGGAGGCTCGAGGCCAGCAATGCTTGAAGTTTGCCTCATTTCTGCCACGTATATCAAATTGATGCAATGTAGATGCAAAGCCAACTTGCTGTGCACTTCGGGGATTTGAGCGGCCATTGCATAGCCCCAAAAATCTTGCCCATGCTTTATCATTGCACAGGGTGCGGTGCCATAAATGAGGCAGTTAATGCAGCTGCCTAGAGATACTCGGCCAAATCAGACATGATGTCTGATGTCAGCCTTGCTGATACGTCGTCGAGAGGCTATTCCCGTGGATAGCCGTCTTTCGACAAGGTACAGCTGTGGAGGAAGGAAGATGCTATCCTTACTACACGGAATCCGTGAACCATGGCTGACGATATGTACAGCTTGTCTAGACATATAAACTCGACGCATCCCTTGCAAATATCTTGTTTGCTGCCTTGTAGAAAACTGTTTTGTGCTGTAGCACCTCGGGAGTCTTTCAGTAAAATCAAGGAAATACTCGGTCAGCTCCGGAGTCATGACCGCCTGCGCTGCGCGTGCTGCCAGCAGGACGTGGGCAACACGTAAACGATGGTCAAAAACAAGGAAGCACCTGATTTCATTCTGATGCCCGTGACTTGATTCGTCATTGGTCAAACAGTTTGCGCAGGTAAAGGAGTGTAGGTCGAGAAATATAAATAATGGGGCTATTTTATGGGATGTTTCTTCCATGACTGCGAGAAAACTCACTTCTTCCTCTTTCCTCATTTACAGAACTCCCAAGTAATAGTCTGTCCCCACTCGAAGATCAATCAAAGAAAAATTGTCCAAAATCAAGCTAAGACCCCCTTTCCAAGATGATAATCACGGACGGCAACGGTGGTGTTAGCGGTGCCACTGTTTCAACTGATGATGCTATTAGCATCAACATCAAGTTCGACGACCCCAATACCAATAGCTCTAGCGAAAGAGGGTATGCTAGAAACAACGTCGACACAGTCGACGTGAAGGGAGAAGAAGGGTCCGGGGTCAAAAGTGGTGAGTACATGCACGATGATACGGATAGCATTGTGAAGGTCTTCCGAAATTGAAAGGGTGAACGCAAAGCAATCCATGGAAATGAACGTGGTGCTAACGCCGAGATAGATTCCGACGAACACGAGGGTAAAGATGCGGGTGAAAAGCGTGAAGAGGTAACAAAGGGGGTCGTGGACGAGATCTTGGGGTTTGATGCGGGCCTCTGGAAGGAGCTCTCCGACCTTTCCAACCTCCGCAGGAGCTAGCACTCACTCTGCATGCTCCTATGTTCGGACAGGCCTCCTTCCAATCACAGGAGGTTCTCCAGGAGCTTTGCGTGGAAGGTGACTTACTCCGAGAGCTGTAGCTCGATTTCCGGCCAACATACAGCCCCGACGTCTTTGTCATTGCCACTCTTCCGGATGCTTACGAACACTTCCAAGGACATCGAAAGACATGCGGGCGAAGCAACAGCACTTTTCCTTCTGCAGCATTAGTTCCTGACCAGCATATGTTCCGCATCATTTCTTAACAAAGCAAAAAAGCATATCCCAAACGGATGGCACCATCCTTTGTGCAGATTCTGGATCCCTCCATGCAAGGTCAATATGCGTGCCCGAGCAGCTCCAGTACCGAAATAGCACAACACAGTCCTGCAGCTTCAAATTTCCGAGCCAGCTGCGGTACCCTCGGCCTCCGTCAAAGTCGACGCCGCTCTATGCACATTGCACCGGCGACTGCACCGAGCAAGCCACGAGGTCATTCACGGTAGCCTCTTTGCCTGAAGACACCCAGAAGCGGGGGGGAGAGGCTCCAGTCCTGTACCTGTCGGCAACCAACGGAACAGCGTGGAAGCTCTACCAGGACAGCCTGCGCGCCCTATAGCTTCAGCGGCCACAATGGGCCCTTTAGCGAGAAGCTCCAGGCTTTCAGCACTTCCGGCTTGTATTCCGTCGGTGGGCGTGCAACGAGCATTATCACTCTGCCACCGGGCATCTCCGCGGCAAGTCGTGGAATCACGGCAACAACGCTTCTGTAGCTTCAAAATTCTTCGCGTTCCGGCATGTCGAGCTAGCTCCGAGGCTCTTCGTCGCTCGCAGGGAGCGTCGTCGGCGTTAGCAGAAGGACCGACTCCTTGGATCTGAGCAGAAGCTGTTAGCGACGAGACTACAGGTTTGGGACACGAGGAATTGGGGAACCTGGAGCACCTAGAGCACCTGGAGCGAGTGGGGCGGGTACAGGTACCTCCATACCCGCCCCTCTATGGGCTGATTCTAACGATTACGCTGAAGCTGCAGCGGCGGACATGTTGGCTTGGTCTTGATGGCTCTCGTCGGTTGGGAGATGAAGACAGATTTTGGGGGATCAAGTGCAAGTTGCGAGGAGCCTGGTGCAGGCTTGCAGGTGTCTTCACTTGGCAAAGAGTGTGAGGCAGGCACATGTCAGTTTCACGATGCCAAGCGACCTCTTGGAGACTCTCTCGCTGGAACGCGTTTCCTTGCGTTACTGCGAGATTCGGGTACTATCAGACGCATACCGCTCTTAGGGGGGATCCTGTTAGGGCAACTAGTGGTTTGCAACGGGCAAGAGTAAGGGAACATGTCGAATTCACAACGATTTTGGGAAAGTACACTAAAGTCAGATCATCAGCCCCACCTTCCCAGCGCTCCCCAGGGTGGCTCCGCGTGCTTGTTCATACCTGCCACGACCGTCAACTCGAAAGAACAAGCGGCAGGATTGCAGGAACAAGAGGCCACCTTCCCTCAGCTCTGGCTCTGAAATTTTTTTGCTGGAACTTGCATCAGCAGCAAAAGAACGCCTATCAAAAACGAAAAGCACAACAAATGCGTCTTTGCCGCCCCGTTCGTCCTGTTTTCTTTCAGAATTTCAGTTTTTTCTCCTTCTGAATTGTGTTGCTTTGTACAGATGGAACGAACGCTTTTGGCTGAGCTTGCCACCGGAATCTCATTTATAGGAGAGTCAGTAAACGAGAATTCACATGCAAAAAAGTTGTTACTGTCCAAGGAACTGTGCTTTGCGAACTTTTCAGCATAACTATGAAGCTGATCATCACAGAACGACCCGGCGAGCCCCTAGAGAGCTCCAGCACCGCGAAGAAAGTCAACGCTGGCACAGGCAACATCGAACATCGCCGCCAACACCCAACGCCTCCTCCCGAAGTCCCTTCCGAATTCCCTCCCCCTGGCCGAGCAGCAATCCGACCCCGAGACGAGAAGAAGAACTACACGTTCTCCAGTTTCAGCAGACGATGCTGCCGGCTGTCAGAGTGGACAGAGTGCTCCTAGTCCGCTACGACGGAGGCGCCCATACGCTCTTCGTCCAGGATATCGACAAGCTCACTCGCTTGGGCACGTACGACTTGTCTCTCCCTTGCTTACAAGGCGCTCCTCAAGCTCAGGAGCCTGCCATGCTGGCCTAGCGAATATGAGATTCGGAGGAGTCTATGGGATAGGGATGGTTTCCACGGGATGTTGGAACGCTCGGCGGATAGGGAGTCAGATCGGTTGCTGGCGTATACAACTACCATTGCTGGACGAGCGGAGAAGAAGGAGATCTGGACTTGAATGAGGGACTTGGGCGGCCATCAAGGGGAGGCCGCGGAGCTGGAGAAGTTGGGGAGGGAACCAAGCACTGCTCGGCCGGATTAGGAGCCTTTGCCTGGGTTGGAACATGCTTTGGAATCTGGCAGATAGTGGAGTAGAAGGTCTTCGCAGGAGTCACATTTTGATGCGTAATCTAATTTAGTTGCTATTCCAGAACATAAGGGTATATGCCTGTTGAATTCATCATAGCACAGGCATTTCCTTCGTCCTCTTCGCCGTCTTGACATCGTATTCCGTTTTGGAGAAGCCGGTATGCGTTGCAGTGATTGGGACAACAGAAAGCTGAAGTGGAAAGCGAGGCTCTTTAGTCCTTGCCCGATGAGAGAGACAAAACATATGAACTGGATCGGTACCGGGAACCCAGGCTCTACCAGACACCTGACCTACTCGGAACCGGTGAAGAGGAGGTAGGTGGGGTAAAGTTCATCATGTGCAGTAGAGTTCAATGACTTCAAGGAGCAAGGTTCAACAACAGATGAATAGGAAGGTGCTAACACTGACAGAAATGCCAGGCAGCAAGAAATAACAGACCACCTGCTTCATCACAAAATCCCCGGGCTCGCCTCCTTTCAGCTTCCAAATCTGCACCAACTTCTTTCCCTTAACATCTTCTCATTGCCCTTCTGTCTCACTTTCCTGAGTATCTTCTTCCAAGCACATCAAGAGCAAGCCGGTCCACATTACAGGTGTCCTTTCCGTACTCCTTCGTCGTTGACATCACAAGTCCAAAAAGCAATGGAAGGCAAAACTCGGGCTCGTCCGGGCTCTCAAGCCTCCCACCGCACCTCTAGAGAAACAGCAATTGTCGCCGCATCCAAACGAGCGAGATTCTCGGAAGCCGGCGATGATATCGGATTGAATGAGCCGCCCCTGAGGCCCGTCAAGAGTAAGTACACCATAGACTTCCTCAGAAACTCCACAAATATCTGTGCCAAAATGTCCAGAGATGTCTGTCACGCAGGCTGGTTCATGCACTTTGTGTTGAAGCAGACTGTCGTTTTAACGATCGATCCGGATATAGATGGATCAGTCCTGTCTACAACTCAAGTTGAGGGTCTGGTCGTTCCCTCGTGTCGTTGACTTTTCTTCTTGTTCTTCAACCTCTCAAGTTCAGCATAAGCTTTTTGCCTTGTGCCCTTTGCCACGTCGTCAAAATTGTCTGCCATCTTTTTCACTCCGTTCACTTTGGCACTTAGTTGATGCTGACAATTTCATTTCTCAGGGCCACGTTACCTCGACGATGAGGAAGTTCCTGAAGAGCACTCAGCCTTGGAGACCTTGTCGCAACATGCACTGTCTCTCGTGAAGCCCAATGCCGCAAAGACTCAACATGCAGAGGAACACAATGTGGTGCCCCACACAATCATCGTTTCCAGATCCGACAGCGATCTCTACCAGCTGTATGGTTATTGCAGCAAGTGTTATGAGGGAGGCGAAGCGGCAGGTTGGCATCGTCGTCTCCGGATTCCCTTGCGGTAGATACGAGCTGCTGGGTGTCTTTCGCACTGGGAATGCCTCCGGGGTCGCCAAGAGTCTACATCGATTCATGAGCCAGTCACTCTGACATGGGAATGGCAGGCACTGGGGTGTCAACGGCAACCACTCATCCATCTGGATTGCAGAGTATCGTCGCCGCCTCCTTCCCTGGATCGGCAAGCTGACCAAAATGGGCACCTACGACTGCCTGTCGCTAGGGTATCGACTGCTCTGGAAGCTCAAGGATTTGCCCCAAGAGCCTCACTTGGACGATATGCGGAAGGCAAGGAGCGAGGCAGGCGACGTCACAAGCATCCTACTCCTGCCTCAGGACGATGAGATCGATTTCATGCTGTATACCGTCATCAGGAGAAGTGCCACGAACGGTGACAAGTGGGCGTGGGAGCATGACCTAGCCGCCCTGAACAAGCAAGCATCGTTACTCCCGCAACCCACCTCCACGCAGTGGTTTCCCAACAGCAGAAACGCGCTGAGCAACTTGGGCAAGCAGCGGGAAGGATTGACAAGTGAGGTCTTTGAGCCATTGCCCGGATTCCAATATGCTTTGGCGCTGGATCGCGGAGCATTGGGGGTGAGGAAGGGCGTTCATTGTGCGTGTTGTGCGGAGCAGGTTGATCAGTTAGCTTGATAAAATGAGAACATGAAGTGTTCCTGTCGAAAACGTTTGAAGGACACTGCGTAATGCCTCAATCCGAACCGTAAATGCATGACTTGTTGTTGAATTGAGATATTGAAACTCGTGTCGGGCCTCCGTTATCCCACAAAACAGATAAATTAGGATGTGTAAATGCCCAAACAAGTTGACCAGTGGCCTCGAGCTACCAAACTTTCCATCAGAAGTTTCTCAGCCCCGATTCAAGTCACCACCAACGTCGACAGCAAAAAACCAAGACCCAACGTGAAGGTCCAACCAACGAGGAGTTTGTCGGCAACACCAATAACAACATGTCAGGGATACTGAACAATACAATGAAACAAAAGTAAGCAGTGCATGAGCGAATCCATGCGTCGGTATAACCCTAACCCTCTACAACAAGGGGAACTTCGAGCGTAGCGAGGTCCCCCCGGGAGGGGCCTCCACGGATTGGCCGCCGGAGGCAACATAGCGAAAGATGAGGATCCCCCGCTCACAACACACTGCAAAAGTAGATAACATCTAACATACTTTCTTGCGAATAGCAGGGCAGCGCGTTAACCACTCCGCCAAAGTGACTATGTAGTGGTTGTTGTTGAGATTGTGTGTCGGAGCTACCCCTTCACATTTCGAGGTTTGGAGGAGCTGGGGGAGCTTGCCGGGAAGTGGGGTTTGCAGGGTGAGCTCCTGTCAGCTTTGGTACAGCGATAAGCAGATAAGGTAGACATCCGATTGTGTGTCTGACGGCCTGACCGCTGTGTTTGACCGGTTGGGCCGGGCGGGATTGAGCGATTGCATTTGCCGTGTTTCGAACAACATCATCGGTCACATCTATTGACAAGCATCAATATCATTCGCAGCATCAGATTGATATCCAATCCTTCAAATCCTTCAAATCCTTTGCATCACCACAAGTTCCAAACCGGACAACAAAGTCGCCGCCGCCAACAATGGATTAATAATGACGCTCAGGCCCAGGGGCCTCGGTTCCCCTCTCTCCACCTTTTCTTAGGTGTTTAAGACCCCCGCTGTTCCCGCCGTCGATCTCGCCTTGTCACCAGCTCACTGCACTGCACTGCATCAATCTCACCACCAGACGTCTACATACCAGACACCGAACGGTCTCACCACACCTATAACGAACGGTTCAAATAAACTGCCAAAATGACTTTCAGCTTGGTTGCTTTCATTTATCCCAAGGAGGACAAGGTTGAGCGCGTAAGTTGGTCTCTGAAATGCTGAACTGCCCGCGCTGAACGGAGCTTCCCCGCTGTCGACTGGACCTGAGGTGCATGAAGAGGTGTGCATCTGGGCATGATATCACCACTTTTTGACTTGTTCACGGCTTCCCGTCAACGGAAAATTGTACCGCGAAACGAACGAATATCAAACCACAAAAGGGCCGACTGGGATTCTCTACCTTCCTACCGCCAACATCCGGTCCGACCTGTGTCTGCAACTTACCATCAACAATCGGCCCTTGTCTCCCACGCCTTTCAACATTCTCCAACATCATGCATTGCAAACCTCGCCCCTTTTCTAAACCGAACCGGTGACATCTCCTGACAGTTCCCGTCCCATGTGCTAACACCCCTCTCCCCCATTCACAGCTCAAGGAAGTCGCCAAGGACATCGCCGAGTGGGTCAAGGCCAACGAGCCCGGCACGCTCCAGTACCACTGGTCCCAATCGACCGAGGACGGCAAGCCCGTTTTTGTTGTTCAGGAGATGTAAGTTTATCACCTCTCACCAGTCACCTCTTTACCTCTTTCCGGCCACCCATCTTCCCCAACCCATCCATCCCCTCTTGCGAAAGCCGTCATAACCTGCACTACCTATGTACCCTCATACCGTCCCAACATCCCGTACCAAATGGTTCCGAGAACTGCATATGATTGTCTGTCGCTGACACTGTCCAACCGTAGCTACGCCGACGAAGCCGCCTTCGAGGCTCACAAGAACGGCGAAAAGTTCAATTGGTTTGTCGAGACTGGCAAGAAGGAGGATCTCTTCGCTGCTCCTCTTAAGGTCTGCATCCTTGACCCGTTTGGTGGTTTCGCTAGCCGTATTTAGATATGGTAGTGTTGGGCTGGTTGGTGATGGGTGACGATAATTGAAAATATTGAGCTCCTCTGCTTGATCTTTGACGTTACTGGTGGGACGTGCTTGAGAATTTGGAAGTTGGATCTGTTTTCTCGATTGCATCTAGTGTGATTTTGTCAATCAAGCTTGCACCTGCAAGAGGAGAGGTGGCTGGGGCGGAGGGATGGGCTTCCGAGTAAGAACCTCACGATACTCGTCGAAGCCATCTAGGGAGGTTAGCCAGATCACTTATCCCGCTCCATTGCTTGAATGAAAACCTCGTTGCCTCATGGCAAAGGAAATGTGGAACATGGTTCTCGGGGGTCTTGGACAGCTCAGCTGCTCAGGTGAAAGAGTCGAAGGGATGATGCCGTCCCATGTACTGATCGAGAGCACGATTTGAAGAGCGATATTTCGCAGTCTAACATGTTCCTTCAACCAGCGGCGAGATTTGTGTTCCGGGAGGCCTAGGCAGGAAGATTGAGATGCGGGAAATAGAATTTTAGGGCGGACGCATGCTAGTGACTTCGTGGTGTGTAGAGGTTGAAAGCCACTGTGAAGGGCTTGGTACCACGAGGGAGTCGTTTTGGGAATGCACACAGCGCACCTTCCCAAGGTACATACCTCTATTGAGGCGCGCAGATGGGACAAGGAGGTCGTAGTTCTTGCCAGTACAGAATCGGACGAGCATTGGGTCTGATTAGAAGTTTTTACGCAGTAAAGTAGAAAGAGCTGCTACCAGAAGAAGGATGAACAAAAAGCATACCGAAGGGGAACCAATGGGGAAGCCGGGAGAAGTCCCTGCCGGCTAACAGGCTCAGCCTTGTAACCGAGCTGCCGGTCACTGAGCTTGCGGCTAGAGCCTTGCGGCAGAGGACCAACACATCGCAACAACAAAACAACCAGCCGCCGGGATCTCGATGCGTCCAAAGATACTGCCGGCTCAACAACACGATCCCGGAATCATGTTCACGTGGCCCATGGTCATTGCGTTGCTTCGGCAGCCGGACGGGAACTTGGGGAAGAATGCGGGGCAAGCGGGTCTGGATCCGGGGAGTCCCGGGTCTTGGCGATAACGGTTCCGTGAGCTGGACATTCGGATTTGGGAACAGCACGCCGCGGGAAGAGACGGGAGAATGGAACCCGAACAAACACAATCCAGGGGTAAATTCCACTTGGGAGGTTCCCCGGGGAGCCCTGGGGTTTCTTCGACAGGGTTCCGCAATGGAGATGCAATCCAGAGTGGCTCCCAATGAGGTCATCGGGTCGAGTCGTTGTTCAGTTTGACAGCTTGTGTCAGAGTGGTGTCCAGTCGGTCAAGATGCCCCGATGATTGACTGTCCATCACTGCAAGAGGCGTGTATGTCCGAGTTCCGTGATTGTCAATACATACGTGTCTCGCTTGCTGTGCTGCCACCGTGGAAAATGTTCGTGGCCAAGGGATCGGATGACAACGAGGGTTCGGCTCTATATCATATACGCCAGAGCCGCAGACAACCTGGAAACCATCATCACGTTCAGTGTTGGCGATGGTGAGCGGTGTAGTTGTGTCATGTCGGACCGAGGTCATTCATCGCGCCTGAACCCCGGATTCCGATCTTTTCCACTTCATGTTCTCCAACAACCCCAACCACGACAAATTCGGGGAAGTCGAGACACATTTGACGTGCACGAGACCCGAGGGCAAGGGTTTGTTTGTTGTCCAACCTTCCGGACGGGGGCTGCATCGGCATATGGTCTCCTCAGCTCTGGAATTGGCGAAATGGATGTGGAATAGCCAGTGGAAGAATGGAAAGGAGGTGTGAACTCTTTCAACGGGTTGAATTGGCGGTGTTTGGATCGTTGTCTGGATAATGTTGAACCTCTAAACAACCAGACAGCGAGCAACATCGATAATATCCAGTCAAAAACACGGGATGACGACACAGGCTTGAAGAGTCTCCAATTCTTCGGAAGCCATTGCTGACGACGGCCAAGACTGCCCTTGATGAACGTGACGGTCCGGCAATGCTAGAGCCGTAGCAGTGGAGCCACCTGGCTGCGGATGGCAAGACACAAGAGCCACGCTCAGCAGGACCGACCAGCAGTGACGCGACACTGACAAGGACATCGGGAAGACGGCCGCTTGGCGCAGTCCACTCTTTTGAGGGTCTGGGCTGCGGTTGCTGCAAGTGGGCCATTTTGGAGACAGCTCCCTGCTCAACGCTCGTCGTCAAACCCCCACCTTGGACCACTAGTGAGGGGCACGACGCAGCTCTTGCTCTATTTGGGCGTGCTAACCAATGAGAACGCGGCTTGACGTCGGTGCTATGCTCGGCAGCCCCGCTGGCTGATCTACGATCCCTCCACTCCTTCCTCGTCCTTGAACCACTGATTGTTGGGCGTGACTGTCCCTCTTGCAGTTTCTCTCTTCTCTCCTCTTCCCAAATCTCCTGAGCAGGACATCAACCCTCCGTCATACAAATTCCCGCAGTCTGCAAAACCGTGAGTGCTTCCAGTCTGTCCCATCTTCCTCTTTTCTTCTCTTCATTCTCGTTTGTGATACCCTCAACCTGCCATCCTGGAAAGCGTTCTCGTACTTATCCCACCTTTTTACATCAACAGCTACCCCGCGTCACGCAACTTAATTCTCAGAACAACCAGAAACAACAATCAAAATGGGTGTCTTCGATGTAAGTTTCCTCCTCAACCTGGCAATTGATAGCTTCGAAGCGCAAGTGATCTAACGGTGATGCCCTCAACAGGAGCTCAACCTTCCCGCTGGCGTCCTCTACGGTACGATTTGGCCAAGCAAATGCGCTGCCCGATACCGGAACATAAACAAAATCTGACATTTTCCTTACCTCTAGGTGATGACGTCCTGAAGCTTTTCCAGTACGCTCGCGAGAAGCAGTTTGCCATTCCTGCCTGCAACGTCACCTCCTCTAGCACTGCCGTCGCTGCCCTCGAGGCTGCTCGCGACCAGAAGGCTCCCATCATCCTCCAGACTTCCCAGGGTGGTGCTGCCTTCTTCGCCGGCAAGGGCATCAAGGACTCTGCTGAGAAGCGCGAGGCTTCCGTCGCCGGTGCCATTGCCGCCGCTCACTACATCCGTTCCATTGCCCCTGTCTACGGCATCCCCGTCGTTCGTAAGTAGCTTGTCACTGTCGGTTCAATTTGCATTCAAGATGCTGACATGGTCTTAGTTCACACCGACCACTGTGCCAAGAAGCTTCTCCCTTGGCTCGATGGCATGCTCGCGGAAGACGAGAAGTTCTTCAAGGCCAACGGCGTGCCCCTCTTCTCCTCCCACATGATCGATCTCTCTGGTAAGTCTGGCCCAAACGAATGCGACCACTACCACCAATGCGCCAGCTTACTGACTTACAATAACAGAGGAGACCGTTGAGGAGAACATCGAGACCTGCGTCAAGTACCTTAAGCGCATGGCGCCCATGAAGCAGTGGCTCGAGATGGAGATCGGTATCACCGTACGTCATTGTTCTGATGCGCATGCTCCAAGGGAAACAGAAAGCTAACACTTGCAAACAGGGTGGCGAGGAGGACGGTGTTGACAACTCCGAAGTTGACAACGCTTCTCTCTACACTCAGCCCGAGGACATCTGGCAGATCGAGCAGGCTTTCCGCCCCATCTCCCCCTATTTCTCCATTGCCGCTGGCTTCGGGTAAGACTGAACTCTACCCCTTGCTCTCGATTCACCAGAACTAACGAGATGACAGCAACGTCCACGGTGTCTACGCTCCTGGCAACGTCAAGCTCCACCCCGAGCTCCTTGGCAAGCACCAGGCTTACGTCTCCAAGCAGCTCGGTGGCGAGGACAAGAAGCCTGTCTTCTTCGTTTTCCACGGTGGTTCCGGCTCGTCCAAGGAGGAGTACCGCGAGGCCATCTCTCACGGTGTCGTCAAGGTCAACGTCGACACTGATCTCCAGTGGGGCTACCTGACCGGTATTCGTGACTACATCCTCAACAACATCGACTACCTCAGGACCCAGGTCGGCAACCCCGAGGGCCCCAACAAGCCCAACAAGAAGAAGTACGACCCCCGCGTCTGGATTCGCGAGGGTGAGAAGACCATGAAGGCCCGCGTCGAGGAGGCCCTCAAGGACTTCAACGCTTCCGGCACTCTCTAAATGGGGAGGTCAATGGGTAGCAAAAATGGAATGATTTGATGAGTACACTGCTTGGTTCCGTTCGTGTTTATAGTGGTTGCCGGCCATTGAGACTGGTTCCATGGCGCGTCGGCTTTGCCGATGCTTGGACGTATACTAGCAGGTTGGTTCACGGTGTTCCGGGTGGTTTTAGTTGCCGGCTATGCTTCGAGTCAGATCGGTGATCAGTCTCGTTAGGTTATTCAACGCCTTGATGTATGCTAGCCGGTTGGGTTTGGGGTGATACCAAAAAGTAGTACATACCCAATTTGAAAGTTGCCTTCGGGTTTCTCCAAGTCCGTACACGGACCCTTCAGTCATGCTTGGATCTTGTGTTCTTGTGTGGTGGAGTATATAAGCCCCAAGTCTGACTCTTCCTTCAAACAACGAGGCGCTTCCCTGCGCACACAGTCTTTGACAGGTTATGAGCAACCCATTTAGCTCAGTGGTTCCGATGCGCGTGGCGAACACCTCTCTCCGTTGGCGAGAGGCTTTGGGTTCGACCCTCAGTAAGGGCCATTTGATGCACCAACGCATTTCTGATGACTTCCAAACATCACTCTTTCAGACTGTTCGATGACAGTTCTGCACGCTTCCGCTGCCGATGCAGTTTTTCAATCAATCGCTTTAAATACCTGCGTCAATAACGCTGAGAACACCTCTTCACCTCATTACCGGACGCGGTATGGGGTTCTTTTTTTGCAATTTTTTGGGCTGGCTTTCGGTGAGGTGGTTTCGAGTTGACTTTTGCGTATATGCATGCCGCTGTGCACGAGACCGCAAATGCAATGCAATGCAGTTATCTCATGATATTTTGCACCGGGATGCATGGGAGAAGGCACACGAGACTTGTTGCGTTCGGGCAGCTTTTCGCACCCAAAGGCATGCTGATTTGGGGTTTTTAACATCGTGATGAGTTTGGAAGTGGCACTCATGATCTTATCAGGAGTCAGGAGATGAGATGGAAGACGACGGTCAATGTCGAGCAAGTCATGTACGCCAAAGGCCATACAGGCGATTCGAGCCCTGATGAGTACCGGTCTTCAATTAAATGCTACCGAGTGTTTACTCTATCGGCTTGCAGTAGACGACGAGCACTTAAACCTTGCTTCGGTCCTGTGCCATGGCGTTCGCCTTTTCGAGGTTGACGGTGACTGTGGTCAACCCGCGTTGTCAAGTTTTCGACTGGAACAAGAAGACTGTTCTCACAAAAACCACCAGTAGCAATGACATTCGTGAACGCCTTCGCAAGAGCAAAAGATGAGCTCGCAACTGATGGGCTTGACTACAGCAGCGATGACGTTGTCGTCAACCTTGTTACGTTGGTACGCAGCAAGGTCGACTACAATATCCGACACCGATATAATCAAGCCCATGAGCTACAAGCTAATCTTCGCTAATGCACAAGATCACTTGGAAGCCATTGCAACAGTTCTTCAAAAGCATTGATACAAGTAAAACCTATATCCAGAACCCATATAACTACCATGAAATGGGACTGCAAAAAGCAGTAACATCAACAAGAACGGAACACAAACATCCTCCCAAACTCCATCCATGCAAACCACCCCTCGCTCACTCAAAACACCATCATTTGGGCTTCAAGGTGCTCACCATCCCGCTCGCATGATCCTTCAGACTCTCCCAGCTAGAAGTACTGTCCGCCTCGCTCTCCCTCCCGCCCGCGGCCCTCTCCTTGGCCTCACGCTCGAGGATTTCCATCTGGCGCTTCAGCACATCGATCTGGAAGTTGCGGAACGCGTCCTCGATGCGCTTCCAGGAGTGACGGTCGCGGGTGATGGTGCGAGTGGCTGCTGCGCTGCCTGTCAGCAAGCCGGTCTCGCCGCCGAGCATGAAACCGCCCAAGCCGAAGGCGGTGTAAGTGGCGATGTCACCCCAGAGCGTGGGGCGGAGGAGGGGTTCTAGGTCTGGGACTGGTTCTGTTTTTTTTTTTTTTCTGTTGTCAGCATCTTATCGAGCGCAGCGAGCGAGGAAAAGAAGGAAAAGGGGAAGGACATGGACATACCCCTCCGACCATTGGCAAACACCACCTCAACCGGCTTTGCCACCATTCTAAACGCGTTGAACAACTGCTGTCGATTCTGCCGGATGCGCCAGGCCATGGCGAGTCCGAGACCTACGCCCAGAAGAGAGCCGATGGTGGCGTGCGTTTGGACTTGGGAGGCGGCTTTGTGCAGGCGGGCGCGGTCTTCGGGCCGGAGATCGTCATGCATGTGTTTCTCGGCGAGGTCGGCGAGGTCTTTGTTGGGGTGGTGGCGGAAGATTGCGAACATTGTGGCTGTCTTTTAGTGTGGTGATATTTCAGTTGGTGGTGTTAAGGGGGATGGTGATGGTGATGGTGATGTCTTGGACTGTGGGAAATTGTTGTGTTTATAAACGCTGCAAAGCTATCGTACAAAAGGCTCAAAAGCTGGCTTGTCAAGAAGTCGTCATAGTGAACTGAATTTACTCCATTTCCAACATCTTTTATGCCCTTCTCAAGTTGTCGATGTGAGGTGGTGTTTTGCTAATGATGATGTAGATGTCAGGAGAGGGCCGGTGGAGATGCGATGATGTCACTGCACTCTCTGGAGTGTCTGGGGATGAAATTGTTAAGAGCATTGAAATTGTTAGAGCATTGAAATTGTTAGAGCATCGAAATTGTTAGAGGAGCTTTGAACCCTCCCAAGAATTGTTAGTGCACCCCTGGAACATTTGGACGTTAACAATTTACGCGGCCCCACGCCGTTGCCCGGGGCCGACGTTCACCGATCACCGGCGCACTGGAGACACTGGGGTTGATGCGGACTGCGGTCCGTGACTGGAGGCGTTCGTTTTCTTCGCTTCTTTTCACCCTCTTCACCTTCTTCTCTTCAACCTCCTGGGGAATGGCTTTCGCACACCGTCAAGACTGCACGTCCGTTGTCGTCGCCGACCACCAGAACACGAAAGGAACAAGCCACTTTCCGCGTTCCACGTTGCAGATTGCCATTAAACGGTCCTTTTTTGGGGAACACGTCCGGCAAGGAAGCAAACAAACGAAGCTTAACGGCTTAACCTTATATTTTTAGGTAAGCATTGTCGGCCGTGTGTCTCTTTGTCAATGTTTGCTTCCATCTTTCCTGTCAACGCCTGTCACGAACGCCCGGTCAGTTCATTCCCGGAGCCACTCAATACCGATTCCGGGGCTCTGGGATTTGGTATGCCAGTGAATGGGAGTGGGATGAATAGGGGTTCGACAGAATAAAGGCAGATTCAGGTGCCAAACAACCAGGCTCCTAGGCAACCAGGGGATGGGGGGAAAGCTGTCAGATATCGTGGTTGCTTAGAGGTACCTCTTCCACCATGCAAGCTCGCTTGTTTTGACCAATGGATAGGATGCTGACCTTATTTGCTATAGTATCACGAACTCTTTACCAGCTTTCGAGCTCAGTTTGCTCTCCATTGATCGCACCGATCGGTCCCGACGGGAACAACCGCTTTGGGTTCTCTATTTCCTTGTACCGACGAGTCTTCAGCCCCCAAATGCGACGCCTGCTGCTCTCTCACACCGCAACGATGCGGCCATGCTGAGGAAGAAGAGGGGAAATATCGGGCGGCAAGACGACTTTCCGACAGAGTCGAACTATTGCTGTCTTGCTGAGCAACCTCACTCAGCATGACAACCTCTTGTGGACATGAGAACGATATATGCCCAACTCGGGCACATCGACCGCCACAACTCCAAGTCGTCTCCCGTCAGGTGCTAGAGCGGATGATAGCGTGCTGCACCGACGGCCGACCTCGCTGGCCGGTTGCCTAAGCCGAATGATCGCACACAAAGATCGCCCAGAATACAACGCGAAGTTCAAATAAGGATGGTGCACAGAGGGTACACAGGCGCTTCTATAGCGATATCTTCTAAGCACTATACCCGTTACATCCCTCTCCAATGCACGTCAGCCGCGCAAGCGGCGCAAGCGCTGAGTAAGGTCGCAACCAGTTGACCACGAGCGGCGCGGTTGCACATGGTTCTTGGTAATCCATCCAACTGTCCGCGCTATCGGTTCGCATGGTGGCATGGGATTCACGATGCCTGGATGCTTACCACCACTATGGATTTTGGAAGGTTCTAGAAGTCCAATCGCAGCTTGTGCGAACCTCGGAACCAAAGGCCGCCGGTCGCAGTGCGTGAGACGCACAGGCGCCATGCGCGTCATCAGGTCCTCCCGTTGGGTCTTGTGAGAGCTGAGAGTCATTCTTCGGCTGACCAATATGGAAGACGAAGAGAAGACTGCCTACGATGAAGGAGGGAGGGCTCGGGATGTTGACCCGATGGATTTGAGGTATCCTGCTCATGGAGGCGACTTCTTTGCTGCAATTCTTCTTGCCAGAGGTAGCTATTCCCGGAGTTGACGAGGCTCTGTGCGCTGCGGTGGTAGCGGGCGGCTAAGGTCTTAGAACACTGCAACGGTGGGCGGACACAAAGGTCGAATTTGGAGTATCTTTGCGAGAATCACAATGGCGTCTGGAAGACAACCTGGGACTCGTCGTTGCATCATTGACTGACGACCGACACCCTCCGTCCTCAACCGCCGCCGCCACGCCGCCCCGGATTCCCGAGAAACCGGACCGCTCCGGTAGCATCGACATGTCGCGGAGCAGTGCGGCGCAGCAAACGTGCACGCCTTTGGGGGGGTCGGCGACCAGAAACGTTCCACGTTTCCCTCGGATCGCTCGATGGCGCTTTACGCCGTAGTCATACAGGACGTTATTAAGCCCCCTTTCTGCACGGTTGCAGAGGCCAGGTTTTTTGCCAACCAGGCTGTCGGATTACTGTCGGAACAAGGGATTGTTCCGCTCGAAATTGTGTGGCGTCGCACGGCAGGCAGCTATCATTGACACTGCATGTTGTGGTTGTTACTGAGCAAACACATTCCCGTGGCGTTTCTTGTGAACTTGAACCAAATTCTGGGAAACAAGTCCTGGGTGTTTCGAAAGTGCTACAGACATGGGAGCATGAGGCGACAAGGCAGAAACCATTGTTCGGCGACTAGAAAACTCCAAACTTCAAGATCTAGGTACCCGACACACATATTTTGACTCAGATGCAGCTTTGCAAGGGCGCTGTTTCGTCGCCTCGTTGTTTGGGGAGATACTCCGATCACATGTTCCAGGTGTGTCTTGCATACGAAGTCCGATTGTCTACGGCTTGTCTCACTTGGCACTGGGCAAATCATTGATGGGCTGTCGGCCCAAAGAAGAAGGACAAGCAAAATAAGAAAAGAAAAGCCGTGCAGTCGGTAAAACTTTTCGCCGCGGCACACTGTCTCGACGGAACGGAGTTCGAGTTCAATCGAATCGATCGTCGACAGAGCAACCGGAGTTGAGAAAAGCGATAAGATGAAGATCATCTCGCAAAGGAAAGCCGCGAGAGCAAACATCGTGCGATCCTCCACTACCGGTGCCTTGGAAACTTTGTTCTCTCTCATTCCTTTGAAGATTCTAAAATCGGTGAAGCACGGGGACGACGACAACAATGCGGGAAGATAATACCGGGTAAAGAAGCACGGAAACAACCTCAAAGGGAGGGAGCACCCTCATACGATGGCGCACCATTGGAGTTACTAAAAGTGGCCTTCGAGAACCGCCACAACCGTCAGCGTTGCAGCAGCAAGGTGCAAGCCCCGTTTAGGTCACCGTTCAGCCCTTCTCCATTAACTGTATACGCATTTGCAACCCTCCGGTTCCCTCTCCGGAATATCTTGCTCGCTTGCAAGCGATCACGGCCCGCGACAAAGATGATCATAATAGGGTTCAGCTGGGACTTTGCTGCTGAACCTTCGCGCGACGTCTATCCCATCACGAGAATATTGGCGGCTGGTTGGCGTTTTCCTTGTCAATCTGTCAATCATCAGAGGTATCTTGTACATGCCCTTGGCATTCACTCGCAGCCGGGATGACGCTATTACCATCTGGGTATGGTCCCGGCCCCCGGTGATGCATGATGCACGGCTCAAATCTTCAACGCTAACCCTTCCAAGGCAGAAACAAGGTTGGAACCCACATTTCACACTATGCCCTATGTAAAAGCGACTTACAAGCCACTTGCTGCCATAGCGCGAATAGTAATCCCCGAGATGGGCTGAGAAGAGCAACCTAAGAGCCAGTGTGAGTCTTGTGATACTGTGATAAGAGTTCGAACGGCAAGAAAGGAGGTGGGGGAGGAAGCAAAGGTTCGTGAAAGGAGACGACAAGTCTCAGGAGCTTTCACTGTCAAGGAAGCTCGAGGAGAATGACAAAGTCCAATGAGTCGGGAATACAGGATTCAGGGCGATACCAAGCCACCAGAAAACCGTTGACATGCCTGCAGGTATTGGCTTTCCGTTGCCTAAAATACCAATCATGTCCCATCAAGAACATCACAGCCGGCTTAAAGCCATCATCTTGCCGTTTAGTTGCCCGGAGAATCTCGTCGTTACAACCCAGCTGTCAGCTTTACATGCATTGCACGCATCGTGGGGGCAGAGCAGATTTGCATAGTGCCTAGTGTCCGACGCCCACGACAAATTCACGTTGTCTCACTCGTTGATAATCCGAATGTCACCCTTCCCATCATAGTTCTTATCACAGTTACCAGCGGATCTCACCGATCCGATACGCTTCAGTCAACTACTACGCTGGACTAGCATCGACACTCCCCAACAGAACTCGGATCTAAGACAAGTGTATGAGCGGATAGTATCAACAGAGAGGCACAGACACGTGAGTGAGGAGACCGCAGACGCGCAGAGAGAGATCGCATACTTGGATCGGCATCGACGGGCATGCACACGCATATCTGGGGGAGGCGTTTCTGAGGGAAGACACGGGATACACGGAGTATCTCTTCAGGTTGTCGGCGGCATTGCAACGCATCTGCGAGTCACTGGTGTTGGCCCTGGTGGGTGGGTGGTCAGCAACAAGACTGAGACTAAGGTATTCAACACACCAACTGAGACTGCCGAGACTGTATACATTCCGGAGCCTCCGCAACCTCCAGCGTTTCATTCATAAAAGACTTCACATCGAACTTCTCTTAGGGCCGTTCCTGTCAATATACGTCGTGCCACATCAGATCTGTCATCCTCCTTCAGGCACAGGAACAGAGTCGGACTTCTCGCTTCATCCTTCCCGTCTTATATCAGCTTCGACCACCCAGCTGCAGGAACAAGGCAAAGACTTTTTACCTATATCACTCCTCATTAATCCACCTAACAACAACCCCCAATATCATCCACCAAGTCCAGTCATCAACAAGACTTCACACCAGCAAAATGTCCTTCCATTCCACCCCCTCCATCACAACCCTCTACCCCGAATACACCACCACCACCCCCCTCGACCACCTCCGCTCAACCGCCTACTCCTACCTCGACGCCCAATCCCACACCTACCTCGACTACACCGGCTCCGGCCTTTGCTCCTCCGTCCAACTCGCCGCCCACGAAGCCCGGCTCGCCTCCACTTTATACGGCAACCCGCACTCCGTCAACCCCACCTCCGAAGCAGCCACCATCGCAGTCGAGCAAACCCGCAAGAGGATACTAAAGCACTTCAACGCCGACCCAGCAGAATATGCGGTAGTCTTCACTCCGAACGCTACGGGCGCGGCGAGGTTGGTCGGGGAGGGGTATCAGTACCGACGGGGGGGAAGGCTGGTGTTAAGTGCGGATAATCATAATAGCGTTAATGGGCTGAGGGAGTTTGCGAGGAGGCATGGGGGGGGGGTGAAGGTTGCTTGTGTGGGGATTGATACAACTGGGGCGAGGGGGCCGAGGGGGGAGATGAGGATTAGAGAGGAGGAGGTGGTGAGGAAGTTGCCGAGGTATACGGGGGTGGGAGGGGGGGTGAGGAAGGTGGTGCAAGTGGGGAAGGACGTGGGGAAGGAGGCGGGAAGGGGGTGTTTGGGGCGGTTCTCTTCTTCTTCTAGATCGGGGAAGATATTGCTGCCGACGTCTGCGTCAGAGAAACACCATTACCATCACCATCAACAACCGGCGGAGAAGAAGGAGGGAACTGGAAGCGAAAGGAGAAACGGCCTGTTTGCGTACCCGGCTCAATCCAACTTCACTGGCGTCAGGCACCCGCTTCACTGGGTGCCACTAGCTCAGTCGCGAGGGTACGACGTCCTGCTTGATGTCGCTGCCTACTTGCCTACCTCCCGCCTCGATCTCTCAGGGGACATCAAGCCCGAGTTCATCATCGTGTCATGGTACAAACTCTTCGGCTACCCCACCGGCGTCGGCAGTCTCATCGTCAAGCGCTCTGCCCTCGCCAAGCTCTGCAGGCCTTGGTTCAGCGGTGGTACCGTTAAGGCGGTCACCGTTGGAGTAAAGTGGCATCAGCTCAGCGACCGGCTAGAAGAAGCCTTCGAGGACGGGACGGTCAACTTTCTGAGTATCCCCGAAGTGGCTGTGGGGTTGGATTGGTTAGATTCCAAGGACAACCCCCCTCCTTCTTCTAGTCCTGGTCCTGGTCCTGGTCCTGGTCCTGGTTCAGACGGAGAGAGTGAGAGGGAAAGGTACCTCTACAGAGTAGGAGGCATGGAAATCCTCGAGACGCGCGTCCGGTGTCTAACCGGGTACTTTCTGGAAAGATTAAAGAACCTGCGCCACAGCGACGGCCGACCAATGGTTGAAATCTACGGCCCAACAGAAAATAAAATGCGCGGAGGCAGCGTGGCGTTTAACCTGCTCGATGCGCGCGGGCAGTACGTCGATGAGCGACTTGTTGCGTTCGAGTCGGCGGCCGCGAGGATTAGTCTGAGGACGGGCTGTTTCTGTAACCCCGGCGCGGGCGAGGCGGCTTTTGGGTTGGATATTTGGGCGTCGTTTTTCAGGTTGCCACTCCCAAAACTGTGGAGCATGTGGAGAGGCCAGGGGAGGGATAAGAAGTTGAGCTTCGAGGAACTACTGAGGGTGCTGGGGTTGCCGACGGCTGGGGGGATAAGGGTTAGTTTTGGGGTGGCGAGTAATGTGAGGGATGTTGATTGTTTTTTCGGGTTTGTGGAGAAGACTTATAGGGATCGAGTGACGGGGAAGGAGGGGTTGCCGGATAGGCAAGGGTGCTGAGAGCAAGAAAGGTTAAGGGTTGGGATGTAGAAAGGATGGCAATAGAAGAAATGCAAATAAAGTTGAAAGACGTTGCTGGCGACCTCAGAATGTGTGATGGAGCATGTTTCCACTTCGTTGTGGAGGGACTCAGCTGTGTCTTTCTTGCGGCTTGTCGGATAAGAAGGATGACGCTTTGAGTAGAATAGGTACCCTTTGGGCCGTTCTTACTGTGCTTTTGCTCCTTGTTTGGTCTCTTGTGTTGGTGTTGAGGTGGGAAGCCTGGAGGACGTTGAATGAGGCTTGGGGTCGAGAGATGTGAGAAAAGTGGGTCAAAAAGTGCTTTCAGCTACAGTGGGCAAGCGCTGTATTTCAGCGGTCTTTCAGGTACGAATCGACGCAATGAGGTCAAAAGTGGAGCCCCGCGTTATCGATGTCATCCGCCTTGACTCTTCGATCTCTCAACATCTCGACATCAGGCACGGCGCTTAAATGACAGTCTGCAAGATTGACACATCTGATGTGCGTATTGCCTGGCATTATGCCTTGAGGCTCTTTAGCTAAGCGCGGTCTTAGTCGAACATCACATCCCTTTGTTCCAGAGGCTGGCGCTGGCCGTGCGCACAAAGGCCGCCCAACTTTTAGGTAAAGGCTCCCCACCATCCTCAGCGCTGACATCGCCGAACTTGTAGCGAACAAAACAGCTGACCTTTGTTATCATAGCACGTAAACAACCCCACCGTATCCCCAGCAACCGGAAAGTGGAAGACGGTCGGTATTCCCAACATCCTATCCATGTCCCTCCCTCACTTCGAACTCCACGAGTCCAGTCCACCAGCGCCAACACACATTCGGAGCCCTCGTCACAGCCGCGCTCTGCGCCCATCCCCGCATTGCTTCGATGGTCCACCACTCGAGCCAACATGTTTCGTTCGTCACCCTTCCCGAAGCGTCGGTACGGCCTCCCATTGGAGTTTTGGTGTGCTTGGTTAGCGGTTATGTGCATGACAGGGTGCAAGGAGAGAGGCTGTGTGGTTGGAACGGCCCGCTGGTGGCCGCTGGTGTGGCCACTTGTAGCGGCCGGGCACATTATCTGGTAGCCATTTGTAGGCGCACATAGAGCTGCATATGTGCGAAGAACCAAAAGTGCAGAAAGAAATGCAAGATGCAACCAACGGGAACAAGACATGAAGGCAAACGCATTCTGCCAGTCTGCCTAAGGTCCGAAAGAAGGCCGGAGGGAGAACGACCCCTCATTTTGGGCTGCTGAGCTGTGACGGGGCGGTTTATCTTGATGGAGTTCCCGTTTTTTTTTTGGCAATGTTGGGAAAAAGTGCACTACCAACTGTGGCATGAGTGTCCTCGTTAGGTATTGAACGGGGAATTCAAAGCAATCATGCCAACCACTCCATCTTCCAGACGGCATTCCCAGCGAAATCGACGGGGAAGCACCCCTCCAACACCAGGACATAATGGCTCCAAGCTTGCGGGACGCATAATGTGGTTGCCGCATGCGAATGAGCTGAGCTCCTCGACTGGTTTTCCGGAGGAATCCCATAATCATCCTGTTCTGGTGCTTTCGAAGAAACTGTCTGCAGACGGGAAGGTTGACATTCTCATGGTGAGTGCACAGGACTCTCATGTGGCCCAGAGTCCTAAAGCTAACCACATTCTGCATCCAGATGACATCCTTCGGCGGCATGGATCTCGAAACGAGGCATCGGTACAGCAGAATCCAACTACGAGAAACCTTCCTACCCATTGACCCGTCCCCTCCCCATCCGGATAACAACATCCAACTCAAGCTCGACCACGGTGTGACTTTAAGAAAAAATTCCTACGTGAAGACTGAGGAACAGCGGCAGATTCTGTTCTCCCTTCTGAGGAACTATGAGCGTCACACAAACAAGATCTACGCCCTCACGGATGCTTCGTACCAGATTGTGGTGGAACACTCCGGTTACCGCGAGCCGGTTCACTCTGTCACAGTGCCGACAAGGATACAACCTGTTGCTCAACCTCAACCAGAAAGAGTCTCGAGTTATGGTTATGGAACAATCCCAACTGTTAGTGACCGTCCTTTTCATTCCTCACTGCGAAAGTCTTGCGATATGTGTGGTTTCTAACTTCCTGCTTCCAGTCACAGCCATACCCCGCCTCACGACCTGCCCAAAACACACAAAGCAACTACAACGGCTACAACAACTACCAGTACAATTCTGGTGTCCACTCCCAGAGGAAGCGCAATTCCGCAGGACCTTCCGGTCACTCGTCAGGCGGATCTCCAGACGATCTCTCACCAAACGCCCAAGTCGTTCTTGGCCTTATCCTCATTGCCACCTTCGCTTGTGGAGCGGCTGGCGTGTACTGGCTTCTCCAGAACTTCTTTTCCTGGGCTTCTGAGGGCATCAGACACGGCAAAAGGCACTGCGTTGAAGGCTTTAAGAGGGTGGATTGGCATCGGGTAGCTAAGGCTTTCGGATCCTTCTCTTGGCATGTTGTGGTTGCTCTGGCCAAGGTCGTCAAGTGTGTGGTGGTTGGAGTGGCTAGGGCTGTTGAATGGGGTGCGAAGGGCGCTTGGCGATTTGCGATGGATTGGGTCATGGAAACCGAGAAGGGGAGGCTTGGGCACAGGCTTGAGCACTTTTTTCCTCGTGCTTGAGAAGGAGGTCTTTGGCGAGCGAGCTGTATGTTTTCTGGGGGCTCATGTGCGCTAGTGCTGGGCTGGGCTGTGATCATCCTCAAGCTCTTTCACTTGAGGAGTCTAGAGTGCGCATAAGGCTCATACGTCATTCACTGAACTCTGGGATCTGGGTTATCTTGCTATATTTTCCGTACCTTCCTTTAGTCATCCCTTCTTGCGCCGCTTAGTCGTCCGAAGTACCTCTACGTTCTGTTTCTGCCTGGGGCATCTAGGGTACCTGTACAGGTAGTTTCAAATTCTGCACGTAACTTTCAATAAGAAATCTGCGCACAAAAGGAAAATTCTACACCACCTTCTTTTTCACTTGCTCTGGTTTAAATTCAAAATCTTCTTGCGATCTTCCTTCTCTCACCTTTTCCATCTTCCACCTCACCACCAACTCTCGGCCACACATCACACAGTTTACTCAAGCCACATCAGCATCACCTGGTACATGCGTATCAGGCGCCTTAACGAACAACAATGGGGCATCACCACCATCTCGACCAGTGTGATAGACGTCGTCCATGTGGGTATAGCTGTATGACGTTTACCCAAATCTCGGGTCCATTCTTGTCCATTCCACGCCCACTTCATGTTCCCGCCTTGAGGTCTGCCTGACAGGCTTCTCTTCCGCCACTGGAACACGCCAAGTAAGACGCCTCCAACTACAGCCAAACCAGCCCCCAAACCCTCGGCAACAACACCCGCCGCGACCACAACAAAACCCCGTGCTTCTTATCTGCTGCCTGGCAAGGCTCGCCCAGCAGCAAAGCCAGCCCCGAAGCCACTACAAAACGCAGAAGCACAAAAATGCACTCGCTGGTATTAATTCGGAATACCGTTGCAAAATCTGTAATATTCCGCTCAAGAACGCCAAGAGTTTACGCGACCACGAGAGACAAAGCAAGACAGAGCCTACAAAGGCCGAACCAGCGAAACCGTTGGTCAAGGCAGAAGCTGCAAAGCCATCTACCGCACTGTCTGCGTCCAAATCCAATGCCCCTCAGGCGGCATCCTCAGCTGGCAACCCGGCAAAGGCAACAAAGCCCAAGGAAGAGCCACAGTCCAGCACATCCAAGTTTGCGGCACTCTTGGAGTCGATTTACATCGTTTCTCACCGTAAGTAGTCGCTTCTTGTTCATTCTGTCAGAGGAGTGAAGGAATCGTGAGTGCTGACTTTCGCTTCAGAGCGCCGCTCCTCCCAGCCACAGAGGAGAGGTCGTCGCCGTCGTGTGCCCCCCTCACGCATCACTCTGCAGAACCAGACCAGGCTGTCACTATCAAGAAACAGATAGCTGCCCCCCTCACGGCATCCGGCTCTGACCAAAAGAAGGCGTTTGTTTGGTACCTTCCTTTGATCAGCGGGGATCGCCCCCGCCCGAGCCTACCCTGACAGCCGTGAAAGCATCTGAGCTGCTTCGTATTCATCCAGCACACAAGAAAAACAGAAAAGTCATCGTTCACACCAGTAGCGTGTAAGTACCTGTCGCTTGTTCTTCCTGTTAGAAGAGTGATGAGATCTTGAGTTCTGACTTCCGCCTCCAGGTCCTGCAACACTGGCAACCGCCACAACAAAGGCAGACGCCCACGCCTACTCCATATCAAGGCGGCCCGGGCCCTGGTCCAGTCCCGACCCGTTCGCTATTCCTCATTCTCGAAACCGTTTTTTCTTACGGGCTTTGCACTTATAGCGACAGAAAGTTCGTAGACGCCGCGGCGCTGGGATGTCAGGGGGTCACCTCGATCCCGCGGTAACGATCACTTTGAGTATGGGCGAAGCACTATCACGACCTTCAGATCCCACAAAGTCCTCCAAGCACAATGCAACCTTAACCGTGTGGTGCCAACCACCATACCCCGCCCCGTGGCCGTCCGGATGATCGTGGCAGAGACCGGGATATGCGTATTCCCGACTACCGACAACGGTCGCCCCCGAACCGTAGACATCAGAGTCCGCAACCTCAATGAACAACAAATGGGGATCATCATTGCCATACGAGGGATTGTGTTCGCATGCCGCTTCACCCCGACGTGCAATCGAGCAAGACGGCAGCGTGGTCGACACTCAAATCCACCCACCATTTGTTGGGACCGGAAAAGAGGACTCACGGGCTACCATCATGTCCAGGGTCACCAAACCCCCGAGCCCCAACAGGGCCTGCCTAGTAAGTCGCTGCCTTGGAATCTCCTGCTACCTCTACGCAAATGTGAACAAGTTCTGACTTTGCCGTGTTCACTCCAGCTACTGCGTCCGCAACTGAGAAAGTTCGGTCCAGCGCGAAGCCTCCAGTCGGACCCATGCAAAATGCAGTTTGACTCACTTATGACCGACATCTGTACCACGAGTTGGCCCTCAAGTTCCGGCACGTAACCATGCCGCTACTCTCAATCCAGTCGCTATAGGAAACGGTATTCGACTTGGAATTACATTTCTGCACCGGCCTTTCAACCATGCCGAAGCATACCAAACTGCCAAAGAGGTGCTGGATCGCCAGAGAGCAGATATCAGGCTTGATATTGAGATGAAGCGAGCAAAGACAGAGTTGCCGGCTGACTGGTGGAAGAAGCTGTCCAAGGGTGAAAGTGGAACGGATGTCCTCCGGCTCTTCTCCCTCCAAGCGACGGGGGTGTGTCTGTGTTGGGTTGCAGATAAGATTGCTGGAGATGCGGGCCAAGCTTGAGGCCAAGTCGAGAGATGCCAAGGCAAAGTCGAAGTCGAAGTCGAAGTCGAAGAGCTTCCCCGCAAGAACTTCCTCACGGCGTACTGATAGACTGGGAGTTGAATCACTAGATAGATAGAACATGAAACTTTTACGTAGAATTCTTTCTGGGTTGACTTCCAATCAGGGTGTTCACCTTCGTTCAAACCTCCGAAAAAACTATGCCATGTGACTGTTGTTGTGCTTAGACTTGAATGCTGATAATGATATTCCTTCATGATTTGGTTTGAGCTTTGAGCAGTTCGTAACTCCACAAGTAACGCGGTCCTGGTCGTCGTGGATATTCCGTTTTGTGACGAAATAAGATGTTCTCATGAGCAAAGATTGAAAGAAGACCTGGAAACGGGTCTGACTGGCTGAACAAACAGAGGACGGAGGAAAAAGACGGGAACCAAGGGCTTGCTGCGCTCATTCAGCGAGGAGAAATGCAGCGAAAAATGAGGATCTTGGCTTCGGCTCAAAGACCGCCGCGGGAATTGTGACAGGATGAAAACACGCTGATTCAGATGGACTGGCCCGTTTGCGCCGTTGCGGTCTGGACAGCCGCCATCTCCTCGCACTCAATCTGAATCTTCAAGTCCTGCTTCAATCTGAATCTACAAGCCCTGCGATCTACATTCATTTCAAAAAGAGTGGAAAGTGCATTCTGGTCTGTTTCCTTGCCTGCTGAAGCTGAATACATGTGCTCAACTTGAGCTCACCTTACGTTCATGCCCCTCCTTGCAGACGGACACTCGACATTTTGAACACAATCCAGGCACATATGGGCTCTCCTTCTACCTTTGCCATTTTGAGCGTTTAAAACAGCGCCGGACTGTCAATATCAGATTTTGTTTCTGTGCGAAGATTGAGTGTCTTGATCGTTTTGCAAAAGAGCCTTTTGCGAAAAAAGTGGGTCTGGTACAGGGACACGCAACAGTTCGCGTCGTCAGGAAAATTACACCACAAATACATGCTGGGGTAAGCAACCCGTTCTTGCACCTTCCATAGTAATAGAATTTGCTGGTGATGCTTTTGTCGCGACAAAATACCTGGATCATGGTCAAAATGGCGAGTGTCCCGCCAGTGTTTAGGGTCCGATGTACGGTGGACACCTCCGTGCCACTCGATGCACTACATAGCAACTCTGGTCTATTTGAGAATCAAACGGCATTTGATAGCTGTCTTGGGCCTTATACGTGGACTGAACGTAATGATTTTGTCTGGGTGCCAATAATCTGGAGGATATCTTGCAGTGTCGCCTGGCGACGGTGCCCCGCGTGACATCTCTTGGGGACGCCAAGGACAGACTTGCTTTCTGCGAAGGGTCCTGATACCGCAGAGATAGATGAGAATGGCTATTCTGACCAAACTATTGGATGAATGACGTACTTGGAAGTGTCTGGAAGTACCTATCTAAGCACCGGCAGGCATCCGGCCTTTCTGCCTCGCTGCCAGTCTCAGCCACAGTACCTGTAGGGCTGTCAAAGTTCAGCTGGCAGACAAGCCCTCCTGCGAGGACACGTACAGTATGGTATTGTGGGAGGCTGTGGTTGTGACTGGCAACTGGCAAAATTGACCACTGTCTTTCAACTCACGTGAGCACCAGCCACATAACGGACATGCAGGAACCAGAACAGACGGATATAAAGGCCACCCATCCATCCTCTTGACCCCTCACTTCTCCTCAAACCTTTTCTCATCATAACAAAGTTCCAACAAAGTTCCAACAAAGTTCCAACAACCAAGTTCCATCACAGTTCCAACAAAGTTCCATCAAAGTTCCAACAACCAAGTTCCATCACAGTTCCAACAAAGTTCCATCAAAGTTCCACAAAACCACACCCTCATCGCGTCTTCGCATCCTCAAGGTACGTCGGTTTGATGAGTTCAGCTCAGACATAACAGTGTTGTACTTGAAACTTACACCTGTCAGCACTTCCATGCGCCGGCAGCAGCGTCTGAGAGTAATCTCGGGGGTTGGCTGTAGCCTCCGCCACCAAACGCCAACGCCACCACCAGGGAAAATCCCCTGGTGATGTCACAACCTGTAAATAACCAACAACCAGTTGTACGTCAACCACAGCAGTAGGTGGTCAACCCAGTGATTGTGTTTTCTTCTGACGGCGTACTGATCGATGACCTGCAGGCAGATGAGGAGGCGGTTGAGAAGATCAACCGGGACTGAAGCTCCCGTTGACAACAAGGCTATCGTGCCTCCCCGTAAGTACCACATTCCTCCGGCCGTATCTTCTTTCAAGTGATCTCATTCTCACCTGTCGTTCACCACAGGTTCCAACATCCTCCACTCCGAGAGCATCACCATGTTTCCATGATCGGTCCCGGGTCTCACTCTCCTGGCATCAAGAGCCGCGAAAGAGGCCACTCGTGCCCGTCCGGACGCTCGGATGGTCCGTAACTTGCTCAGTTTCAGCCGGTCAAGACTACGCCTACGACTTCAACCCGGCCCCAATGCCGTCATCGTCAACCCCAGCCCCAACACAATCATCTTCACCTACAATTCCTACGCAATCGTCTTCAGCCGCAGCACCTAATGGACACGAGAATGCGTACCACAACCCCGGTGCTTTCATCGACGCTCCACAGCAAGTAAATCCTCAGCTGGCCGGCCATGACACGCAAACAAATGCAGGAAGCCACGCCACCAGCACCACAGCTCATCAGTCCGAAGTCGACAAAGTCAAAGCCGAGAACGGAGGGAAATGTGCCTTTGGTCACTACGACTACTACCCCCAGAACGAGACATGGACTGGACCTAGCCCTGCCTATACGGGATCGTCCCCTCGTAACCAAGCGCTTATTCTGTCGCGTGCTCTCTTGAGTACCCGGTGGGGTGGGCAAATTGCAGCTTCGTAACCTCGGTGATATACCCCCCTGGAGCTTGCCAACACCTTCAACCCCCGGGCATCAGGCCCAACCACGTTGGAGCAGCCAGACCCTCTGGATGAAGGGTTTTCCAGAACTCTGGCCAGGTGCAATACGAATGCCTCTGCTGCCCATTTGGAGGGTTGAGTCGAGAAGAAAGGAAAGCAGACCTTGGATGCCGACCTGTTTGAGCCTGATTCAACGTACTCCGTCTTTCCACCCGTGAGTCCACCTCCGAGCCGTCGAAGCCGCCCAAACACCAACACCATCACGACCTTCAAATCCCACTCGTGACAAAGGAGCATGGTATTGGCATAAAACCCATATTCAGCTTCCACCGTATCACAACCGTACTACATCGCAGCTTGTATCTCCAAGCCCAACGGCCAAGTTGATTGCCGACTTCAGCTGGTCTAGACGATTCTGATATCTCAACAACTACTTCCGAAGAATATCACCTCATGCAGGATCCGATTGCAGAAGACCTTCGCAACAAGCGGGCGTGATCGCGACCCCAACTCTCGCGATCGAAATGACAGTCGTGACGGCGGTCGCGACCAGTACTGGCAATGCTCGCAAAAGAACCGCTTCGTTGCTATGTTGTCTTCGCGCCATTGCTCAGCCCCTGCTGTTCCTTCCGCACGCATTGCTGCCTTTCTCTCTGGTGCTTCCTCATCAATGACGGTCGTGACGGTCGTGATCAGCAACAACAAGGACATCATCGCGGTGATAAGCCCCACTGGAAAAACAAAAAGAACCGCGGTGATCGCAACGGGGATGAGGTACCGGATCACCTGAGAGGTATTAATCGCAGTCTGATCGGGACGAAGCAATTCTCGAAGTGAACGGAGTGGATGTAAACACGAGGCACAAGAATGGTGGTGAACTTGTTGATTGAAGAAGAAGAAGAAGAAGAAGAAGAAGAAGAAGAAGGACGGGATAAGAAGAGGGGGGATGACACTCGATACATGTATATAGCAGGTACAAGAACAAATGCCAAGATGACCATCTTGTTCAACACCCATTGCCAGATTGACTTGTCGCCCTTGAAGAATTACATTAACACTTATGGAAGAGAAAGTGCTGGAAGTCCATGCCCTGGGCGCCCATTCACTGCCACTGTGCTTCCCATTCACCGGCTCTCCCTTCCTGGGTATTTAGGCTGCCCTGGTATCCGTTTCTCCTCTTCCATTGCCACTACAGAATCAGCGTGTTTTTTTCTGTCGTCGCCTCTCCAGCCTCCAACAGAAAGCAAATTCCGCAAAACTTGTCGTTGTGTTATCATGTCAGGTAACCCTCTCCGACGGCCTGGACCGCCACACACATCCCAGAGAACCGAAACTGCTTCTCAAGCTCGCCAGAGAGATAATCCTCAACGCCCTTACGGTAATACGAGGCCTGAAGAGCATTATCCGAGGTATGCACATAGGATATCATAGACTAAGGTATCCATGTCTTGAAGCGTCGTTGCCGGAGGATTTTCTGACACACAGTTTGAACAGTCACCATGCCCAGAATTTGGTCCAGCTCCTCTTCGTCTTCAACGTCTTGAACACAACCTTCTTTGTCCTTCTTTATCTCTGGGCGGGAGCAAACATCTCGTACTATGCTGTCGAGGTAATCGTCCCCATGCTGGAGATGACGGTGAAAGGGTTCCGCGGGCTTCAGAGCTTGCTCGGAATCGTTTCCTTTCTCCTATGGTATCCGATGTGTTGGATGGGGTATGTGGTTGGAGTTCTGGCATTGGCAGCGTTTCTGATCTGTATGAACTCCGCGTCCAGGTAAAAGGATTCGGGTTATGACCAAGAAAGGGCCATGTAGAATAGTCGTCAACAGACTCAAGACTACCCCTGGAGAAGGTCCACTCAAGTAGGGTCAGAATATACCTCTACCTACCTGTAGGTACCTCTATTTCAGGTACCGTAGCGGGAAAATCTATTTGGCAGGAAGGCTTCCTGGGGGGGTTGAACCCTTTCCAAAGCAGGTAGCCTTCCTATCAAAAAAAGGCTTCCTGACGAGGGCCGTCTCTGATTGGTCGGATCCATTCGCTCCCTAAAGCCATCGCTAAGTCACAGCGACTCTTATAGCGGACCGGTTGATGGTTCCTTCCCAAGATCCAAAGTCCTATAAACTCCAAATTCCCAAGACCCAAGTTCACGATGGTTCTTTCCCGGAATACGATAGTTCTTTCCCGGAATAAACGCTCTATATCAACGAACTCATCGGACCTCCCCGTCAATCAATTGGGCCAGTGGCTCAATAGTTCTCGTCGTCGCTCTCTTTCTTGTCATCGCCAGTTCGATCCCGCTGGTGGTCGTCTTTTTTCGTCGCACGAAAAGTTTCGTGCGCGAATAGCTTCCCTTTATTCGGACTTCGAAGTCGAAGTCCGCTACGCCCGTCCGCGTACCTACTAGAGCCCCTTGGCTAGTACCCTTCTATAGTAATAACTATAGAGGGCCTTCCAGGGAGCTGTCCTTTTTCCCTATTACACTAAGATTCTGACCAATCACAGGCTTCGGTTGGCCAGGTAGGCTTTTTCTGACAGAAAGGCTACTTGCCAGAAGTTTGCATCAAAATGAACAAAGGCTTCATACCCCCCAAAAAGCCTTCCTGCCCTCCCCATATTCCCGCTTCGGTATCTCTGGAAGTTTGGAGCCTCTACGCTGTGATTGAACGTGTTGGTTGAAAATCCGTGATGTCTTGCAGTCTTGGCCGTGCGTTGACCCATTATTCCGGCCAGCCACAGGGAAAGTCTGCCCATCAGTCTGCCCTTCCATCGTGCAACGCCAATTGGCCGACCAGGCGCCTATCCGCATCTCGGGAGGCTGTGTGCTTGGAACCGGCCGCTGCAACGGCCGCCAGCTCCAACCCCCGCATGTAGAACAGCCAACGAGCGGGGAGTGAAGCAAACGGATTCTGCAGCATGCATACACCTGCCCGATAAGTGGACGTCACCCTCATAACCCAATCGCTGCCCGAGTTTGTTCTCAGCTTCTCTCTCGCTAAATTGTTTTATTCACCCTTTTTTCTGGAGAGAGAAGCCTTCTTGACAGTTTCTATTCGCATCTCAAGCTCTCACGAGGCGGCGTTGAGACCACAGTCAACAGTTAACATGTCGACCGAGCCGGTGCCTTATCCAGAGACACATGAGCCGAATACGAAGAAGAAACTACAATCCGCGATTCAGTTTGCCATGGATTGGAGGCCCGAGGGTCTCGCCGGACTCATCATGTGGCTGCCAGGCGATGTAAAAGGCGACGCGTCTTACAACCATCCGGTGGTCATATTATCACCGAGCATCTCTGCCAACAACACTGTCGAGATATTAGGGGTGGGTTCACCTGGTGGAGGTCTCCCTCATTGCTCACGTCGATATAGTGAGGACTAATTTGTGCTTCTCCAAAGATGACCAGTTTTGGTGGCAAAGACCTCACACAAAGATTTACCACCTCCCGCAGAGGAATGAATAAGAGGGCTAGATATCTTCCCATCGAGCCTACACCCCCTCACCCTGACACGCCAGAGAGGAATGTAATGCTCAAAGTTTTGCCTTACTCTCCGAGAACGCCTTCATACGTGGACGGTTCATTGAAATCCAGAAAATTCGTCCTCCTCTCGGAACTTGCGGAATACTATCATTACGATTTCACGTACTGCGTTTACCCAAGATTTTACCTCGACAAAGACTCGTACCAAAAACTGGCCGCGTTTGTCGGCTTCTCAACTGTTGGGCTGCTTCACGCTCCTGCAGACCCAAAGCTACCTCTAGGGGAGCAACTCGCAGAGCAACTCGCAGAACAACTCGCAGATACGGATGGCCTTCAGAGTTCCTTCCTTCCAAATCACGACGCCGACATACCGCTTTCCACCATGAACCAGCAAGCAGAACCAGCAACAGCACAAGCGCGAGAAGCGGACGATGCTCCGGTCTTCACTCACAGCCAACCCACTGTAGAGGTACCCACATCTCCTACACATTCCGGTCCGCTCGACCTATCCAAGCCTGTTCGGAACAATATCCGCCTCGTCCTGGCTTTCATTGCACTCCTAGCCGCCGGCAGAGCTCTCGGTAGGACCACAGTTGGGAGGGAGGCTTTAAGGGAGGCTATGAGGGGAGACAAGGCGATGATGCTCGTGGATGCCTCAAAGAAGCTTGTGGTTGCGGTGATGGGTGGTAGTCTTACAAGAATGGCATGGGCGGTGGTGACGCATTCTGGAAGGAACTGAGGGCGTTATGTCATGACGGGTCTGAGTGATTTTGCCGTTCGTCTATATGAGGATCGGAATCCTGGTGGTAGCACCAGGTGGTTCAAGTTTGAGCAGATCTTGATGCTGATCTAGGATTTAGCTTCCTGTCTTCGGATTTTTGAGTGAAATTGGGGCGCGTGGAGGTTGACCTAGGACTGGATGGATGTAGCATGGGCATTCTTCTCGCATGTTTTTGAAGCAGACAGTGTTTGTCGTTTGTGATCCGGTTTGTGACTCAAAACATTACGCCCACAATGGCGAGACTATATCAACTGCAGTGCCAGTCACTGCAGTCAAGAAATGAATGTGTTCAGTTGGCTGTTGGCACCAAATACGTTCTTTTGCATCATGGGATTGCCACGTCATGGAATCCAATAATGACTTCTGCCTCAGCTTGCTATTGTCTACCTCTACATGCGTTATGAATTAACGAACATAAACAAAGAGAGGAGAAAACCGATCCTAGAGGTAGCCTGCAACATATATAAGACTGAATGATTCTCAAAACCCGACGCGTGCCCAGATTCAATCTATTCTCGTATCGAGCCTGGTGAACAATGAAGTGTCACTCGGGAAGAGAAAAAAACTTCCATCCCACACTCACCCCTCAATCTAGCCGCACCCTCCTTTCCCCACCGAGCAGCTCTGGCTTATCTCTCTATCCTTCGCGTGCCTTCCATCTTCTGGTCATTCCCTCCCACTTGTGGGCCTTGGTCGTCCGAAGTCCGTCATGTTTGCTGCCTGGGGCAACGAATACCGTTTCGAATTCTGCACGCACAAAGTTTCAAAGAGAATCTAAATTACACTAGCCCACTGGCATACGAATACGGCCGTCACGCACTAGATAAGACCTCTTGGAAACTAGTAAATACCTCTTGGGAAGCAGATGTGACCTCTTGGGAGAGATTGAATACCTGTTTAGGACTAATCAGTATCTCTAGATAATAGGATGAAAGAGGAGTATTATACCCAAATTTGGGACCAAGATATAGCAGTACCGCTATGAAATTTACCTGAGAACTGAAAGTTTCGAGGGCCATCATCGTTGCCTACTCGGAGTTGTCAGGGTAACGGCTCTAGATTCATGTCATCTCCAATCTTACAATCTCCGCCGTGACTCAAACGTCGGCAGCATCACTCTCACTTCCTTCCCACAACAACCCCGCGTTCAATTCTGTTCACCACGACCAATTTGAACCCTCCAACTTCTGCCTTGCGTTGTACCCCCAGTTTCTCTCCCGGTTACACGTTAACCACCACTCCATCTCCTCAGATCTCAAGAAGACCATCTTCAGCAACCTCACTGAGGATACATCCTGCAACAAACCCAAGGGTTCCAACAGCACTCTCCCCATCACCTCCTTCAAGAAGGAGCGCGAGTACCTCACCCCGCTCACAGTCAGCACTCATCAACCTCACCCCTCCTCACCTCGTTCCTCCTCACCCCATTCCCCCTCACTCATTCCCCCTCACCTCCTCTACCTCACTCCGCTACCCTCACCTCACCATCAACATGCCTTCGGCGAAGAAGAACGTGGGGGAAGCCCTCGACCAGATCGACAAGGCCAAGGCTGCCTTGACTGCCAACCCTAGCGCGCTCGCGGGAACCAAGCGCAGCCGCGTCGATGACGACGATGTCGATGAGGTCGCGGGAACCAAGCGCCGCCGTGTCGACGATGACGATAACAGGGGAAGGGCCTCACACGACCTTCTTCAACCATCTCTCAGCTCGCCGGCACCACAAACCAGCATCTCGGGGCCCATCAACCCCACACCTCACCACGACGGCCATGAGGCTAATCCGGAGAAACCACTGCTTACTCACCAGCCTACGCATGACCTGACGTGCCGGAACGAAGACCTCGCAGGACGTATCTTGTGGGCTGGGAACGACGCGGTGAGAAGTATCAAGAAGCTTCCTCAGGACATAAAGCGGTTGCCCCCTCACCCTGCCCTCATCATGTCACCCAAAGTTAAGGAAGACGGCACAGTCGACTTTTTGGTGGTAAGTGATCCTCATCAGGCCGGGCTTGTTACCGAGCAAAGCGTTCAAGACGGCAACTGGAAAATTGGAACTAACCACACACACACAGTTGACCTCTCTCCAAAACAGCACTCTCATGCAGTATTTCCCGGGAAACTCTGCTGATGCCAAAAGGATGAGGTCATACTATCTCCCTGTCGAAGGTTCCAAAGAGACAGAACCCCACCCCGATGACCCTGTAAAGAACTCCATGGTCAAGACTACCAAGAAGCCCCACAACCAGAAAGCAACTTCCTACGTCAACACGACGGCCCTGCGCACTGTTCCCTTCGATCATCTTCGCGCTTACAAGGATGGCCACAAGGATGGAAAAGGCCTCTATTCACAGGACTACTCCATCGACGAGACTTCGTACCACAAGCTTGTCGACTTCATGAAGAACCGCTCTCCGCCGGATGTGGAGAAGATCAAAGACTGGAGCAAAACCCGCAACAAGAACAAGTCCCGCAACAAGAACAAGTCCCACAACAAGAACAAGTAGATTTCGGGTTGGTTTGCGTTCGTGGAGGTTGTGGCCGATTACCAAGCGATGATGGTGGTGGTCGGCTGCTTTGGCTGGAAGCTCTGCTGTTGCGCGTGGGTATGGGCGGTGGTGAAGCATTAGTTTGCCTAACTGAAGTAAGTCTCACTGCCCCTGATGATCGCATCGAACAATGATTGTGTCTAGCTTATGTATATCCAGTTACTCTGAAACAACTCCGCGACACCAACAATAAAACACGTAAGTCACAACTGAAAAACACCTTTCCCCTACGTAAGATGTTGTTCAGTCGCTAACCATTGTACCGATTCAACTACGCACAGCTGATCCGCGGATGGTCATATCGAAAATGGCCATCCGCGGATCAGCTGTGCGGAGGAGGAAGGACCTGAGACGGGCAGGGTACCTTAGGGGAGGGCAGGGTGGGAGCTGGAGCTGGAGCCGAGGCGGGGCGGGAGCCGGGGCGATATGGCGTTTTGATGGAGTTTATGGGGCGGGTGGTGCTTTTTTGCTTGTAGGGGGACTTGGTTTTGGGCTCGGTATGGGGGGGATAGGGGTAGGTGGGACTGTTATACTTGCGGTTTTGGGACAATTCGAGGCAGTTGCGAGCAGATGGGCCTGACTCTTGCTATCTCTGAGTGGTTGTGAAAGTGAATTGAACATGGGTGGACACTCCATGTTGGACTGTCCAAAAGGGCTCGCTTTGACCAAGAAATGCCGTTACCAAACCGTGTTATGTCTCGTAGTGGTCTGTGAATACATCGCCCAGAGTCGACTTTGCCTTCTTTCATCCAAGGAATGTTTTGAATATTGGACAAAACGTCTAAGTAAGAGGCATGAATGCGTGCAATAGAATGTTGAAGTTGTGATGTACTGCACCGTGACGCGTTCGGTTTATCCTTACGACCGCTCGCCATATAATAAGGCAGTGTCTTGAACGTGGGATGGAGCCCATCAGACCGGTGGTTGTGTTGAGCAATACATGTAAGGTTAGAGGTAGTTGTATCTTGATGTTTAGCCTTTCCAAGTACACATGGGTTAGTCTTATGCAAGACGATACTGGTTTGTGTGTTAGCGATTTGGTTCTTCGGTTATATGTTGAATAGGGCAGATTTGGAGGTCTTACTGGCCTTCTAGGATGGAAACTTGTTGGAGGCTGGAAATGGCGACAACGAAAAGGACTTAATTCCGGAGTTGTTTAACGGAAGAGGAGACATGGCAACCAGGGAAGACTAAATACCCAGGAAGGGAGTGCCGGTAACTGGGCGGCCCGGTGAATGGGTGGACTTTTGACAAACCTGGTCTTCGTTTGAGGCGGCACGACATGGGACAATAACTAGGGGTTAGGACGCCACATAAGCCTCTTATGCCTCTCTCCGCCCCCCCCCCCCCCCCCCCCCCCCCCCCCCAAAAGGCCCTTTGAGAACCTTAAAGACTGGACGATATCAGTCTACGGCGTTTACCCGATGGAAAGCCGAACCCTTTCCTCTATCCACCAAGGCGTTGGCGTTTTTGTACCAAGCAACAACCAACAAACAAACCAGGGCTGGATCGTATATACCGGGGGTCCGCCACCCTCTTCTTGTCCTGCTTCTTCTTCAAGTCCACAACCTTGCTGCGTATCGGCAGAACTGGAGAGAGGAACACATCAGTCAAAACCAGACACAGAAGATAAGGTACATATCCTTATCCACGCAGACCTGGAAGAAGTCAGGCACTTCACTACCCCGCACCAGGATATCACCGAATCTGCGGGAGGCCCATTGCAGAGACCCTCCAGTCACCAATGAGACAAACTAGAACACCTCAACACCTGACCAATCCAATACAGGACAGCCCAGAGCACAGTCTTTCCTGAAGCCAAACATAAGAGCCGCTCCCCAGCACGGAGCCACGGACACGAAAGAAGTCAAGCACTCAACCGACCCGCTCCTGCTCGAAGACATGGAGGACACCACAGAGCCTCCCTCCGAGCATACCTCTACCCCCCAAACTCCCCCGATGGATCCTCAACCCTTCGGCCCCCGAGAACCGCAACCTTACCGCGTCATTTGGCAGTCTCCAGCTCCCTCACCAACTCCAACTCCACCACCTCTCAATGACTATCCCCTACTCAATTCCTCGCGCTACCTGGAATTCGAAGAAGAGCTACGCATGCGCACAGGCAGGTTCAGAGAGAGGGAGGGTAGTCTCAACGATCCACCTTCCCAACATGAACACGACTATGGCTACCGCAACCGCGCTGCCACACATACAGGCCCCGACACAAGTGAAGATCGTAGCGATGATGCACAAAACCAGCCCCAATATCCACACGATGGAACCCCGTCCTCAGAAAGGGAGCCTCAGTGGCTGAAACGTATATCAAGGCCCGCCCGTGTGGCCATCAGGTTGGTTTCGGGCTCTGCAGTCATCGGCGGCCTTGGTTGGAAGCTTTGGCACAGCCGGGTTGGCGGGGAGCTGTTCACGGAGGCCGTGGCGAGTAGCGAGGCCTTGATGGTGGTGGGTAGAGGGCTAATGGGGGTGAGTGCGGCTGTGGCGAGGGGAGTGTGGGCGGTGGCGAGGCACGCTTGGAGGCATTCCAGGCCGTATACGGCTTTTGGGCTGGTTTACGGTTTGTGGTCTAAGGGGGAATTATTGGGGAATTGGGTGATTCTCATAATGTACATGTTGCTTGCGGGTCCCTCCAGGGAGCCGTGCTACTGCTATGCTTGTCGGGTCGAGATGGCTCTGGCTATAAGGAGGGAGACCGGAATGTCTCTGGCGGAGATACTTGCACCTGATGAAGATGGTTGATTCTGTAGTGCTGACGGAAGGGGAGAATGAAACGGAAACCAGGGCAGCCTAAATACCCCGAAAGGGAGTGCCGGGGAATGGGCGGCCCAAGGCACGAACTTCCAATACCTATCTGTACAGTTTTGGGACAATTGGGAGTAGGATCTAACGGATGGGGTGTGTCGATGTATCACAAGATTATCTCTCTTACCCAAAGGAGCTCTTCCCCAATGTTCATGATAACACGGGTTGTGAATGGGGCATTGACGCGAATACCTCTACAGATCAGAGACCATCTTGATCGGACCGGTGGTTACACGACTAGGCAGCCCGACATTGTGACACAACACAACGGGGTGAAGCAAACAACACAAGTTCCAACAACATGAACGCAAACGGAGGCTTCAGTTACTTCAAACGGACTTCACCAAGCTCGTCATTGAACTGCAATGACTGACTGACAACGAGGAGTACGGGATGTATAAGAACTACCTTACAACACACCCTTATTCGTTCCATTCATGTTCCTGTTTCCACAAGCTTCCCAAACATCCGCCCACCAACCACATCATCACATCAGATCCCTTGGACCCTTGAAACCAAGCACTAGAAACATCACAAGCCAAGGAACAAAAAGCAACCATGGAATCCAACAACCATCCATCCTCGAGCGAGAAGGAGGCTCATCCTCTTCCCGGGGCTCCCAACGGGACGGAGAGTGCCCATCAGCAAGCACCGCACACGGGGTCTGCCTCGAAGGTCGATACCTCAGGTCCCTCGCACGGTTACCAGCCAGCCAACGAAGCCGACACTGGTGGGGAAGGAGAGACTGGTCACTCGACCCAAGATGATGCTTCCACCGGCGAGGATATGGTGAACTCCGAGGACACGGCTTCAGCTCCGAGAACTGAGCAAGTGCAGGCGCAGTTCCTCCGTCTATTGTGAAGAAGCTACCTTTTGAGGCAGGCTTTGGGCGTGCACATGTAGTGGCCGGCGATGCTGATGGGTTGATGATGTGCTTGGAGTTGACCTGAGACTGAGTATTAGGCGTGGGCATAGACGAGATAGGAATGCAAGGGGTGGGACAAGATCGCACTGAAACAAGCATCAGCTAAGGAAATACAGTACAATGATTTGCGAGAGGTACCTTGACTCAGGTATCTGGATGTGTTACTGCTTTCGTGCGGTTGTTTCGGGAGAGCACGAATGTTGTTTCTTATCGCTGCGAGGATACCTGACATGTAGCAGGTAACAGAACAAAACAAGCAACAACAAAAAACGAGAAGGAACGAGGGGAAAAAGCGAGAAGTTGGTGCGGGGGGTGGACGCGGAGTAAATGCTGAGAAAGGAAACGGGGAAAAGGGAGCGAGAAGACAATAATAGCGACAAATAGTGCTACCTAGGTAGTTAGTGAATAACAAGTCTTAATCCAACCATCTTTCCATCCATGAAAGCCAAAGTCGTAGACGCAACCATCATCTGGCCGCCTTCCACAACCCAAACCACGACCTTCCCAATCGAAAACGCCGTCCCTTCGGCCCAACTCTATCTAGGTAGTAGGCACATGAGGCACTACTACCCACAACAACCACAGCAAGAAGCCAAACAAGCAATAATGAAACCCCAACACAATAGTCCAAGAATAAGTTGAACAAGAAATTCGAGGAAATCCACCACCTTCCAAAACGCCCAAACACAAACCTCCCACGCCCCCACCACCTTACCAGCCGCCCTCGCAACCCACTCAACAATCGCCTTATCAGCACTTAGGTGAACAAAGCCCCATACCACCGCCGCCAGCAACGTCGCCTGAACCAGCAACACCACAAAAACAAGCACACCCTTCGCAAGCATCGACAACCTCCCTTTTTCCTTTCCTTCTCCCTCCACGTCCGAAGGAGCGAGACGGGCATATTCAAACGCCGGTCCAGCATTTAGCTCCCGCTCTACAGCTCGTGCTTCAGCCCTTGTAATCATGCCTTCATATTGGGCTGGTCTCCTTCCTCCCACTCCTCCTACCCGTGGACCTCGATCCATGCCAGCCTGGGTACGAGCAACCGCAATAACTTCACCATAAGCGCGAGCGCGAGCCCGCGCATTCGTAGCAGAAGTGCCGAAGAAGACAAAGTCGAATCGGAAGGGCAAGCCCAACCGGGAGAACCACGTGTGCTTTGGTCTCTTTCGTTCGAGCATAGGGAGTTCGGCAGCGGCAAGGGCCCGGGCCCGGGCCCGAGCGGTTGCTGCGGCTGTAAGTGGATCCTGAATCCGGGAATGAGCCTGCCCTTGTGCTCTTGGGGTATGGATTTGGGGGGGACGGGATGACGATGGTATGGTGCCATATCCTGTTCTGGTTGCTGGAGCCGGTACTTGCGATTTTGCTTGCGGGTTGGGTGCGGTCGCTTGGGTCTGTGGACGGAGGAGGGATGATCGCTCGTTGTTGGCTTGTCGAAGGACCCAGAGCAGTTCAGACCTGCTCGGTGCTGTAGGCACGTTCGGTGATACAGGGAGGTGAGGTTGCTGCCGAAGTTGTTCAGAAGCAGACGTGGCGTACGAGGCTCGGTGAGCCCCCATAAAAACGGAGGGATTCGAGCCATGGTTGCCCTCTCTGGTGATGGTAAACCGTTGGTTGAAGACTTGATCCCGTCGGTGTCTCATGTCGGCCTCCCAATAGTCCTCTGCGACGATAGTGGTGTCCGAGTCCGAGTCGTGTGCCATTGCCGGCTCGACAACTTCCGGTAACCGGGCCACCGGCCCCGGGACTAGCTCGGGAACGACTACCGGTCTGCGTTCGGGAGTCAATGGGGGCGTGGGTGTCTGTGTCACGGTCGGTCCGGCTTCCGGTTCTGGTGTCTCAGACATCCCCACAGACATGGACGGCCCAGCGACCACCTCATCAGCCCGAAACCCAACAAAGTCCATCAATCTGGCATAGGACTCCGGCATAAGCATGAATAGCTTCCCAGTCCTCCACTCATAGTTTCTCAACAGGGAGAGGACCACTCGGTACTGCGTCTCCGTGTTCACCCATGAGTTCTTTCGCAGAACCGCACCACCGCCAAGTTTCAGCACTACGTTCTTGTCTGGTGCGTCGGGATGAGCGGGCGATGGGTCAATGGGGAGGTAGTGTGCCCTCTTTCGTCTTTCGTAATCGTGCCGGTGCCGGGTTATGAGGTCTCTGCCGCCGAAGGAAGTCACCTATTATGCATATGTTAGTCCGGAGAAAGGATGAATAGAGGTATGGGTGTTGGGACAATGGCAGATGGGACTTACCATCAAGATGACGACCTCATTGTTAGGCAGCGGTTTTGGGGAGAGCAAGATGACTGGGTGATCATGCCAGGCGTCTGGAAGTCCGCTCGGTGTGCTCAGCTCATTGACTTTAGGTAGCCACATGATACGGCCGCCGAGATTCGGAGGCTTCGTTACGGTGGTTTGGGTGGTCTGAGATCGTCGTTTTTTCTTGGCGGGACGGCGGGAGGACGGCATATTGGGCAAGAATTGCTACCGATTGACTTCTCAATCGCATGTGAAGCTGTCAACGTGAATGGAAAATCGCAATCCACAACTTCGAGTCCTCGTGGAAACGAACTCGGGCAGAAACGAACAACCATCACATCGCAGCAGATGGCTTGTTGTTATAATTCCATCCGTTTGTGTCCCTCCTCACACCTGTTCGCTGACTGGCTGATATCCGTGTGGGGGAACGTGGCTTGCTGATGATGTGTGTCACCGTGGTGGCCCGTCGCACCGGCCCGTCCAAACACATGCATGCATATGAGTCTGCGCAGATCCAATAAGGAGAAAGGTCGAACAAGTGGTTGGGACGATGCACTGGCATCTGGCATAGCCGACAGGGCTGTAAGGCAGACCGGCCGGAATTTTGGGCCAACAAACAAAGTGGAAGATTTGGACCACGAGAAAGATGAAGTGAAAGGCGTCGGAATGCGCGATGGGCTCCAGGATAAAACCAATATGCCCACGAGCGATGGGCTACATCCTGTCCCTGAGCCGTCAACACCCAAGTTTTGCGCATTTCCGGGCAGGTATGGGAATTCCGGGCCAATGTTAGATCCGCTGCCGCATGGGGCAATAATGGGCATCGGGAATGGTCCATCTTGTTGCGATGGACCCATACGAAGCTGACAATAAACAACCAGACACGCTAGAGGTATATGGCGGGTAGCTACCTACCAATGTGTCCGGGCTATTTTCGTTACAACTTTGCAATAAGATAGGTCCTTTGGGGTTAGCAAGGAAAAGGATGACCCATCCTGTTGAGTAGATCAAAGCAATCTTCAATTGTCATCACGGGAGGGGTCTCAGGGAGGTGCCAAAGAACCCAAGACGCGAAAACCATTGCCGAATTTGTACCAACAGACAACGCAGGAGCGTCGGCAGTGGCACTGACAGCGCCTAAGTCGCTTTGGACATTCTTCCCCGAGGTTTTTGTCTCAGGCGGCTGCAGATGTTGCGCGGGAGCGTCGGTGACAGCTCTTGAGTCGCTTTGCACGGTATCTCCCGGAGTTTCGGTTCCAGGCTGTGGCAAAGGTCGCGATGAACCTTGCTTTGATGATTGCCCGTCTAAGGGCGGTTGACCTGTAGCAGGACAATTGGTACGATCTCTTCTTCTCGAGACCGTCCTGTGGAGTCTGGTGGTCCTTAGAGGTAGTCGAGCCGTCACATCTGGCTGTGGCTGGTCGACAGTAAACAGCGGCTTCTCTGCTGTGATGGAGTTAGACAATGTCCGCTAGGAAGTGCAAGTGAGGCTCAAAAGCACTTACACGCGTGGGCATCACACATCCCAATGTTCCGGGACAAAACGCCGAATCTCGCCATGGCGGGTACCTCTAGATGTCCGCGCAGAACAAGCCACTTTCGGGGAGGGGTCGTAGAGAGGTGTTTAGAAGACCAAGTATCAGAGGTCGTTGCTGGAAATGTGGATGTCGGTAACCCATGAGCGTCGGCAAAGGTAGAGGTAGTGAGGGCGCTTACGTAACTTCGGACAATATTCCCCGTAGTTTCGGTCCCAGGCTGCTGGAGAGGTTGCGCTTCCGATGCCCGCGATGGTTTTGACCTTTCGTTCTCCTTCTCCTTCTTTCCCTCTTCCTCCACCTTATGTGTATGAGACCTAGGACCAGGAATCATGGCCGAAATAGATTTTGACTTCGGGGGATCGTCGGAAGTGCTCCTCCCACGTCTCCAGTCTTCGCAGCACCAATAGCAACAACACCCCAAAGGGCACCTGCTTTTCTCCTTCTTCCTGTCTTTCTCCATCTTTCGCGTACGAGACCGATTCCCGTGAAACATTACCGCACTCATAGAGACCGACATCCGAGGAACGTTGGAAGTGGCAATGACAGCTCTTGAGTCGCTTTTGACGATACCCCCTTGAGTTTCGGTCCCAGGGTGCTGCAAACGTGGCCATAATGGTTGCGACAATTTCTTCTTCTTCTCGTTCTCCATCTCCTCCTCCAGCCTTCTCTCCAGCTCCTCCAGCCTCTCCAATTCAGGTACCTTCTTCGTGTGATAGTCGATCACAGTCTCAAGAGACTCCTTCGTAAGCGTCGGGGTCCTGTACCAGTTCTTCCAGTTCTTGAGGCACCGGTATGACACCGAATGGGACTTTCTGGTATTTATCCAGGATTTATCGAGAGCATTCCCATGCCCGTCCTCCTCGACGAACGTCAAGGATCTCCTACATGTCAGACAAGGATGGTCAGGCGCGGGAGGGAGCGCCAGGAAAAAATGGGATTGGAGGGACTGGCGAAATTTTTTATCAAGACCCATTTTCCCGAAAGTGGTTATCTGGATGACAGAGGTCCAATTAGCAAGGCGATCAGTAGGGAAATGGTAGGGGCAAAATGCCACGGTATGCGCGTGTCATTATAAGGGGAATATATCAGGAACGACTCACGATCAGGACGCGAACAATTTCTGACCCCTCCTCGGATATGATTAAAACCGGATGATCGAATAACTCGTCATCTAGGTCTGGCATATCACTAGGGTTTATTATCGCCTTTGTTGGCAACCACATGATCTTGCCTCCAACAAAATCGCGGCTAACCAACGCAGCGTCCTGCTCCATTGCTTTGACGGGCGCTCGGGCTGCAACGGGATACTAAGGCGTCGGTCGTTAGCACAAACTCAGCACAGCTTCGAACATCATGGCCAACATTACCAGTCCAAGGTATGGTAGGTATTGGAAGCTGAAATCGACATAGTCTCCCGGATCGGTTGACTGTATTGCGCAATGATACTGCGAATCAGCCGCTGGGGATGGTTCCTAGAGTCGCCGAAAATCAGACCGTCACCTAGAAGAAAGAGAAGTGGACGCCGCGAGCGAAGGGATAATGCGAGCAGAACGATGTGTCGAGGATTTTGGGCTGGTCGGCTGTGAAAGAGAAAGGGGTCTCACAGACACTCTAATGTCAGTCACCGTGGGAAACTAATTAGCATGGCAGATAGAATCCAAGTGCTCTGGTGCTCGCTCCTAGTCGAACAGTCGCAATGGGTGCGACAAGAGAAGAGGTGCTCACTTCTGATCGAACAGTCGCAATGGGTGCGACAAAAGAAGAGGTGCTCACTTCTGATCGAACAGTCGCAATGGGTGCGACAAAAGAAGAGGCTGTCCATATGTACGGTTTGCAAGTGACAGAAGAACAGGGAACGGTAGCTATGTGCATATCGTGCTCATCTTGGTTTCCTGCATTGACACTGCAGTGCCTTGGAGTACATAGTGTACGGCACAAAAGCGGGTGCAGTCCCATTCTGACAGTTTGTGAGGGCATTGACACATTTTGCAACTGGAAGTTCACCGCCGAGAGAAGTCATTATCCGGATCTGGTAGTATCGGACAGGTCTGTTAGGCATTTTGAGCTGCTCAAGGAGTCAGATATATCTGGACAAGTCAGTTAGCTCACGCTCAGATAGCATGTTGTAGAGAGAAACCTTACGAAGCGTCTGATTGCGTACCTAACAACGGGCGCGGAGTTGGGAGTGGCGGAGTGCAGGTGCGCATAGCCGCCATGTAATCGGGAAGGTCTGGTGCCATCATTAAAGTTCCTCCATAATTTGCACATAATGTACGACGTAAACAACAGATGGGGTTCGGTTTCGGCTGGGTTTAGGTTGAAGATGTCCCGAGTTGTAGGGTTAGCTAAATGTGGTGAAGTTCGATGGCGGAAATGGTTCATCGAGAACAAGAAGAAGGAAAACCTTCACTCAAAATATGGCGTGGGAGAGATGGGGCTCCTTTAGCCCTCTCGTCGCCCACCAGCTCACAGAATTCGAAACAATGTCGTCAGGTCACTTCCTCTTGTCAGTTCAAGAGAGGAAGGAGCGAACTGAAATTGACTGTCCCAGAGTTGGCAAGTGTAGACCATACGTCGCCTCCGCTTGGGGCGACATGGTCGACGACAGAGTGTATGAAGCGCAACCACGATGGAAGCTGTTAGTGCAACTAAACGCTGAAGGAACTCCCGAGTCCATGGCTTCCACTTCAGGGCCGCAAAAGGAACTCTGGCAGTCACAAACGACCAAAAGACCCCATTGCAGCACGTGAGTTTGTTGTACCTGTTGCGCGCACATAGACTCGAAGCGCCAATGAGGTTTCGCGCGAATGACATGTAAGAAGCGGAACATGGCCAGCAATCAAGGCTAACAACCACCGTCCAAGCGTACAGAGTGCGAAACCAAGAAATGATGGCATTTGGCATGGGGCTCGTGATGAACTACATGCAGAACAACCTCCATCCGGCTTCGTTACATCATCGCATGAACAGGCAGAGGTAGGCAGCTTGGTCCCTGTGATCTTTGCCTCTATCTACCTCGGCTGCGGATGTCACAAACGCCCTGGCCGACATCGTATGGGCGGTAGCCGTCACAAGGCCCCAGAAGCCGGTTCAACACCACTTGACACTGCCAGGAAGCTCTCATACTGCAGGTTCCTTGTAAACCATCCCAACTGTCCCATCAGGAAGGTGGGCCGTCGGAGGTCTAACACTCGGAAGACGAACCGTCAGGAGGTGGAGTGTCAGGAGGTGGACCGTCACAAGATGAGCCGTCACAAGATGAGCCCTCCACAGATGAGCCCTCCAAAGGTGAGCCCTCCGAAGATGAACCCTGTGAAGACGAACCCAGTGAAGACGAACCCTGCGACCTCGAACCCTCCGAAGACGAGCCCACAGAAGTCGAACCACCAGAGGAAACAGTACCAGATGAGATACCCGTGGAAGACGTCTCAGACCCCACCAAGATAGAAATCACCACATCATCCATCTCTGCTTGATCCGTGTCTGCGTCTGCTCGCTCCGTGTCTGCTTGCTCCATCGCTACTTCCTCCATCTCTGTTGCCTCCATCTCTCCTTCCTCCCTCAACAGCCCCGGCACCACATCCCTCTGATAAACCACCACCTGCCAGTATGAAGTCCTGGTCAAGGTCGAAATAGTAGTATTATCACTCCAAATAAAATCGTCAAGACAATGGTAGGGCACAGTGTAGGTTTTCTTGAGGTTGACCCAGCAGTTTTGGAGGACTCTGTACTGGGGGTTTATGAGGTAAAGCACAGGTATGAGTGGGTGTCCAGTGAAAGGGTGTCCAGTTAAAGGGTATGGAAGCACTGCGTGGATGGGCAAGTAGAAGCGAGATTGGAGGGAGGCGCCGTGCTCAGCTTCGAGGCCGCGACCTTGGAAGGTTCTTAGCTGGTGTCGGCGTTAGCTAGAGCTACCGTGGGAGGTGTACGTCAAGTCCCTGTTGGAAGATCAGAACAGTTGCCAACTAACCACGCAGACATCAATATTCCCTTTTTCTGACGGTTCTCTAGACAAGATCATGACCGGATGCCCAAAGATCCACTGATGTTCGGGTTTGTTGAGGTGTTCTGGTTTATAATCGGGATGGATTCTTGGCCAATGCGGCAAGTACCTGACCTTGCCGCTATAGTCGAGTCGTTCGGGGTCTTTTCGCAGGACTTCGGCGTATGTGGGAAGTTGAGCCATTGTGATCGTTTTTTGAATTTTTCCCAAGACTTCTTGGGATGCACATAAACAGCCGATGAACTGAAGCCATACTTATAACGTTCCCCATCTTCTAGACGACACATCTTGTGTACAGGGAGTGAGCGTCAGAGGTCTGAACATGACAAGCCGCGCATAGTCCTTTGGTCACACAACACGGGAATCCCGGGAGACTTTGGCGTCACTCAGGCGCGGGTAGGAGTGATATCCTTCCTAGCATAGCCTCCATACCCCAGCCGACAGTGTTGCTGAGCCCAAAATGCCGGGTGTTGTGAGGATGAAGCATGAGCTGAACACAATCACTCATGAAACGCAGTTTTGGCTTTCACAGTTTGGTCTGGATCCATGCCTACTAAATCGGGCCGGTGAGATAGGTCGTGGTCTTGAGGGAACGGGTCCAACCTTCCAGAATCTGTCGGCACAGAGCATGGCGTCAGACTGCTAGCTTTCTCATTCACAGTGACTGCTTGGTGCTGGATGATGCATCAATGACGGGATTCGCACCCTTCCCGACCCTGAGAAAGGGAAAGACCAGTTTGGCTGGGTATGTCTGAACACCAGTCAGGAGTTGGAAGCTCTGAAGGCAAATAGAACGTAGTACTAACCTTTGATGGATGGATTTTGGGACTATTCGTGTATTGGAATTGCTGCTCCAATGTCACAAGAAACAAGCGGTGGTGTGCCAACATCCAATCCTTTTCATGAGGCTGTTCTAGCTCCAGACATGAACAAGTTCACCCCATTGTCTTGCTTCTACAGCTTGCACCATACTGATTTCACTCCGTGGCACTGGTCTTGGTCTGAGCCTGTGACCCAAGTTCCGGTTCCCAACGCAGCGGGCAACTATGCCACCCCGTCAACCTCACGTTCACACGCAAAGTTGGGGGAAGAGGAAAGACGAGCGACGGGAACGCGGGGCAGCTAAAGTCACGGTGTAGGTCGATAGAGTCACGGTATTTAACCCAAAGGGGAATGTCCCTATATGGGGTTGCTAGATGTTAGTAAATGTCAGCTGTACCAAAATTTAGCGGTGAACAATATGTTCGCTCATCTTTAACAAACTCGTGAGATTGAATACGTACTTTATAATACATATCTCATTTATCATCACTAATATTGCCACTGTTATTTTTTAGTATTTATCGTTTAAGATACTTTGCTCTATTTACCTTATTAATACCTCTAAGTTTACGATTAGCGTGATTGATTTTATTGGCGACCTCTCTCTCGCCGCCGCCGCGCCCCTTATACCTACTACGCCGCCCGCCGTAATTCAAATTTTTAGTGATAAGGATGAGGGCAGCGAGGCTCCCTCATAGTTGCGCTGCCTTTACTAGTAATAGTAGCCTGACTTCGAGGCCCTCTTTTATAATATTAATACTATTACTAAGGGAGAGGGTTTTTATATTTCTAAAGTTCGTAGTTGCAATAAGGACGCCGCTGGCAATCCTATGTAGTATAATTTTGAGTACGAGGAGGGTAAAGATATATATGCCGACCGCGGCTCTAAGGGTATCCGCTCGTATTCAAAGAATTTGAAGAAAAGCTACGAGTTTAAAGTAAAGGCTATAATATATAAAAGCTTAGTAGTATTTAGAAGTTCGTCTATAATTAATACTAGTATAATTATAATTTAGACTTAGATATTGCAGCGTACTTATTTAGGTATCGCTGGCTTGCCCGCACTTCTAATATAATTGAGAGTATATTTAAGTATAGAAAATAACCCAAAAATACGTTTGGAGATATCATTGCCATTTTACAAACCGATTTCCCAAAAGTAAAAATTAAAAATTAAGACGTATTGAATATATTGGCCGCCGTTAAGGCCGATAAGGCCGGCGTCCTTACGCTTAGTTAGCAATTTTTATACTCTCTATAGTTGGATTCCGTAGTATTCGTTAAAACCCATTATTAAGGGGAAGGAAAAAAGTTCAGTACGCCTAATAATAATAATAGGGATAAGGGAAGTAAGGATACCGATAAACTTCTTACGTATAATAATAACTGCCTGATCGATCACGTATTCTAAACGTATAATTGGTACGTAGATTAATAGAGGAAGAACCTAGAGGTATAGTCTTTAGATTGTATTTATAAGATAAATCGGTTCGAGATACTTCTCTTATAGATTTACGGTGTTATTACTATATATATAACCTTTAATATCGGGTATTACTTATTAAGTAAGGAGAAGGAGAAGTCTTTTTTATAGGTATTGAGGGTCTTTAAAAAATTATTTACTAATAAAGGTATCGCTAGACCTAATATAATTATATTAGATTATAATTATGTTTTTAAGAGAGTTACCTGCGACGTATTTAACGAGGGTATATAGTATTAAATATACTTGTGGTACGTAATAAAAAACGTTGCCTTCAACGTTAAAAAGAAGTAAATTAGTATATTAGATAGTATAATTTTAGGCAATCGAAGTAATAACGGTAATTATTTCTACGATAATAAATAGGGTAACGAGTGTAATTACTATAGGGCTGAGGATAACAGGGTTAATAAAATTAACGGTAGTTTTATTAACCTCGATAATAATAATAATTGAATTCGTTTTGTAGGCGCGAGGTTACTTATAATAGAAGACCGTCGCTAATATTTCAAAGAAGCTACCCATAACGCGTTAATAAATTATTTTAATAAGCGCGCTCTACTTACGTTTATAAGGATTTAGATTGATAATATTAATAGTATTCTTTGTACTTGGGTAGCCGTTATCTACGCCGATTCGAGGGAGTAATTTTAGGAGCGCTAGCGAACTCTAATAATCGAATTTCCTAGTTAAAAGCGTAAATTTATTCCCTTAAAATATTTATTAATTCTTTTAACGCGAATTTTATAGCGATAATCGAATACTTATTAAAGATTTATTTATTTATTGCGTAAGAGTTCGCGGCGTATGATATTAAATATTATTATAATTTTAATATTAGGGTTACGTCGCGTACGGAGGGTGCTTATGGTATCTTTAAGAGGCTATTTAAGAATTAGTTCGTCGATTTAACCATTTTACTTAATATTATCGAAGGTAGTTTAAACTAATTAAAAGAGCTGTTTACTATTATATATGCTAATTAAACTTCTAAGAAGGTTTAGCGGTTTAGTTATAAAATATTGCGTTGCTTACGGTATTTCGTAAATTTTATTGCCTTCGATTTAATTATAGAGCAAATCGAGTTGGCAGAGAAATGGGGAAAGGATAATCCGCTCTTTCGTTGGCTAGAATATTTTAATCGATTTCGCGTATAGTATAATATTCTTATTAGTACGAAATTAAATATTTATTTTTAACAGGACTTAATGTAATCCTCGTCGTACTTTACATCGATTTATATTAGCAGTTTAAACCCAACGTTATAAGTTTTATTCTCTCCAGTTATTAATTAGTAAAAAGTATATTAGATTGACCGGTAATAGCTATTATTAATAGCCTTTTTAAAGCTCGTAAATAAAAACGACCCTAATAAAATTGTAACCCGCTGTAATGCCCCCGTAGCCCCTGTGATTAATAGACTTCAACTCATACTACGAAGCGTATATTCTGAATCTTTACTATAAAGTAGTGGCATTCGAAGGGATACGAGTACGCGATGTAATCTAGTTTACGATGCGCTTGCTTACTAGTTTACTCCTAAGAAGCCGCAGCTTACGATAATGCAAATAAACTAGCAGTAAGAAGTATAGATCGCGAATTTTATAAGTATTATTAATACTCTAGTAATGATTAACGCGAGCTAGCTATTTCCTAGTATTGCCCTAGCTATGGTACTAGTAATAGTATTGCCACTAATATTATTATTGGTATTATAAGTGGTAACCTTACGTACGTGGGGTAACGACGAGCCCCCTGTGCCCTTATAGAGCCGTGCCGCGTAGTATGGGGAGCGTGTTATACGATTTTAGCGAGTATTATTATACGTAATAATATAAGACTTGATTTCTGTGCGATTCTGACTATCTTATTTATATGGCTGTCTCATTTACATGGCTATGCTGCAAATGTTCGACCCATGTCGTTTAGCGGGGAATTTGGGTGCAGCTGACATTTTGCTGACATCTGGCAACCCCATATGGGGACATTCCCTTTTGGGTTAGATACCGTGACTCTATCGACCTACACCGTGACTTTAGCTGCCCCGCGGGAACGTGCGAAAGGGGAAGCTCAGGGCCTGGGGGTACCGCTACACTGCCGTTCCTTGTTCGATCATGAGTCGTCACCACGCACCCCAAGGCGCGAGATGGCATGCAGTGCCAGCTTGGATCGTGTACGTTTTTCTATCGCATTGAGCAGGATTTCCGTTTTTGGAAAAAAAAAAAAAAAAAAAACCGGTTCGGAAGAGTAGAGCGGTACTGCAGAAGCGCGCTGCTTGGATGACAGGATCCGTGCTGTTCATGTACAGAAAAGAGGCCGGGGCACATACAGCCGCCGTGGAGTCGATGTCGCTGTCAGTGCTGCGTCGAGGTACCCAGTTCCGGTTCGGATCAAACTCGGGGTGTCGCCGTTGCCGTCCGTTCTTGCGTAATCCCATAGAGAGATAAGAGAGGTACGTGAATGATCTGACACTGTTTGACAGTCCCGAAGTGAAGTTGTAATGGGAAGAGGTTGACGTTGAATGAGCCGCTGAAGTCACGACATCTTAGGGTTAGGGGTCGTTATGATGACGGCAGAGCGGGGCCATCCCCGCTAGGCTGCCTTCGGTTCCACTTACAGTGGATCAGCGCAAGACAAGGACAGGGCCTCTGGGCTTACTGCCGACCGCGACCGCCAAAAATTTCTGAGTGGAGAGCAACCTCAGCAATTGGGAAGTTTCGAATGGAGGGACCTGCACTCCGAACCTCGACCATCTGCATCTCCAATCTGCGATAAACAATTCTTCTGTATCTCCTTTGATCGGCCACCCAACCTAACCACAACCACAACCACGATTCAGTCTGCTCAATTCACACCCAACCTACAACCAATTGAATTACCAGACATACACAATCACAACCATGGGCATCTCCAAGCGCAAAGAAGGCCCCAGCAGCAAGGGCAAGCCCGTCCGACCGTCCAAGAAGCAGAAGGCGCAAGCATTGGCCGCCTACCACAGCAGTTCAGAGGAGGAATCCGACAACGAGCAGCAAGATGAGAACAACCAGAGCGACGAGGAGGGCGGAGCCTCCACCATTCCCGCCCACCTCCTCGACTCCGACGACGAAGATCTAGACAACCGCGTCGCCGACGACGGCGCATCCACAGACGAAGAGCAAGCATCCGACTCCGATTCCGAGGCCGAACAACAACAAAGGTCCAAGAAGTCTCAACCCAAATCCACAAAACCCAAATTCATCGCCAAAGACGCCCCAGATTCCGAAGACGACTCTCTAGACGGCGGCTCCGACCTCGGCTCAGACCTCGACGATGAATTCGACCTCGACGGCTCCGACGCCGAAGGCGGTGGCTCCCGCAAAATGACAAAATCGAAGCGCAACGACCCCGAAGCCTTCGCCACCTCCATCACCAAAATGCTTTCCTCCAAGCTCCCCGCCTCCCGACGCGCCGACCCCATCGTCGCGCGCTCGTCCGAGTCTGTGGCGGCCGCCAAGTCCATGGTCGACGCGGCGCTGGAAGCCAAGGCGCGCAAGCGGCTGCGCGAGCAGAAGCGTCTTGCCTTCGAAAAGGGCCGGGTGCGCGACGTGTTGGTTCCCAGCAAGACCAGGACGCTGAACATCCAGACGGGCGAGATCGAGGAGATTCCGGATGGCAAGGAGGGCGAGCAGACGACGGGCCAGATCCTGGAGACGGAGAGGAGGCTGAGGAAGACGGCGCAGAGGGGTGTGGTGAAGCTGTTTAATGCGGTTAGGGCGGCGCAGGTGAAGGCTTCGGAGGCGGAACGGGCGGCGAGGCAGGAGGGTATTGTGGGCGTGAAGAGGAGGGAGGAGAAGGTTACGGAGATGAGCAGGAAGGGGTTCTTGGACCTGATTGCGAGCGGTGGTGGGGGGTTGAAGAAGGGTGGTTTGGAGGAGGCTTAAATTCCAGGACGGGTCCTCGTTGAAGGTGGTGGGAGTGGCACTCTGGTGTAGAGTGGTGATATTTGTTTGTTTGCATATTGTCAAGGTCTGTCTGGCCTGTTTCTTATATACAATCCCATGCCCTTGCTTTGGGGCCAATAGTTGAACAATGTACAAGCTCCATGCCGAACTTTAAAAGGTGAATATGTCCTTGCAAATCCACATCTCCATGTCAACAAACAAAACGTGCAAAAGCCTCAAAACTTCCAACAGCGTCTTGTGATCCTTCTAGTAAAAATGCACACGCTTTGGTAGCATACCAACATGCCCGCCAGCATCTAACACCATTTGAACCCATTTTGCAGGCCCATCGGGTGATAATACACAATTGCTGAACGCCATCGCCAACCAAGCTGACATAAATGGAGGACATATCTTGCCTTGTGCCATATTATTTCATCCATCTCTTTACTCCTAGACCACGCAGCATCACCCACCCATCCATCTTTTCTTCCCACCATTCCTGCCTCCCCCGTGCCTCACCATCCTCCATATCCTCCGACACACCCGATATTATCCCCCCTTCCCATTATCTCTTCCGCCCTCCAGCTCAAGACTTAAAATCACTAGCCTGCAAATTCCTCGTCATACTCGGCAGTTTAACCACCAGCCCATCCAACTCCTTGGTCATATGCACCTGGCACCCGAGCCGACTCGTCTCCGTCAGCCCAAAAGCCAAATCCAACATGTCGTTCTCGTCGTCGTCGGGCTCCGGCATCCGGTCGTACATGTCCTGGTCCTGCACGATCACGTGGCAGGTCGAGCAGGCGCAGGAGCCGCCGCAGGCACCCTCCATCTCGAGGTCGTGCGCTTGCGCGATGTCGAGCAGGTTGTCGCCTGCTGAGACGGCGAGCGTGTGGGTTTGCGAGTCTTTGTCGATGAATGTTACGTAGAGTCTGTGTCGCGGAAGTGGAGATTTGGTTAGTGGCTGGCTGTGGGAGAGAGATGGGAGTAGAGGGGTGGGGGGGGGGACGGGACGAGGTGGGGGACAGGGAAGAAGGAGAAGGAGAAGGGAAGGGAATGCGCTCAACTCACTCTTCGCCGGGCTTGGGAGGGTCGACGTGGCCGTGCTGGAGAGCGGAAGAGGTGGAAAGCGAACGGCGCGCAGAAATCTGGGTAGTCGACCACGCGGTAGGCAGACGCGGCTGCTGCTGTGTTCGGAGAGGGGCGACGGTCTGCTTGCTGTAGCACCGCGCATGTTGTGCGAGCCTTTGGAGGCTCTGCCTGAGAACTCGCGGGGTCGACATTGTGTTGTGTGGTTTTCTGGTTAGGCGCAACCGGATCGCAAGAAAAAATCGCAGGTTGAAGTTGGGAAAGAAGAAGTTACAGTTGAGGTGGTGACTGGAGTTGCCGCAAGATTATGGAGATCCGATCCCAGATCCAATGCGGCGCGAACGGAGTCGTTGGAAGTGGAGGAGACACTTTTTGGACCTGGACCTGGACCTGGCAAAAGAGACGCAAAAAGAGACCGGGATGGTTATTAATTAACAAAGCAGAGTCATGGCCTACAAATACAAGAAATCAAGGTTGGCTTTCGCGCAGATAAGAAAAAAAGTCGAGAACCTCAAAATGTTACAGTTACAGGCCAATGGTTGAAAAGGTTGGAATCCCTTCACTTTCAACTGTGCTCGGCTCCGAGTATTCTGCTGCAAACCATGGCAAACATCAAGCGCCCCCAATGTTCGACAAAGAGACGCGATTCGCAACACAACTCCTGAGGACTTCACCATCACAAGACGACATTAGAAAGAAGAAATGTGCTTGATGTATGCTGGGTTAGTTTCATCACAAGGCGCAAAAAGCAAACTGCATCCCATGGAGATCGATCAAAGATCTCTTCACGATCCAGATCCGATTCGACGGCATGTCGTCGCTGCTAGCTTCGGGTCAGAATCGAACTGTCTCGGGGATTTCGGTTCAAAGTCGAATCACCTTTTTTCGAGTGCAACCATTCAGAGCCATTCCAATTCCAGTCCATGTCATTGAAAAAGTGACCAAATTATTCCCAATTGCCAGCCGCGAGACAGCTTCTGGCAGCTCCGGCATCAGCTATCAGCGTGTAATTCTCCCCGCACTGCAGCAATCAGTGACCTACCGATAAGAAAAATTACCCATGCACTTGATTCGCCAAGACCTCTTATCGGGGCCCCGCTATCATGATCATTGCGCTAACAAGCTCCCTGTTACAAGCGTTGGAGGCACATTGGTTGGCTGCTGTTTCACTCAGGCCGGCAGGTCTTTGCAGGACCATCCTTCGATGCCCGAGGATCTTCGCTTCGACTCGACTCCATCTTCATCTCGTCATGCAAACGTTTGAAACCTGCGAATAGCTGCACCACCACCACCACCACCACCACCACTTCTCAGCAATCACGACAACAACATACCAAAAAGCTAATTGACAACATGGCGCACAACCACTCTGAAGGGGTCATCAACCCCCTCAGACCATACTACATCCCGCCCACCATCGGCGAGCCCGCAGTCGAGCCCATGACGGCACCCGGTCCCCATGCCTTCACCCAGGGAAATGCGACCGACAACTATGCCTCCAAGGCGCGAACCATCTTCTCCGACATCGACATCGACTACAAGGAGTACCTGACTGACCAATCGCCCTCGGTCATGTCGACAGTCAAGGAAGTTCTCGACGAGCTGCTATGGAAGTACATGTCCGTCTTCATGGCCCAGCCCTTCGAGGTCGCCAAGACCATCATGCAGGTCCGGGCCCAGGACGACTTGGGAGGGCTTGAAGCTCTCGCGGTAGAGCAGGCGAAGCAGAAGGCGGCGACGAACCAAAAGATCCGCATGTATGATGAGGTATGTTCTTGAACAAAAGAGAAGGTCACGCGAGCAAGAAACATGGTGTTGACAAATGTAAACTATCAGGATACCCCCTCCCCCTACGACTCCGACTCCGACCAAGATGAGATGGCCTCCTTCTTCACAGCCAAGGTCCCCCACCGACCAGCCTCGCCATCCCAAAGTCGCTCAGGCAGACCGAGAGATCCGAGCCCCGGCGCATCGACGCGCACCCCCAGCAAACAAGTCCCAGAACACCAACTTACATTGCGCACGCCCAATTCGGTGCTCGAGGTGATTGCGCAGCTATGGCAGAAGGAAGGAGCTTGGGGTGTGTGGAAGGGGACCAATGCGACTTTCATCTACTCAGTTCTGCAGTCCCTGCTAGAGAATTGGTCGCGAAGTTTGCTTAGCGCACTCTTCAATGTCCCGGATCTGGGCGTACGAGGCGACCTAGACCGGTTAGTCGACATTGCGTCACCATACCCATGGGCGTCACTCTTTGTCGCTGGCGCTGCCGCCGCCATCACCGGCTTGATCCTCTCTCCCCTGGACTTGGTCCGGACACGGCATGTTTTCCCTCCCCTGCATTTATTGCGAATAACCACAGACTAACAACGTGTGTCTGGCCAGCCTCGTCCTAACCTCCGTCTCCCGCGGCTCCCGCCGCACCCTCTCCACCCTCCGATCCCTCCCCTCCTACCTCTGCCCCGCCGCCCTCGTCATCCCCACCGTCCTGCACTCCCTCATCCACCCCGTCTTGATGCTCTCCACGCCCCTGGTGCTACGCTCGCGCTTCATGATCGACCGCGAAGTCTCGCCCGTGGCCTTCTCCATCGCCAAGTTCTGCTCCTCCACCGTCGCTTTATTCATCAAGCTACCTCTCGAGACCGTCCTCCGCCGCGGCCAGGCGGCCGTCCTCAGCTCGCCGCAGTACGTGGCTGCGCTGGAGCCCAAGGTGCCGACGGCTACCGCCAAGAGCAGGAGGGCGGCTGCTGCGGTGGAGAGGGGAGAGGATGGTACGACGCCGCAGATGGAGACGATCGTCCCGCTGGGAAGGTATAATGGGCTGTTTGGAACCATGTATAGTATTGTCAATGAGGAGGGGTCGCATGCGGCGCCGATGACGGCGGCGGCGAAGAGGAAGGCGGCTGCCGCCAAGAAGAAGGGCGATGCGACGGTGCCGCAGGTGATTTATAGGAGGGGACAAGGGTTTGATGGGTTGTGGAGGGGGTGGAAGGTTAGTTGGTGGGGACTGGTTGGGTTGTGGACGGCGGGGGTGATTGGGGGTGGTGGTGATGGGGAGTTTTAGATGTTTGGTGTCTGGAGGAGATGACATGGCAGTGATGGGAAGTTGAGGTTGTGTGTGGGTGGGAAAAGAAAAGAAAGAGATGGTGTTTTGCATAGCCCGGGAAATGTTGAAAAAGGAGGTTTGTTACTATCATCACAGGACGGGAGACAAGGAGGCTGGTTTCATTTGTTACTGGCGTTCAAAGGAGCTTCGTTAGACTGAGTGGTTGGAAGGCAAGCAGGCAGGCAGGCAAGGAAGGCATACGGGTTTATCCCCTCTCAACAATGGTTTTTTGGACGGATGGAGGTGGCGGTCGGGCGGTGATAGTTTTGGCACCATATGTATGTGATATCCCTAGCATTTTTTGACGTTCCTTATCTTAAACGTTATCATGAGGTTGAAAGCATGTATACACGGGTTTTTCCAAGCTTTCCTCTGGTGGACAAGGCTTATGTTGCACGACGAAAGCCGTGTGAGATGAGCCCCCCTCATGGTTGAAAATGACAGAACAGAAAGGACTGCACAGCGGATAGCCGTCGGTTGTCACCCATGGACGAGAGAAAGCACGCGAGGGAACAAACACGACGGACCCGGCCAAGAGCTGACTGACACAGACAACATGGTGACAACGTGGGCTGGCTGTTGCAACATGGGGAAGATGGCAACGGGACGGAAGCTGACAACGTGGGCATCAAGGCGACCAACAGGATGTCATCGATGTCCTCAGCCTCCCGTCCCGGTTACTCGGTCGGTACCTCAGTGCCACGCCTGCATACATTTAGTGCCAATTTTTCGGCTCGGCGGCTTTCCGTTACGATCGGACTTGGTGTTTTGACAGCAACGCGGCGGGAAACATGACTCGGTACTCACCGCCACCACGTCAATTCATAAGTAGGAACCTTGGACTTTGGTGGGATTTGATGTGTTCGAACAACAGATTGAAATCAGTTAGTTGTTTGCAAACTGAACAACACGCAATCCGTCATTCAGAAGCGGGGCATTTGTTTCCATGGATATGGACATCCCGATTTGGCTTGACGTGGGGCCGTCCATGTCAGCACCGGTAACGGTCAACGGGAGCGGATCCGGCGATCATTCAAAGTTTGGTTGCGCCGGACTCCGGACATTCACATGCTGGGGTATGATCTACGATGGTCCGTCCATTCACTTGCTTCTGATTAACCTCCTTTCCTCCCCTCTTCCTTTCACATTCACTTGCCCTCAACCAAGCTGACACCGTCTGTTGGATATCCGGTTGTTTATTTGCTTCTTGACTTCCCAGCTTTCAGGCCACGTCATCTTCTGGAATTCGGACCCCAACTCTTCACCACCAACAGAGCAACTGTCTAGACCGAAGAGGCGAGGATTCTTTGCCTTCGTCCCGTCTTGCGGTTATTCTGACTCGAGCATTTTGTTCGCTGTTGGGCGGTAGTATTTATATTGTGCAAGTTTTGAGGGCGGATCGGAAAACAAAGGAAATTTGTCACCAAACGACCGGCAACCCAAGTCCCCAACCTGGATAAGAACACCACTCTACGCATTCACTGGTAGGCCTCTTCACTTCATGGCCCATACGACTCATAAGCGCCAACAGTCACTATTTCAGTCATAACCTTGGTGACTCGCCTAGTAATAACTGACAAACAAACAGGTGAAGGGTCGCAACAACAACTCACCGTCGCAAACACAAAGGATAAAAAACCACCAACTAGCCAGGCGTCTTCCTCCTCCTTTACCACAACCAAACAACCTCCCAAAGAGTCGCTCACCGCCATACACGACCACCACCACATCGACCACCACCGCATCAAAGAGCAACAACAGCAGACAACCTAGCAGAAAATGTTCCGCCAAAACCCAAACCTAATCCAACCCCCCCTCACCCCGCTCTCCACCTCCCGCCCCCCTCTCTTCCTCCTCCACGACGGTGGCGGCACCATCTTTTCCTACTACTGCCTCTCCGACCTTCACCGTCCCGTTTACGGCATCTTCAACCCTTGCTACTCATCCAAGGCCACATTTGAGGGGGGCATTCCGGAGATGGCAAAGACTTATTTGGGGTTTATTGTCGAGACTTTGTTTGGGGATGATCAATGTGGTGGGAAGGTCAGTAGACCAAAAAGGGAAGCTGGGAAGGAAGGCGAGAGGGATTTGATCCTGGGTGGATGGTCACTTGGTGGTATGGTGTCGGTGGAAGTAGCCAGGCAGGTTTTGGACTTTAACCTCGCTGAGGCAGAGAAGGAGAAAGCTGGGAAGGGAAAAGCAAGGAAACTAAACGTCCTGGGTATCGTGATGATCGACTCCATGAACCCCAACCAGCAATCCTTCCCCAAGGACGCAAAGATTGCCAACCCCAACGCAACTATCATGCAATGGGGGCCGCACACCAAGCCCGAAACCAAGGAAGCTGTGTTAAGGTGCTTCCATGAGGCGAGGCGCATGCTGGGGTTCTGGGAAATGCCCACTTGGCCGTCTGTCCCCTCTTCTGAGGGTTCCACCCCCATGGGGCCGCCGCCTGCGGTGCTGTTGAAGGCCAGGGGAAATGTTCCTCTTCAGCAACCGCAGGAGGATGAAGAAGAGGTGTCCAGGACGGATGTGCATAGGGGAGATGAAAAGCTAGGGTGGGGGAGGTATGATGAGGGGATGGTGAGGAAGGTTATTGAAGTGGAAGGGAACCATTTCAATTTGTTTACGGAGGAGAAGAGGGCTGAGATTGTGTCGAGGGGGGTGAGGGAGGGATGTGAACTCCTGGAGGGGTTGTGGAGGCAGAGGAGGGGGGAGTGATGGAGGAGGTTGATGTTGGTTGGGAAGGGAGTTTGAGAGGTGGCAGAGGGGGGCGGCATCTTCGAGGAGAGCAGCGCCCAAGGGAGAAGAGCGTGGAGAGGAGGAGGACATGGTGCCCGAGGAAAAGGGGTTGAAATGGGTCGACAGAGAACGTGAGACCAAGCGGAGGAATCCAAAGGGAGCACAACTCAGGGCAAGGAAGTGAAAAGGGGGCATGATGCAAGGCTCGTGCTGTGGTCGCGGTCGGAAGATGGCGCGTGGTTCAGGAGCCTCGGTCGGAGTGACTGGATTGGAACCAAGATACGAATGAGTGCCCCTGTAGGAGAGGGGAGCCGAGGGAAGTTGAAGGCAGCCAATGGATGTGACCAGCGTCGGCAACATTACCTTGGTTCTTGAGGGTCAAGTTCAAGAACAATTGCCCTGCGGATGTCCGAGAAGAGGGGACTGACCTCGGAGGACGTGAGCGACGTGACCATCTCCCGTCTAGCTGCGCAGACAAGCACGGGGGAATCCAAGCTTTGCGAACAAGGAAAGGACGAATCAAGAGAGACGTCTGGTTCCCTGATCACGAGAGGGTGCGAACATCCACAGGTGGAGTTCTTGGGTTCAGTTGTCAAGACAGCCCCAGGGCATTGATTGCTAATTCCAACCAAGATACTTAACAATCAATCGAGTTAACAATTGCTAACATCTGTTAGTGAGTGCTATGTGTTGAGCCTTGACACACTATCTCTTGGCAGGCTTGTACAAACATGTGCGATGTGAGTTCCTGCACGAAGTGGCCCATCGCGACTGCCTACCTCTGCATCCACCACAGTCGAGAAGTCCAGTCGCTCCTTCCACTCGTGAACAGCACGACGGGGCAACGTCGGCTCTGCCTGTAAATTGGTGGGTAACGAGAGGGTTGACTGAAATTTCTCGCGCAAGGAGCTTTTCTCTCCCATCTTCATGTTTCGCTCTCAATGATCTTCTTCGCACGACTCTCTAGAGACACTTGACCACATCGCGCCGACGACTCCAACCGCAACCAACCCACTCCTTTTCCTTGTATCGTTTTGGCCTCGGGATCTTGAAGAAACCCGAGTTCTGCGATACGGATGTGCTTCAAGCGACAATGATCCAGCTACGCGCGTCCATCTCCAGCCAGGCAGGATATTGCAGGCTTGTGCCTACTTCGCGTGTCAGTGCTGCGGCTACGCCAACTTTCCAGGGTGTATCTGATCGTATCTCAACCTCTTCATACTGACAAGCCTGAGCGTTGTATGGCGACGCTAGCATGGCTAAGTCACTTCATCAGGAACCGGTTATGCAGTCATTGGCGACATCACCCATATACTCAAAACCTATGCGGCAAAGTTCACGATGGTACGGCGCACTTGGGAGCCCATTGAGGGCAGTCGCAAGAGTAATAGCAGCGTAGCGCGTGGACGCAGCCAGCATCTCGGGCATATCGAACGCTGGGTAACGTTTTGCAGTTGTGGCAAGCGCGGATATGGCAGCTTCTCCCGATACCTTAGGTAGTTGTCAAACATGCTGAAGTAATACCCGCAATATTGACGGCCCTTTGAAGTTTCGGGAACGATGCACTTCTCTCTGCTTATTATTTCCCTTCGCTTTGTGTCATCGTGCCCAAGCTATCTACTACTCCAGGCGATTATCTGACCTCCTGAGTGGCCGGCTCTTAACAGCACACGCGACTGTCAAGATAACTTCCGAGGTTTGCCAACTTTCAACCAGAAGTCATGCTCGCTGAACCAAGATGAAAGGCGCTATGCACTAGCGTGCATCCAGTGCTGCACACAAGTGAAGCACTTTCTTGCGAGGAATGAGGGCGTACTTGATGTTTTACCCCCTGTGAATACCCGTGTAATGTACCCCCGCCGATAACCACTTGTGAGCCACATCGTGGGCATCAAATGATATGCTGATACAGCTCTATCTTGGTACAAAAAGTCAAAAACAACCCAGGCCAACAGAGGGAAGCTTTTGGGTGACTTGAATCGCCTCTCGGCCAGACGATTCGCCTTGCCTTGTTATATATGACTTGGCTCGTCTGAAACCCTCATAGACTTCGTGTGGCCAACCAGGCAAGGGACCTCAACGTTCCCTTCCGCTCGAACCTTCCTCCGTACACGGCAATCTACCTCTCCTAGTTCGCCGGGACGGTCATCACACCGTACCTCCTTGCCTTTAGAGTGATTCTTTTGCGCCAGCTCAAGGCGAAGGCGCTCCCACTATCATAGTTTACCACCGTCAAGCCCAGCGAGAACGCTATGTCACTCGGGACTTACTATAGCACACTGACACTACCGGTGAGTTTGGCCGCGCTACCTAAAGCTGTGGTTCACTTACACTAACCGTGTCCTTCAGAGCCCACTTTAGAGCCTACGACACTGAGGCCTCTACCTCCGGTGGATTGCCTGTGCCTGTGGTGTAGTTCGTCCCGCTCAAGTTGATCGTGGATCCGCGTGTCGTTAGACAACATGAACGAAGCAATTCTCCCAGCACCAGCCAAGAGTTCGGGCGAGTCTGGCAACATGGGCGTCATGAAGTACCCGCCACTGCAAAAGAGGAAAAAGGCTGAGCTGCATACCTCTGAAATTGAACCGTGGATCCGTGTGTTGATAGACAACATGGACACGGCACTCTACCCAGCATCAACCGAGATGGTGGCAAGAAATTCTGGTTGGGACGAACCTGGCAACCTTAGAGGGGTCATTATGTACTTGCCGCCAAAAGGGATGATCAGACGCAAACTGCGTACGCAGATTAAAAATATGGACGATCGAGTGTTCGGCCATCCGGTTGTGATTCTATTCATGCGGCGGACAGAGGGCACGGAAACAGTCCGTATTTTTCCGGTTAGTCGCTTCCGTTTCTTCTTGGGTTCAAGACACTGGCACTATCATGTGATCCACTCCTTGGAGCCTGCGTCCCTGGTCAGACTGCCCATGTTGACAGTAGGCTGCCCTTCAGATTACCAGTTCCCGCGGGCCTTATGACGAAAATGGCATTCTCAGATACGAAAAGTACATGCTTATCCCGCCTTTTCCGGCGTGCCAGCCCATGGATCTTTCTCTAGATTTAACGGGTGGCAGGGCGACACTCGACAAAGCATCAAGCGTAAATACGCAGACGATGTATACTGTCCCCTACCAGTCGCTCAAGTACTAGCATGGAAATGGTATTTCGACCTGCCCTAGGCTCATGAGACATTCATACAATATGGTGATGAAGAAGATCCGTGAGCGGGATGCGAAAGACAAGGTGTTGCAAGGAAATTGGCGAGAAAAATCAACTGCGCCGCACCCTGAGATGGATTCCAGTCCAAACAACAACACGATGAAATCAATCCGTGGGCGGGGTGAGAAGAACGAGATGTCGGACCACTGGCGGCAAAGAAAACCAATTCCTGAGTGGCGCAGGAAAGACGAGAATCTGAACATACGGCAGCGAAGAGGACTAAATGCGCGGCGCCCCGGGATGGGTTTCTTTGAGAAGCTTAATGTCTCCAGTTCTCTTACTACTGCGAGTACTCCTACCACTTTGAGCACTCCGACTACCCCAAGCACTCTCACCACCGCGAGCACTCCTACCACGCCGATAACTCCCATGAGCTTGCCTGACTCTTGCACGGCATCATCGACAACAATCCCTTGTTCTCCTCCTCCTTCGCCTACACCCGTCAGAAACATACTTTCAGTGTTGCCAGGTCATTCAAGCGCCCAGCCGACGCACGAGCAGCGCTTTGCACGACGACCACAGCGAACCAATACCCGGCCCTTTCAGCAAACGGCGACCAAGAGTCAGGCGAAGAACAAGAATGAGGCATGTTGAGGAAGGATCAGACACGAGTTCATTGCCATTGGCATGTTGTGAGTAGTCAAAACACCAAGACAGAGGAAATTTCATTCACATGGACACTAGAGGTAACTATAAATCACGAAGCGCTATACCGCCCAGCCCATCATCGAAAATCACAATATGCGCCTGTGCCTGCCTCGGCATCACTGCCACCTCTTTCTTCTCCAGTTCATTCTCATCAAACGTTGTGAAATCAACACAAGGTACATACAAATGAGCGATTGATCCGAATCCATGGACCATGAGCGTTTCAAACCATCCTTCACACTTCCCGCCTTTTCCTTTGACGCCCTTCTTTTTCCCATTGGCATCGTCATCTTCATGTTCTTCCTCTGGAATGCCACTGGCGAACATGACAACCTTCTTTCCTTTATTTTTCTTGCCTCTGAACCGCATGCCGCGGAGGAGGCCAACGTTCTCGTCCTGGTCTGCATGTGGGCTGTGAATGTGGTCGTCGTCCGAGAGACTGATGTATCGCCAACCAGTGGAGCCGGCGAAGGTAAAGGAGGTGGAAGTACCGGTGGTGATGGCGGCGCCGAGGGAGTCGTTTGTCTCTTGGGGGATTTCTGAGCTGTCGTCCGGCAGTGCGATGGCACTATCGGCCGAGTTGCCCCTCTGCCAGAACCTTTTCCCGTTTCCCTTTCCTCTATTTGTATCCTTGCCAATGTCATTCCCTACAGAGGCATCACCGCCCCCAAACCGTCCACCGATACCACCACGACCCTCGTCCTCCTCGCACCCACCCGCCCCATCGACCGGCCCATCCGCCCCATCGCCATCGGCCCCAAAGAAACCCCTAAGCCCTCGCCCCAGCAAGCTTCTTCCGATAAACTTTAGCAATGGTTTCCGGATTCGGCCCCGTAAACGCCCCAGCCGCAATGACATCTCTCTTTCCGACTCTGATGAACTGCACGGGTGTGCCGCTTCCTTCAGCACCCGGGATCGCCTCCCTTACGGAGGAGACAATTTTTTCGTATTCTTCGTCGGCTAAGTTGCCGCCGAAGAGCAAAGCGGTGGGGATGTGCCGCTCTGAGGCGGGCCGGTTGGTGTTGGATCCTAGACCGGAGGAGGGGACGATGGAGGTGTCGCCTGAGAAGAGAGCGGGCAGTTCGTGGAGAGCGGTGTCGAGGGAGAGGGAGGTGTGGACTACTTTGGGGTTGTTAGATTGTCGTATTTTTGTTTTGTTATTGTGGTGGAGGGTTAACTTTGAAAGACAAAAAGGCTGGAGAGAGTGTGGACATGGAGAGTGGAAAAGAGGGTAAGAAAAGAAAGGGAAGGGCGAGATGTGAGAGGTGGGAAGGAAGGCATGAGAAGGAGAGGGATATGACAGAAGAGTATCGTTTCCAGGGACTAGGGGACAGAAGGAAAAGAGATAAATCGGTAAGTGACAACAAACGAGGAACAAACCCCAACTCACCTTCAATATCAGGCAACAATTTCTCACTAACAGCCTCAGCCATCTTAGGATCGCGGCCATAAGTGGCGACATAAATCGCCTTCTGCTGCTGGTTGTCGGTCATGATGGGCAAGATATATACCTCTACCCTTTCTCTCCTGGTATATGGTACTATCGTTGTTACTGGGATATATGGTGACACAACAGGACGCCAAAACTATACCCTGCCTGCCGTTGGCTTGGAGGGCTTGGAAGGCTTGAATCGAGCTGGGATCTGGAGTCCTGGACTGGAGTGAGAGCTAAACTTGCTTCCCGTCAGTTGGAGTCCAGTCTGTCTTTCTGTGTTATTCACGGCTCTTTCCGTTAGGGCTGTGTGGATGACGACTGAGTTACTGGCAGTTGGCCGAAGGGCTGATAATCTGGGGTCACTCAATGCGAAACGACGAAACAGAAAAAAAAAAACAGACAAACAGCGGTTGGTGGACGGCACCGCCCGCTCGCTCGCCAGAATACAATCCGGAGCGAAGATCTAAACAAAGACACAGACGGTTGAGATCATCGCGATGATCTCAAAGATATCTTGACGAACGGCACGGAAGGAGGGGGCGGGCAGTGAAGCACCAGACATCATGAAGCAGTGGGAATGGACGGTGGGTGGGTGGTGAAGGAGTGAAGACAGCGCGAGTGGACAGCGTAAATGGGCAGTTTGTGAAACCGGCAAGAGCATTGGAAGCAGTGGATATGGAAAGTGCTGTAAGACGGGGAACGACATGGAGGGACAAAGGACAGAAGAGGACAAGGGGACGCGTGAGAGTGTAAGACACACATACATGGGTTGGTGGTGTTTTCGGAGCGAGAAGAATATGTTGTGGATATGCTGTGTATCCTTTTGCGACGGGTTTGCGACAGAAGGATTTCGAGACGGACAAGGATTCACGGCACAGCAAGGTTTTGAGTTTGAGAATGATGAGGAAGGTATTTATTTATACCGTGATGGCTTCATATTTACTCCCCTACAGAAAATTGCCAACTTGGATTCTGACATGAAGTTTGGTCATTTGCAGCCTTCCCCTCCATTCCTGCTTGACCGAAAACATGGAAAACATTCGATATGACCGTTCCTGACATAAAACATATGATAATTTCGGACTTCCAAGCAGCCATGGCGCGACATGGCTGGGACAGATGCCGGAGAGACTGGTTTTATCAAGTATCGATCACCTCAGTTGCCCAGGGAAAACCTGGAGTTGCTCGAAGAGAAGCGGCCAAGTGAGAAGGAAAGTATCAGGTGAATAGCATCGCTGAAGCCTCGCTGAAAGCAGCATTGCGGGAGCAGCACCCGAACATCATCGGCCCGGCCCAGCTGATATCACTCCAGTCGACACTTATTCAGCTTTTCTTCCACCGCAAATTCCGGGGGCAAAGAAAGAGCTGACAGTGTCAGCAACAGTGACATATGCAAAGACCCGTCGTCGGATGGGACCTAAACATACCTCTAGGTAGGGCTGCCGGACTTGACGCTCAAGCAAGACTCGCTCCAGAGGTGGCGTGGATGCCGGCACCAATCTCCAAGCCCCAGCCCGCTACCGGACATCCAGTCTCGGACGTCAAGCTGAATCTCCGGTGGCAGATGCGGCTCAGTTTAAGTTCGGGTGGCGGTGATCTTCGATGCCACTGTTGCAGTGGGCTGACTCGCTGGACAGAGACATTAAGCCCTCCTTCCCACTGGGTTGACTGGAACACTGGAACACTGCAAACATTGGCACATTTGATGGACTGTATTGATGGGAACATTGATAGATTGGACAGTGTCTCGGGCGAGTTCGCGCCATGTCTCTGCCTTTTGTGTTTGACACCAAATATATAGCCCGTGCGGTTCCCCAGCTGAACTTCCAATAAAAGGCATGGGCTGCGATTGCTGATCCGATGATTTTGATGTTCGCAATGGTGTTCCGTACGAATGGATGGTTGGATGTAACTCGTTGACGCAGGATCGTGGAGTGGACGAGGAGTCGTGGACTTTAAGTTGGGGAAGGTCCGGCCTGCTGTCCGTATAAGGCACGGCTCAGCAGTGCAGCACGGACAGCAGGCTCAAGTACTAAAACTGCACATTGAGCGGTTTGCTTCTCGTCTGCTTGCTTACTGCTTACTACTGCTGCCAGTAGTGCGGTGTCATGTTAGCAAGTTGATGTTACACATGCCTTGCGCATAAAGTGCTCCGCAAGTACCAACCTGTTGGTTTCTGGGCGGCGCGGCGCAAGCACCAGAAGTAACAAGGTAAGACGTACAGGCGGATTTCAAGTCATGTCTTCTTGCCCTGTCAAAGGCGACATCGACCTGGAAGAAAAATGGAGATGATTGCGAGCAGGACGGTCGAGTGACCTCCAAAGATGCTCCGGTCATCGAGCTCGTAGACATGGCCGGGGAGCGGGGGTAAAACAAAAACAAGTCGAGTGCTGAGGGAGGTTGGAATCGATTTTCCAAGCAAATGGAGAAGTCTGCAAACTTGGACCCAACTTAGACACCCCATCACCATTGGACACTCTCCCACTATCGCTCCTTCCCTCCAGACAAAACATTGATTCTGCTCAGACGCAAGAGCGCGAATTCAGCTTGTTCCGTTCCGCCTTCCCAAGTTCCCACTCTTGTCATTGCTCCTTCCACTTCCAGATGAAACACTGATTCTGCTCATACCGGACCAGGAAGCGACCTGGAGGTGCGCAACGTACCAGCCGTCAGCTGCTGTGCCAACTCTGAAATGGCAGGTTATGCTCACTGCAGTGTGTTCGCTCTCGTCCTCGGCTGCAAGCTCCTCAAGATCCAATCCTTCCAAGATGGACCGAGTCCAGGCAGAGTGACAGACTGCAACAATGATGGGCTGATGGTTGACAAAACTTAACACTTGACGGTTGGCAGCAGCTTGTCGTGCTTGCTTAGACGAAAACGAAACGCCCTCGATGCATCTGCACGTCTGTCTGCCAGCGTCAGGATGTCTGGGTGGGTGTCAATGTGCAGGCAATGTGGTAACGAACCCGATGCCATTTACCTGGTACCCAGTTCGACGTACGCAGCAGCAGCAGCAGTAGCAACAGTGCATCAGTGCATAAGGTAGGTACCTTTACAGTTGCATGTCCTGAGGTGGTGGAAGGAAGCTTGGAAGCTGGAATCCAAAAAGCGGGGAGCAGACTGAGCAACTGGGACAACATGAAGTGATGTGAAACATCAGATCGATGCACAATGCTTCGAGGCCAGCGTCGTCAGCGCCAGACACCAACTTCAAAAGGACGGGACTCTCGGGCACTCAACCTCTCAGTCTCAGGTTCCCTCATCCATTCACTCATTACTATTTGCTTGCTACAATCTTCACTCCCACTGCTCTCACTTCCTGCTATCTACCACCTTCACTTCTTTCCATAGTAGAGGTATCGTTATCGTCACTCAACAGACCATCCATGTCCATGAAAAATTTGACCATTCGGGTCTAGTTCCTTCATCGCACACCTTCTGCTTGCTGTCTCTGCACGATCGGCGTACACGTCAGTGAGGGTGGGTGGGTGGGTGGTAATATCCAACGTCTGGCGTAAATAAGCTTAAACCTTCCTCCCTCTCTCCCTCCCTCCCTCCTTTCGTCATTCTCATTGCTCGTTGCTCGTTGCTCAAAATATAACTAACGCCTTTGCCTCCTAGACATCCTCCTAGGTAGGTAGGTAACCTCCCAAACAGACGGATTTCACCGTGTGATAGGAGGATAAGACGGACGAAAGTACGTAGGTACCCAGATCGGTCAGCCATTCGTCTGTCTATCTATCCTTAGCTCCCAATTTAGGTACTTTCTAATGAAAAGGAATTTTTGGAAGAGAGTCGTCAGCAAGCAAGCAAGCAAGCCACTCGGGAATTATTGAGCCAATGTTCGAGACAACTTTCTTTACTTCCCCCTTCCCTTCCTCTTCCCCTTCCCATTCGCCTGTTCGTTTCGTGTTCGTTGTCCAATCGTCCCACTTGTGCTGTCTGTCCCTCATACCTCATACATCCTACATCCCAAGATGAGAAAGCTCCTAGTCTATACGTACCTATCCTGTTTCCCGTTTCTCGTTTCCCTATCTACCTATGAGACAAATAACTCTGCCCCCCACTGCACTCAAAGTATATCGATACATGCCCGGGCTTGGATATTCCCAAGAATCTGTCGAGTCCCAGCTATATAGATCTCCCCAGGTACATCCCCAAAGTACCTTACCTACCTCTCTCTGGCTACCATTTTCCAGTGTTCAGTGTACCAAGGTAGAGGTAGGTAGGTTCAAGGAGAGATAGATCCATGAGCACGAGTACGAGTACGAGGCACGGATTAAAGCAACTTGCTAGGGTAAGCACCTAGGTACCCAGCCAGTAGTCATCCAGACGAAGGGCAACGGAAGGGAGATAGATACCTCTAGATGCTGCCTGTCGTTCATGGGTACCTACCTTACCTAGACCGTTCAAAGTGTGAGGACATAATTACCCAAGGTAGGCCGTAGGATCCAGTTATGTCCTAACCTGCCTGCCGCATTTAGACCCATATCGCCGCCAATCGAGCCACCCAGCCCCCACCGCGCATCCTTACCTATACAAAAGAAGAAACTAACATAAGTGAATTGAACAAGGTTAGGTACCCAAGTGTGAAACCTTGCCAGATGCGGCCGGGGATGTTTAGAGGTATATATGGTATGGTTGAAGTGTCGAAGGGCATCGGCATAACCGTGACAAAATCCGAAGAGTGAGCCTCGCTCGAGTGGAGATCACGGACTGGACTCGCATACCTGACATAGCACGGCTCGAGCACGGTTCGAGCACGGTAAAGAGCAATGATAATAGCGTGCGTGGCGTAACGCTGTGAATGTATGTATATATATACAATCTACTTTGCGCAATTCTGTATGTGTAAGGTACTCTCTGTTTTGCGAGCGGGAGCGTGTGCTTCCGTTTTGTGTTGTGTTGTATTATATTGTGTTGTATTGCGCTCCTGACGGTGGTAGATGGATACCTACCTCTACCTGCCGTCTGTATATACCTCTACAAGGCTTGGGAGGGACTCGGTAACGTTGAGACGGGAAGGAGGTATGTACGAATGCTACCGTTTTTGGGCGTACTGGTAACAGAGGAAAGGGATGAAAGATTACATAGAATATTGAATTCCGAGTGGATGTCGCGGTTAGGAGCCTGAAGGACTTCCGGGTGGGGAGGACAACAATAACCATAACCGCGTAAGGCTGTGTGTGTATCGCGCCTTTTGTCTACCTCTACTCGGCGTGCTCTGTGTGGTCTCTGTGTGCGTGTGCTTTGGTCTTGTGCCCCTGAACATGGTTACGGTCGTTAATGGTACTTGCCGCTAGGTGTAAACGTCGAGAAAACTCGATTCGGGGGGTTCACGAGAACGGAAATTGCCCACTGAGAAACGGTCCAAGTTAGCACAACGTTTAACGGCGGGTTACGTGCTTGTGGCTTCTTACTGTGTTGGCTTTGACCCACGGTTTTGTAGCTGTTCTCAGTTACTCGCATGTTCGGTAGACATATGAAGGCCGTTGAGGACGCGACAAAGACATAGGAGGAGGTGATCAAATCTTAATATTCAACCCATCCCTATAGAACAACAGTAGTACCCAAAAGGCAATGTGAAAAGTACACCAAGAAAGCAAGCACTCCCGTTCCCTTTCCAACCATCAACTACTTCATACATTCAAATACCCGTCCATCCATCAACAATCCATGCATCCAATGTCGACGTATTTTCGCTTTTGTTTGCTTCCCGCTTGTTTCGCCTTTTTACACCTCGGAAAGCCAAATGTTGAAATATCCAAAAGCCCACACCATTAACCGCCCAATCATCCAACATACAGCAGCAGAAATACTTGCAAATGCCTTTGTGTGCAAGAAAGCCAAACCCAAACGCCCTTATTTGATGAACGCCTTCGGTAGATAACGTAGAAAATAAGCAGCCGCAGGCTTGAACGGACTACCCCGGGTAAGAATCCCAATGTGTAGCCATGTTTTCCCAAGCGCCGTGTGTGCGTATATGTGTGTAGTCAAACAGAAACAACAACAAAGGAGAAAAAGACTGGAAACCAGCCAAGTGTTGCTTGATTTGCAAAAAAAAATTAGACAGCAGAGTAGAGTAGATAGAAAATCCAAGCCTCCCCGGCCTCCCCAGTTCCAGCGTTACCACCTATGCTAGACCTGCCTAAGCTGCTGCTGCTGTAACGAGTTGTAATCCATTGGGTTCCCGCCCATCGAGTGGGTGTTTATCCCCAGAGAATTCATCGTCCCACCCATTGGCATATCCGTGTTCGCTCGTTGCAGTGCTTGGAAGTCTCCCACGGTTCGTATTTGCTGTGGCCCTCCTGGTTGCCCAGGTCCTGGTCCCATAGCGAGAGATGTTGCTCGTTGGGGAGGTGGTGGCCTGCCCATATTCATGGCTTGGGGATCCATGGGATTGTTCATCCCGTTGCCTATACCGTTGTCCATGCCAATATTTATCCCAGGATTGATCCCCTGGCCCATGTGTCTTGGTTGCGGCATTGATAGGTTTGGGGCGGAAGTGATGTTCCCCGTGTTTATCCCTTGCATCTGGTTGATATTGGCGAAGGCGGGTATTGATGGGTGGTGACCATGATGCGACTGCTGACTGGTCATGCCATTGGGCGCCCCTAGTGATGTTGGTGGCGCGTGGCTTATTGGGCTCATCACCATCTCGGGCAGTGTGGTGAAATCGGTAGGGAGGCCATGGTGCATGTCCATCTGACCGGTTGGAGACATAATGGAAGGGGAGTTGCCATATGGCGAGCTCATGTCGTTGTTGGAGTGTCCTCCGTTGGGGCTTCCAGAGTCATTGCTCAGCTCATCCATGCGAGGAAGGCTGAACTTGTTGTCGTCGTAGTCGAAACATGCAGGCTGACCCATGCCAGCGTTGCCAAATCCATCAAAGATATCAATGTTGCAAGGAGGCAGACCAAGGTTGGGCTGCTCGGGCGCGAACTGGAGCATTGGGTTCGCCAGCGTAGGGATGAAGTCATGGACCTTGCCGAGGAGGAGCGGCAGGAATCGGTGATCACCAGAGCGAAGCACTGAAAGAACGTTCAAGACCTGATGAAGCTGCTCACGCGGGCCCACCTTGAAGGGGATCCGCCTCGATGGCTGGTTGGAAAGCACGTCGGTAAGAGTGCAGGTGATGCCGAGAAGCTTCTCGATCAAGGTCAAGCCAGGAAGACCGAGGTTACCGGGAAGATTGGCAACCATGGGAAGCAAGTCGTTCGCAATATCGACCGGATATGGGTAAGGAAGGCCGGCCTCGTTGCTGTTTCCGCTCGCCACCGTCAACTGCCACGACGTGTTCTTGAGCCACTGCTGGTTCATCTGCATCTCATTGAGCTGGTTGTCCTCATCGCGGAGATATCCCGGGAGGATGTCATCAAAGCTCTTTTGTAGCCCGCCGAAGTAGCTCGCGCACTCGTCTCTCGTCTTGTTCCAAAGAGGGAGAAGGGTGTTGTCAAATGCCCGGAAAAGGTTGACCTTTTGGAAGAAACCGTTGAGCTGATGGGGCAGCAGTTCGGTGTTGTCATCGTTGATTGTGGGAGGGTTGATGGTCGCCTCAAGGGTCAGGGGCCGACGTCGTTGGAGCGCATAAGCTCTGAAAACAATCATGACGATTAGCTTGACGCAACGTAGGACGAATAGCGTGGGGTTAAGACATACCTCTCCGTGGCAAAAAGAAGCCAGTACAACCGTCTGCGACGAGACGATTCGATGATGTCGTACTGCGTTTGCGAGTACGTGTCCTCCTTGTTCATCCCAGCAATGTGCGCCATTGTTGTGGCCTCGCGCAAATGGAACCAGGCCTTTTCGTGCATGTCGAGGCCGTGGAAACACGCAAAGAGGAAATAGCTGGTGACCAGAGTGTTGAGGCTCGGGTTGTCGGAATATTCGAAAGCCTTGCGAACGCGAAGCGTCTCCTCCAGCAGTAGCGTGCTCGAAACAATGTTGGCTCCTGGCATGTTCTCGAAGCTGTAGGGATCACCACCGGGCATGGGCATGCCGGGCTGCAGGAACATGAAGGCGCATAGGGCCGTAAGCACACAGTATGTATCGAGGCTCTGGTCGACGTATAGGGCTTGCTGCTCGAGTCGCTGGCGGTTTAGGATGGGCATCGATGTGTACATGTTGGTGAAGAAGAACTCCATGCATTCCTTGACCATCTCGCTCGTGAGGAGGCCGGGGGTCGGGGCCAGGTTCGGGCTCGAAGGCGGACTGTTGATGCCATTGAGGCGATTCTGGACCTTGGCGGAGAGACTCGTTTGTCGCTGTGTTTCGCGCAGTTCGCTGATGACCTTTGCGCGCGAGCCCTTGGGGCCCTTCTTCTGGGGAATGGCATTGTAGGTGCAGGTCAACTGAGAGGCGTGGCAATTGCGACACGGGTTGATGCCATCACACTTGACCTTGCGACGATGACAGGCATCGCAGGCGCGTTTGACGGCGGTAGACATGGCGATCTACTATAAGCCCTTCTCGTCGTCGTGTTACTAGTCGGTGCAAGGTACGCGGACGGACTTTGCTTGGGTAGCGGTCGTGCGGTGTCCGTGGCAGCGGCCGTGGTGGCACCGGTGGACCCTTCTATGTGCAAAGATGGGACGAAATGTGGTGTGCGTTCGGACGAAAGTGTAGGTATGATGTTGTATATCGCGGTTCGTCTCGATCGGATCCGATGCCGTGGACCGTGGAGAAGGTCGCTCTGGCTAGACGTCTAAGCCTAGACTGGATGCGTCGTGCGAAATGCGTGCGAAACCCACGACAGGCGGCTTCCAGTCGTTCCTTTCAAGCCCGCGCCGACATATGCGGCCCTATTTGAGAAAAGAAACAATAAGGTTGTAGATGATCTGGGGCAGCTAGGCGGGATCGTGGAGACTCTCCAGAGTCAATCGCATGCAGTCTGGGGTTGAATCGGCCCGTCGCACGAGGTTTGTGTGGAGGGTGCCGGGAGGATGGTAAGGTAAGTTGGGGACGGCTCCTTCGTTGGGTCGGTTTGGATGTCTGGGTGTCTTTTTGGTTTTTGGGGCGGCCGGCCGGGTGCCTCAGGGTGCTTTTGGTGCGTGTTCAGTGCTGGCGTGTGCTTTTGTTGGGCGGTAAGCACGGGACTCGGCTGAGGTGATTTGATGACAATGGTGCGTTCCTTCCTGGTTTCGCTCGCTTGTTTCTTTCCTGCTCTTTTTCTTTGTTCTGCTGCTGCTGCTTCCTTCCTTGGCTTCCAGAGCAACGCACGGGCAAATGGGGAATCCTGAACAAAACAACAGACGATAATGATGTCGCGGAAAGAGAGAATGCTTCTCGAAGAACTGTTGGATGCAACGGAATGACTCGCGCGCGTCTTGGTTTGTGTCGCAATGCACGGGTCTCGAGTGCGGTGAACAGAGATAAAACTCTGTTTTTTCCCCTCTGGACTGAAGAAAGCTGAGGCGCGCGGCAGGTGGACTGGACAGGTGGACAGGTGGACAGGTTGGAGAGGGCAAAAGGGAGATCAGCGCAAAGGGGAGTGCGTGAGTGGACATGAAGGCGAGAAAAGAGAAGCGAAAAAGTGGATGAGTGGATGAGACTGTTGTGGGAAAGCCGGGACCAGGCATCTGGAGACTTCGTTGCAGCAGGTACCTTTGTGGCCTGCAGTCGCTAGAGGCAGGCAGAGGCAGGCTGAGGCATCTAGGATTGGCAGGAACATTGTGGAGCACCGCCCATGTGGGTCTCAGTGTCGGGAGATGAATGATGGGTTAAAGGCCCCTGTTTGGTGGGCTAATTTTGCACACTTTGCACAACTTCTCTTCTTTGCACTTGGACGTTTCTTTTGCATCGCGCAGCCATTTCCACTTCATGTGTGTGCAGCCAATGGCTGTGTTGGAGTTGACCTCACTCTTCGGATGCCCAAAAGGGGGATGTCATTCATGGTGATTGATGCCCATCATCAAACTGCCAGCGCTGGTTGTTCATGCAAAACGGAGGTGCCGTATTCCCTCGGTTCGGACTGGAGGAACGGCATCATGCTCTCTCTTGCCCTCGCTAAGTATATTGAGGACCTGGAAAACGCATTGAGATTAACCCGTCATTTTTTCGTCTCTACAAGGGACACTCTAGTTGGAAACTCCAAGTCAAAACTCAAGAGCCTCATATTTGTTCATGCCACGACGGCGGCAGTTGGCTTTTCTGTGAGACCGGGAGCTGTAGCAGAAAGCTTCATAGGTGATGCATTGTGCCACGGTGCATTGCCGCCTATCTTGCCGTGCTCGCCAGACGATGGACGATCTGGCGATGAGAACACATGCACAAAGAACTGTCGTGGTAAAGGTGATTCAGGAACCCGTCGTCTAGCGTGGTTGTCCATCCTTGTGTTGGGGTAAAAAAGGGATGGTGATGCATTGTGCATTGGATCTGCTCACACACAGAACCCCTTATCAAAGCCAATGGGTATTCAACATACAGACAGCTGGTTTCAGCTCATAACAACTTGCTTTATCACTGACGGTTATTAGAGAAAAAAAGCCACAGCATTTTTGTCGATTTGATATCGTATATCTCGATCGCAAGAACGGCGCCAATAGACGACTCCGAGTCCACTATTTTCTAGGAAATTTGGCTGGTTTTCCTTGGACTCCATTAACGCACGGCTCAGCAGTCAGCACGGCTCTGACATCTCAGCCAGCACAAAACAAATACCATTTACGGAATGCCTCTTTTCCGATTCCGGGCACAATAGTCGGATACTGTCGTGCCGAATGTTCGATCGTATCCCTTGACGGATTAACGCCATCGTAAGTTGATGTGCACAAAGTGGGAAGTGGAAAAGAGGGCTGTCTAGCTCTTGCCTGATCTTGCTGGTGATGCCAGCCCAAGTGGAATCAAGAGGTGGAATCGATGCAAAAGCACAGACTCTGTTCAGCGAGCCCGCTAGGGCAACTGTGTAATCCGATAAGGCGACTGTGTGGAGACATGCACTGGGCAAAGGTGCAAGTCCCCCAAGTTGATAGAGAAGGTTAGGGTTAGTTAGCGTTAGGGTTAGCGGTTAGGGTTAGTTAGGGTTAGTTCCGGGGGTGCTTGGGGCCGGCGAGAGGCCCCCGCATGTGAATATAAAATCAGCGCCTCGAAAAGGGTCGTTTTGAGCTCTCGTTGTCGTCGTTCAAGATGATGACTTCTAGTGAGGATTTAGTAGTAATGCGAGCGCGCAAGCCGATTTGGAGCGATGCCAAGCTTGCGGTCTTAGCTATCTCTGGCAGCGAATTTGTATAGCCCCACACAATCGCCTTATCGGATTACACAGTCGCCCTAGAGCGTGCATTTGGGGAAAGAACTGACTGATGAGCCAATCAGAACACACAAAGACGGCGAATTCCCGCAGTTCACAGTCCCCACTTTATTCTCGGCTGCTTCCGTCTTTCTCAACCTTCCATTTCCTTCCTCTCTCTCCAGTTCACTTCCTTCTTTGCAACTGACAGACTGTCTTTGACCTTCCACTTTCCATCCGTCCGCGCAAAAGAGTTCCTTGCACTTAACAAACCGCGATTATATCAAAGGCACGTTGTCCTCACAAGCACATCCATGTTCTTCTCGTCTTTGCCTCATTGCCTTTTCTCCATGGTTGGACCCTGGCAGTGGCAGAGACATTACCCCGGATTTCATTTCCCAAGTCAGCAATTCAATTGAAACCGGGCAAGGCACGCTACTCGTCACCGCCCTCGCTGCCCAGTCACTGTCACTTTGTTGGTGCGCCGTTGCGATGGGTGTCCTTGCGATGCCGTCCTTCCATTTTCCTTCCACTCATCCGGCCTCGCTCGTTTCTCATCTCAGCCAAGCCAGCCAAGCTTTTCTCAGCTGGCACATCACCCAGATCATCTCTTCCACAGAATCCCCTGGCCTTACTCGCTCAGGTATGGCCGCTGTGAGACGCGATGCCAAAATGATGCTTTCCGCACTTTTCCAGCCTAGTTCTGTCTAGTTTCATTTCACTCGCAGAGATGCCAAATTGCGAGACATCTCAAACCCAGCCCTTGTGTGCAAAGTGTGCGCAATGGGCTACGGGGGGTAGGATGCCCCCTTGCTGTTACAGGTCAGACGGGAGCCCATCATGTTCAGGGCAACACCTTCACGTTGGACACCCGCCATCAAAAGAGTCGGACAGTGTTTCATTCGCCCTGGCCCGTCTCACGGATAGGGCAATCCATGGAATCCATCTGTAAAAGTACTACACGCAGTGGTCAGTAATCACCACCCCCAATCCCCAGGCAGCCAACGCACCACCGCTTCCTTCTCCGGTTTTTGGAGATCTCTTGGCAATGCACAATGGTGCGACGATGGTCATGCTTAACAAGCTTTCTGTTACGCAATGCCCTTTCTGTCAGCGCCGTTTCGTAAGACTAACAGACGCTACACTAGCGCAGAAACTGGCAAACTCCCCTAGACTAGACCGTACCCAGCGAACAGAGAGGCCTGCCGACCTTCGGAACACGGAAACGCCGTCTCCGCTCATGAAAAGAGGATGAACATTTATCACGAGAATCAGGCGTGACAGACACGGGGCTAGGCGCCAAGGACCGGTCACCCCACAGAGCCAAGGGTCATCAAGGTTGAGGTGGTGTTGGTGTTCAAGTTCTCGAAATGGGTGAGCATTGGTGTGCTTGCGTGAGAATGCGGAGAACTCAAGTCCAGGGACCAATTGGACGCCCGCTGTCTCAGAGACCCTCTCGAACCCACAGTCGGTCCGATGAGGCTGAGATATATGTACTTACAGCATTTCAGTACGTATGCCCTTCCCAGCCACTGTGTTACCTTGGAAAATGAAACATCAGGCCTTTGCTCTTGCGTTCAATTCTGAGACTCCGCATTCCCATTTTCTGAATCTCCAGATTTCAGTGCGAGAGCACTGACAAGCAGCAGACACCCGACATGTTTCGACACCGACATTCGGAAAGGGGCAGATCAATATCGACAGGGCTGATCAGCCTTGCGGGTCCCTGCAACGTCACCCTACCATTTCTCAGCCTTGTCCAGCTATTCTCTCCTGTTCTTGTTCAGTACCGACGACACAGTGGATGAAACTGTCACCAGTGCACCAGTGAATTGTCTGTGGACTCCTCCATTACCGCATCCTCTCATTCAAGTCGGATTTATCCTTCCCACATACGGTCTAGTAGATCGGGGAAAGGACCTGCATGCCGGAGCGCCAACGTAGCAGATGGGGCTGACAGACTTAGCGAGACCACTCAAGACGACTGGCAAGTTCCAGCATGCGGGTGACTCGCAGCGGATGGCAGGACAGCGCAGCTCCTAAACTTGAGTAGGACTAGTGGGACAGGGGGGGATAAATCCGACTTGAATGAGAGGATGCGGTAGTAGGGCGGAATTCATCATCCACCAGCATCTCCAGTTTGACACCCGGTTTCCGGACCGTGACACCGGATGACGGCCCATCCGGCTGTCTCCGTCGCACTTTTCCTCGATTGCCCGGAAC